TTAGCATCCACCTATAAACAGAAATAACACAAAAACAGCTGCACGGACAAAAGCTCGGATTTCCAGCTAAAACTCCCCCAAAAAAGAATTCTGCTGCATTCGAATTCGAGTATAATAAACTATAATTTTGCGCAAAACAAGATCGGCGGCGCGCAGAACAACAACAAAAGTATCGCCGAAGCGCTGAAAGCAAAAGTAAACAAAAGGCGGAGGAGAGTCAGACAACCAAACGGGCAAACACAAAGCCAAAGCCCAAAGCCAAAAATAAACATTTTGCATTTGAGAACCAAGAAACGCAAAAGACTCCAATTACGCGCCAAGCGGCGTTGAGCAAGGAATTGCCAAATAGGCGCAAATTGTGAGATTTCACGAGGGGATTGTGGGGCTGCTGTGGCGTTGAATTGCAGCTGTGCCACAAAGCCGCGAATGTGAGTGCAGTCTGGCTAATACAACCTGGCTAATGCGGACATTGAATGGCCACTTCTCACAAGGAGGGGAAAACTATATTTTACAGCATTCCTACTACTGATTTAGCTTAGAAAAGCGAATTGAAATGTATACATTCATTTAAATTTTTACTTTCTATTTTATCTTACCAAATTTAAGTTAGTAATCTTGGATAGTAAGTGACGGAAATCGCAATAGTCCAAGAGAAATAAATCATAGGCGACAGCGGATAGATTGATCAATTTGTTGCTTAACAGCTTATCAACTTTGCTGGCTGTTATCTATTACGTACAGTGGATCGCAGCTTATTTCGTGCAGTCGCAAACTAAAAGTTTAAACCTCCACTGCTTCTAAACTATCAAAGATATTTCAAAAATTTAAATGAAGGTTGGTACAGCAGAATTTGTAGATTTGAAATTAATAAGAAACCTTTTCTTAATTACAAAATTAAAACATTGAGATAAAAATAAAACTTTTTGAGCTTTTTTGTGCCGCAGCTTATTTCGTGCAGTCATTTTATACAGACGAAATTCTAACTTTTTTGACTAGAATATTACATTTTAACGCCAGTTTTGGTATTTTTGGTATTTATATTAAAATATCTAATGAGAATTTTGTCTTGGTCACATGGAAATACGAAAATTTCGGGGAATTACAAAACATGGCACCTCGAACAACTATTCAACAACGAGAATTAGTTCTCAAACATTTTAAAGATGGGAACAGCCAGCGTGCTATTGCGGAGAAGGTTAAACTAAGCTCTAGCACTGTACAATATATAATTCAACGCTTTGTTCATGAAAATCGGGTGGAAAATAAAGGTCGAAATGCACCAAATAAAATTTTTAGCGAGAAGGAGGAGCGTCGCATAGTAAGAAAAATTAAACAAAATCCGAAGCTATCGGCTCCAAAATTGGCTGTGGAGATAGAGAACGAAATGGGCAAGAAGTGTAGCCCGGATACAGTGCGCCGGATCCTCCACGAAAACAACTTCAATGGTCGAGTAGCTCGAAAAAACCATTTATAAACCAGAATAATCGGGACTACCGCTTCAAATTCGCTAAGGAACATCTACTCCATCCGATTTCCTTTTGGGACGACGTCATCTTTGCAGATGAATCAAAATTTAACATTTTTGGTTCGGATGGGCGTCATTATGTTTGGCGGACACCAAATACCGAGCTAGACCCCAAACACCTAAAACCAACGATTAAGCATGGCGGGGGTCACGTTATGGTTTGGGCCTGTATGTCGGCCTCTGGAGTCGGAAACCTGGTTTTTATTGACAGCATAATGGACGCCAATCAATATCTGTCAATATTGAAGGAAAACCTTCTCCAAAGTGCCAAGAAACTGGGCATACGCGATCGTTTTCGCTTCTACCAGGACAACGACCCGAAGCATACGTCTGGAATTGTGAAGACCTGGCTCATCTGGAAATGTCCACACGTTGTGCGAACACCAGCACAATCACCAGACTTAAATGTAATAGAAAATCTATGGCAAATTTTGGACTCCGCTATTCGGAAACGACAGATTTCGAACAAAAACGATCTAAAATCTGCTTTGGTTGAAGAATGGCAAAAAATTCCCATCGAAACGACCAAAAAATTGGTGGCCTCAATGGAAAACCGTCTGAATGCTGTCGTAAAGCAGAGGGGAGGCCACACAAAATATTAAGTTAATTTTTAGAATGTAGAGATAAAAAATCTTGAAGTGCACGAAATAAGCTGCGGCGTTAAAAATTTCTATATTTTTGTTTTTCTTCTTTTATTCTGTAAGTTTGATAAATATGAAGTTTGTTTTAGTTTATTAAATTTGTTATTACTATAAGTTAAAAAATTGCGTTTAAATTTTTGAAATATCTTTGATGGTTTAGGAGCAGTGGAGGTTTAAACTTTTAGTTTGCGACTGCACGAAATAAGCTGCGATCCACTGTAGCTTCCGATTACGTTTTATTTACTATTGATAGGTCAACTTTATGTAGCCCAATACAAGTTATCAGATTTGCTCTAAATTTAGAGTGCTTACATAAATATTAGAACCCTATTGATACCGATTTTCAAAGCATTTTTAAGTGAAAATGACAAGGTTTCAAAAACTTTACGACTTTAAAAATTAGCAAAATAACCTAAATAGTTTTGTATTTATTTTTCATATCTATGTTTTGTATATGAATTGAATAAGTTTTCTGTTACTATCTGTTATATTCTTATAAATATGTATGCTTATTTAATTATTTATTTTGAGAACATTGGACATGAATTTAATTGTAAGTTTTATAGGGCATTCCACTGGTCTTCACTTCCCGACCTATATCAATTTCTCAAATAGTTTTATCAGCGGTCCAATATTTAATTTACCAGAGACCGCTGTTTGGATGGAGACTCTATATGCGATGGCGTAATTAGATTAAAGCGGCGCACCTGTATAGCCGCACACCGATGCCAAGGTACACGTGTGCCAGTTTCTCTTTCTCTTTCTATCTCTCTCTGCATGGGCGTTTGTAGATCGCCGTCCTACATTTAATTTTACCGCGCACTTGTTTTCGATTTTCGTATTTATTTACCGTCTTTATTTGCTTTTCCTGCTTGTACTTTGCGCATTTTCGGAAAAGGCGGTATTTGTGTTTACTTTATTGGATTTTCTGTTATCAACCGGTTGTCAATGCAATTGCATTGTGTCATTGTTTGTGGGGCAATATAATTTTGGTTTATCTGCCTTTTTCGGCCTTTTTAGGAGAGCAAGCTCACCTGATAACGTAAATGGAATGTGGAGCGTTCCCGTTGATAAGAGTGCAGGTAACACACGACAAACACCCAAACTCCCTGCATTCTGTCCACTTTGAAAAAGGGAACAAAATAAATATGAAAACCAAAATAAGGCACACCCGTGAGTCATGCAAAAAAAAAAAATAAAGAACCAGCCAAGTACAAAGTTCAGCTGAACAAAAATTGCAGTCGCATGCAATGAGGTGTGCGAAAAAAGCGAATGGCGACAAAAGGAGAGCGCCAAAATAGAGCTAGGAGAGAATGGGAGATACAAGGGAGCAGCAGTTGGGCTTGTTCAGCCACCATGGGCACTAGATAAATAATCACGTTTTTACTGTTCAAAGCACTCCTTTTGCAGCATTTTAAACCCATTATTACGCAAAATAAAACTTTACTTTAAATTAATATAATTAAATTATTCACTTTTGATTATTTCGAAACGCAAAATAATCTGTTTGGCTTGTGCTCGAGTAGTTATAGATCACGGCAACTTTATTTGTATTGACTACCGGATATGGTTTATTGGGTAAGTAATATATAAACTACATAAAAAGCCCATACGAACTTTTTCAATAAACCTTAATTGTTTAGGAATAATTTACATTTTAAAGCAAACTATTATTTGATAATCATAAACATTTGAATTGGATTTTAAAACATTAATTCCTTAATTTAAAAAATTATTAAACTATAAACCAATCGTTTGAATAAGTACAAATACTTATTTATTTTTCAATATATCGAGGGTCCTAGTTTTTATAGAATCTGAGCTCGATGCTCCACTGTATTACCTATCAGTAGTTTCTCCTATTTTTGTTGTTCTTTGTTGGTAGGCAAGACAACAGTACAATGACCGAAAGTTTGCCATGCAAAAAGAAGATAAAGTAAGAGGAGCAGAGAGGGGGAGTCGAGAAACAGAATATTGTAAGCCGTAGCAAAAACAAAAAGCGTAGTAGAAAAGTAAGCATGTAAAGCCCCTACTACTAAAAACCTGTTAGTCAGAGCAGAGCACTAAAAATTCCGATCTTCCAGTTGGCTTGCTCTCTCTCACTCGGCCTCTCTGGTTTTATCCGCAGGTTTCCAGCGCGCGCCTCTCTCTCTCCCTCTCCTTTCTCTCTGCCTCTCTTGGCAAACAGGTATAACATTGGAGACTTCTTCTCGCCAACGAAACAAATGATCAAAATGTAAACTCTGATAACGTATGAAGGTGAGCAACCAAATAAAAAATACACAATAAAATATCAAAAAAGAAAAAGGCACACAATAACAAAAACAACTACCACAATGGAAATGTCGACGCACCCTTTTCTTTCTCGCGAAGAAGAAGACGGAGCAGAAACCACATCCCGCTTCAAGCGTCTCTTTTTCCCGCGGGGGAGCGAGGGAGACAAAGAGAGCTTAAAAGAGGAGCGGGTGGCACAGTGCTGGCTCGATACAAAAGACAAGACAGGGAGTGCACTTTTTTGACTTCATTAGCCGTACGATTTATATGAGTGGAAATCAAGCACAAGCTATTTATGCAATAACAGAAGCTCCGAGGAAGTTCACTTTTTCGAATATGCACTGTATATTCTTTACTTTTGTGTGAGTGTAAAAACAAAGCAGACGCCGCTGGAATGCCGTTGCTTGTTATTAGTTAGCTTTTTTATGTTGTTGTTGTTGCTAAGCCGGACATGGCAATTGGTGCTGGTTGTTGTTTTGTTCTTTCTGAGAGGGTGGCAAAATGCATGGGAATGCAGTCAATTTGAAACAATTAAAGCTAGGCGACTTAATTTTCTATACCTTTTTTTTGTTAGCCGCCTGATTTAATCCAATTTAAGCCCGGAGGGCAATGCAATCGCGTTCCTCGCGTTTTTTTTGTTTTGTAGCACTACACTCTTATAGCTTGCTAATTAAATTAAGGCAACAATTAAATTTTTGTTAACTTTTGTCGTATGGTATTTTGCTGTTGTTTCACTTGTTGTTGTTGTTGCACATTTCGCGTCGCGGCGGCTGCGCAGTCGGCGTCGAAGAGAGCGGATCGCGAAACACGAAATTCGCCAAGTGCGAAGCACGGAAATTGCGAAATAAAAACAAAAAGCTCACTTTGTAGCACTGCCTGCGTTTTTGGAGTGCGAAGCGATCGCCACTAAAAACCGCACTCGGGGATCGCACTTGTTGCAATTTTCCCTGGGAAACTTGATCGCACAGAAGAGCTCATGAAACGCGAGCGACGCGCGCCTTCGACATTTTCCAGTTTCTTTGCTAGTGATGGAAAAGGTACAGATAGTATCGAAAGATACTGTTTTGCTGGTGATGGAAAATATGAAAATACTATCGAAAGATATCGAATAAAATATTTTACTGTTATCCTCACCATTCGTTTGACTCGCATTGTTTTGACAGACTGTTCCTACGTTACAGTTAAGTGTCAAACCGCCAAATTCGACTACATTTTTCTGTCAACGCTTTGTATTTCTCCTATTAACATTATAACAAATTGAATGTACCAAAATTTTACAATGTAAATTCAGATTTTTAACATGGCGTAGAAGATTCCTTTTTGACGCTGGTTTTTTTACAGCGACACCTACCATTTACTTTTCGCACTAGTGCGACCAAAATCCTAGGCTAGTGCATAAGAACATCGATAGTATCGATAGTAATACAATCAATCGTTTAAGAAATGGCGCAAAACAAATTTTATTTCCTAATTTTCAAGTTTTTAATTATTATTAGTTTATTTATTTTGGTCGACGATTTTTCAAGATTTTAATGTGAAACTTCTTTGGACGCGTCGGAGAGCTTGTGTTAGAAGCATTATTACTTATACTTATTAGGTATTCTTATCAAATGATAACATTTTTTCTGTCTGATAATAAAGTAGGGAATAGGCAAACGCTCGGAGCGAATTATTACAAGAAGAGATGATAAGGCGAATATAGATTCATCGGCAAGAAACATAAAGAGGAAAGATACTTATTGTTGTGTATTTGTTTTTTGTTCGTTTCCTGCGAGGATTCGGAACGAGTTGACTGAATTTATATAGGCGTCTGATCGGGACCATTCCGACTTATATACTAATGGCTAAAAAAAGATTACCTGCGAAGTTTCATTCAAATAGCTCGTTTGCGTAGAGACGGATAGACTCGGCTATTGATGCTGATCAAGAAAATATATACTTATAATGGTCGGAAACGTTGCAAACTTCTAACTAAAGTTATAATACCTTGCAAGGGTATAATTACTGCTTTTTGCAATTTGATTTGTATTATAAAGCCTATGGTCCGATGCCTGAAAAACTGGAGAACCTTTACAGCGTTTTGCATTCGGTCATCGCTTTAATCGAATCGTATAAATTATATAAAATAATCGGCGTGAAGTAACATTTTTAAAAAGATTGTTTTAATCTTTAAGCTATTTGTGATTCATCAATATTAATTTAAATTTTAAATATTGGGTTAAAGCCAAATATGTAAATAGGTCCTATAGGGCCTTTTTTTGTTCTGCCGCAGTTCAGTGATAAAAAACGCCATCTTTGTGCCGCTATCAGGCTAAGAAAGTATTTCGAGAAAAGCACCATCTGACGGTCAGGTTTTCAATTACCCCCGAGAATGAAAAGTCTGGCAGCGCCCGTGCCTCGAGAGGCTGCCAGACTTTTAATATCGGAATTTTAAGAAGTGACCGCATTCCGATTGTTACTATCGAGTAAAGCTTACCGACTATGAAATAACTAAATGGCAGCGCAGCGCCGCCTTGCCCTGGTAGTGTAATGGTTAGAACACTTACCGTTCGCGCATTTAACTCGGGTTCAACTCCTCGCCGACGCAAACTAAATTTCCTTTTTTTATGTTATTTTATTTTATGAATCCATTTTAACTTGTTTAAAATTTATATATGACATGCTCGCAGAACTTGTGCAACTGGTTTATGCGCTCATCGAAGCGCTTTCCATTGTATGCAAACTCTGTATAGGGAACCGAGTTGAGCACCTTAAAGCCGATGGCTTTTCCCAATTTTTGAGAGAAGCTGGAAGTCCAGAGAGCAGTGACAGCCACAGGACGTTTGGAGCGCAGCTCTTCGTTGATATCCTCGAGACCCTTGCCCACAGAAAGTTCCTTTGTGAGCTGTATGCTAAACTCCGACAAGGAGCGCCCCAGACCCAATCGCTCGTGACTCGGCAGAGTGGACAGAAACATGAGCTCCAAGAAGCAGTCCATTTTGTACATGTCACACACATCGATTCTCTCGTCCATTCCGATCATAAAGTTCATCAGACACTTGGCTTGGGGACTTTTAACACTTTCGTTGAGAAACTTCAGGAAGAAGTGATCCTCGCCAGGCGGCGGCGAAAACTAATACAAACGGATGCAGACATTTAAGTTAAATTTAATTACCGAGAAAAGAGATTTCTTTTACCTGTATTTTGTTAAAGGCCACAGCCACCACACGATTGCTTTCCACTTCCTTCACCAACAAGGATACTCCGTCCAGAGCGGTTATTTTGCTCAATTCACGCAGTTCCCGGCGGGCCTGATCATTTTCTGGCAAATTAATTTCACAGGCATTGCACACTGATTCGTTTAAAAAGAAGGAATTATCAAGAACCTAAAAACAGGGATGAAAATCAATAAACATAAAAAAAAAGTTGCAAAAAGCGAAACTGCGTCGGCCGGGAATCGAACCCGGGTCAACTGCTTGGAAGGCAACTATGCTAACCATTACACCACCGACGCCACGTTAGTCTCAGAGCGCAACAATAGTTTTGTGCTGCGCAGCAAGCTTCGACTTGAAAAATTGCACAAGATAATTGCCACAAGATTTGCATTGACCTTGGTGCTTTATTTAAGCTTGCGTTCTGATTTAACTAACTTACATCCAGCGCCTCTTCTAGGTCCGACTCCGTGACACTGCGCACTTCGAATTTGCCTGAATTTGCAGATAATAATATATGATTTAGATGAATCCATCAGCACATCCTTTTGAAAGTGTTTTTTTTTTTACCAACCATCGTTTAAAGTCCCCCAAAGTCTTCCGTTTTGTGCCCGCATTATGAAACTCTTATCGGTCAGCTTAGCTAGCCAGAAACAAACACAGAAGGAGAAACGATGCGGCGTCGTGCCGGTTTACGACTGAACCTGTTTACGACTAGGCAACATATGTACCTAGCCGAAGCTTTCGAGACCGAACTCATAGATTGACCACTTAATCTAATCACTTTAGCACGCGAGTCTCACTGGAGCTTTATTGGGTCTTAAAACATTTTTTTTTTTTTTTTGGACTAAGGTCAGTACATTTAAGTGGCCCGTATGACACCAGGCACCTGTTTGGGTTAGGTGTTAGTAGGCGCGACGGAAAATATAGGACAGAATACGAGGAAATTGACTACCGGCGTGCTGCCAGATTGTTAGCTTGCATGCTTACTAAGTGTGTTAGTATTAAAGATTTTAATTCGGGAAGGGTATCTACGTTAGAGATTAGTGTGTACAAGACATTATTATTTTCACATAACACTCTAAAAGGTTCATGCAGTTCAAAGGAGGTTCTACAGTGGCGCAACACTAATGGGATATAGGATCTAGTAGTTGTACCATGTAGAAATTAAGCTGACTCAACAAGTCAGCACTTTCCACATCACCATGTATAAGGTTAAAAATAAAGGTTATCCCTAGCATCGTTCTACGATTGGTTAAGGACGGCAGGTTAATTAATAGGAGTCTACTAGAGTAGGAAGGTAATCTTTGGTTTGCATCCCAATTTAAACCGCGTAGAGCGAAACGTAAAAAGTTCTTTTGAACCGACTCAATGCGTTTACTATGGACGCCGTAAGGAGGACTCCAAACGCAGCATCCATATTCTAGGATAGGACGAACTAAGGAAGTATATAAGGATTTGGTAACATAGGGGTCATTGAATTCCTTCGACCACCGTTTAATAAATCCAAGCACACCCCTGCCTCTATTCACCATAGACGAAATATGATCAATAAAGTCAAGTTTTGGGTCCAAGCGGACGCCCAAATCGTCAACTGTATTAATTCTATCCAAAGAGCAGCAGTTCAGCTTGTAAGTAGCAAGCTTAGGAACGACACGAGAGAATGTCATTAGCTTGCATTTCGAGCCATTTAAGTTTAATAAGTTTACACGGCACCAAGTTTGAAAATTATTATGATCTGTTTGTAAATCAGACTGGCAGGCAACGTCATTGTATTGCACGCAAAGCTTGACGTCATCCGCGTACATAAGTACTCTGGAGTTAGTCAAGACTTTGGGCAGGTCATTTATGAACAATGTAAACAATAAGGGTCCCAAATGGCTTCCTTGCGGGACGCCAGATGTAACCCTTAGAACATTGGATAAATTATTCTTAAAGAGGACCTTTTGCGTCCTGCCATTGAAACAACTAGAGATCCAATTAAGAAGACCACTTGGAAAACCCATGGAATCGAGTTTTCTAACGAGGAGCGAATGGTTAACAGAGTCAAATGCTTTACTGAAATCAGTATAGATTACATCTGTCTGACAATTATTATGGAAGCCCTTTATAATATAGGAAGAGAGCTCCAAAAGATTTGTTGTTGTTGATCTTCGCTTAATAAAACCATGTTGACATGGAGAAATAACCGATCTACAAAGGTGCTGTAAGTGAGGGGTGATAATGTTTTCAAATAATTTTGGGATGGCCGACAACTTAGAGATTCCTCTATAATTGCTGGCATCCAATTTGCTACCTTTTTAGTGGAGAGGAATAATAAACGATTCCTTCCAAATAATGGTAAAGTGGGAGGTTTCTAAGGACAAGGTAAACAATTTCAGAAGGGGATAGCACAGGGCGTCTGCACAATACCTAATACCTGAGCACACAGCCAGGAATTCCGACGGGATCTGGCGAATAAACTGGCTTGACACGATGAAGATCTAAAAGGAGAGAGCTTTCGTTTAGGCTAGGACAGAAAATTAAGTTTGATTTGGGTATGTCGTAGGAATAAGTCTGGTATATATACGAAGAGCTTGAATAGGTTGTTTGAAAAAACTGCGAAAATAGATCGGCTATTGCCTGATCATTATTTGCGGTAGTATTTTCAAATGAAAGCGAGGAAGGATTTGTTTTAGGCTTATGTTTAGTGTTAACGAAATTATAAAACTGTTTTGGGTCCTGTGAGAACTGGGCCCTACAACGAGTTAAATAGTTTTTATAACACTGCGCGTTCAGCACGGCAAAGTTTGACCGAGCTGATAAATAAGATGAAAGGGCAGATTGAGAACCGGTGATTTTAAATTTAGCATACAGTCTAGATTTTTTTTTTTAAGTCGGCTCAACTCTTTAGTAAACCACGGCGGTGTATTCGAGCTTGGCGGATAATATAACGCAACACATTCAGTAAAAAATGAATTCATGGCACTGTAAAAAATATCCACGGCAACTGCCATGTCAGTGCACATGTATAGATCGGACCAATTGAATTCGTTTATAAAATTATTCAGCCGTTCAAAGTCCGTTTTGCGAAAACATAGGACTTTATTGGTTGGACGGTCAGAAATATTCTGTACGTCACACCCAATATGAAGAGTCACATCGAAAGTTGGATGATAAGGATCTTCGGGCTGCGAAATGTCAAACAAGCCAGCGATAAAGTCATGTTGTGTAGGTGTATTGAGAGTATTGGTGGAATTATATAAGAACTATAAGAACTCCACCCCCGCGTCTGATAGGGCGATCTAGCCGATATACTGTGAACACAGCTGGAAAAACTTCGGAGCTCAGAATCTCCGGCTTTAACCAGGTTTCTGTGAGCACAATAACCTGAGATGCAAACGAAAGTTTATCAGAATACAAGTTAGGAAGCTTACTACGTAAGCCTCTTGCATTCTGATAGGAAATGCCTACCATGAAAACTAATCTGAGAAACATTGTTATCTTCTGTGCTTAATTGTTAAAAAAACAATTAATAACAAATCAAGTCAATATTAATTATCAATAAACACTCTAGTTCCAAAGCATATAATTTCATCACAATCTTTCAGTCCGTATAATGGCTCGAATGAAGTTTACTAGTTTCTTCAGAGGTATCTTATGGTTAAATGTCATAAAAATTAAACATGACCATACAAACCCCGCGGAGTATAAGATTATAGTTTTAATACCTTGGGTGTGCAATCAGTTAGTTAGCTGCAAGACTAAATTTTTGGTTTCATTAAATTCAAAAAATAGTTGTCTGAACAGAGGTTTTCTTTTCGTTCAGAGGATAACCTAGTTTATTTTATGATTTAGTTTTGTAATTTTCTCATCCATACTAGCTTTCTTCTCTTTGCGAACTTTTATTTGTGCTTCCACAATCCGGTAGGGCAGATGTTTGGATTTGGCGGTCTCTTTCTTAGTCCTCGCTTTATTTTCGGGCAGGAACCGATTACTTCATGAGTCGAACAATATAATCCTGGTACTATGATCCCTGAAATAAAGCTTTTCTTATAACCATATTTCCTTTTTATGAGCAATAATACACATTGACTTCAGAAAGTCCTGGCACCCAGCGTTACAAGCCCTAGTCACTGATTAGAAACTGCGTCTCGTGCTTCATGTATTTGAACCGTTAAATCTATATGTTTAAAAACGCATATCTACATCTATTGACATTTTTTTTTAAATATCCACATGCGATACTTTTCCCATAGACGGGCGAGTTTACATTCACAGCCACTGGTCACACTGGTCGATCTAAGCAGCGCGCAACATTTAAATTTATATGTAAATGTAAAACACATTTTGGACTTTTTTAATTAATTTTATTGAAAATATAATGGGGAAAAAGCAATCGTTCTTTGGTAAAAATAATTTTTCTTAACTCTAAGCGGTTTTTGCTTAACCTGTAAAAATATAAGTTGCAATGGAATCCAGATGCTGAAATTTTCATTTCAATCAGTATAATATTAATTTCTGGTTTGGGAAAAGCTTAAGTATGACCATTAAGTGAGATTTATCTTATCTATGTGTATTTTTATGTATCTATGTTCTGATTATTAACCTCGTAGTTTCTTATATCAAGATGTACAATTTTTATTTGTAATACAGTCGAATCCCGATAATTCGTACCCCGCTAAATCGAAAATCGCGATAATTCGTAAAAAATTCTGTCCCCTTGAAAAAAACTCGTTAATTCGTAAAAATTCCATACATTTTGGTCCCCTCGTTAATTCGTAGTATTTGGCGCAACGCAAAGAATATTGAACCTCTTATAAATTGTAATTTTGTTTCGAAACCTCTTATAAATCGTAATGCGATGCGAAATATTTTGTAGTTAAAGCGACGTTAGATTTTGCAGGCATCAGAACGGAGAAGAAATTTGATAGAATTTACAAACCAGAGCATTAATTCCTCAACTTAAACATTATTTTTCGACTCATGATGTGCCAAATAGTGTGTTTGACAACCTAATAGGTTTAGAAAACGCAATGGAAAAAATATAAGAAAAAAACACGAAGCAATAAAAAATTACCAATTATTTTAAATCTTGAATTTTCATTTTTAATAATTTAATCTTTCTGCTTAATTTTGTTTGTTAATTTTTTGTTTAATTTTCCTTTAATTCGAAAAACGTACAAACGAATGTACATATTTATTATGTAAACATGATGTGAAATGTAAAAACCCCGTTTATTCGACTCTTTCATTTTTGAGCCCCTTTAAATAGAAATCTCGATAAATCGAATTCCCGTCTAATTCGTAAAAAAAAGTGATCCCCTTGCCATTTCGAATTATCGGGACTCGACTGTATAATATATATTTTATTTGATTTTGTCCTTTCAGTTTCGCTTTTGGTTATATAATAGAATAGCAATTAAAATCATCAGAAATAAGAGTTAAAGAGTATGAGTATTTACAAATAGCGATTTAACTGAAATTCACACGAATATCTTAAAGGCTTTTATAAATGCTTTACAATTTTAAAGTCATACTTTTTACTAAATGTTAAATTGCCTTCTGGTGGGACCACTTAGCCAAGACAATGTCGCTGTGGGCAGTTAATCTCTGATTGCTGTCTCAGACAGGCTGCTCCGTTTTGTTCGGCCCAGATGAGCTGATATTATTATCCACTGGCTATTATTTTGGTACAATTTACATAGTTTTTAATGTACCGAAACGGAAACTGAAACTGTGACTCCGTGCGGGCTTCGAGAGGATTGGAAGTGGGTGTGGGAGTGGAAGTAGGAGTGAGAATGGGAGTAGTTGTGTGTGCAAGGCAGCTTACTTAACGAACCCTTAACACAGTAGGGCTTAGTGCCACGCGGTGGTGATGATTCCGTGAAATTTTGGGGTGAGCTCCGGCATTTATCTGCCCGGCACATTGTGCCAACTCATTGACCGCCAAAGAGGCCCGGGCAACGGGCGCCAGAGATACGAGAGTCCCGACTAACATGTCAAACACAAAGACTGGCACAGACACATGCAAAAAATTATCATTTGTCAAAATCACAACATGAAACCGTTTTAAATTAAGCCACTCTGCCAGTCATACAGCCCCACGCCCACGCCCACGCCCGCCCCTTCTTCCGCCACCCAATCTTCTCGGCTTACACTCGCTCTAACCCCGCCTGCAGCTTGTGCGGGCTTGTGCTTTTGCCGGGCCCCAAAATGACATTGTCTGTGGCTGAAGTGAAGAGAAGTTCAGTTGTCATCTTTGCGGCTGCTGCTGTTGAATCCTCATTGATTGAAAACGACCGCAAGAGCAGAGTTGGAGTGGGCATGGCTCCGGCTCCAGCTCCAGCTCCAGCTTCAGCTCCAATGAAAGCTGCATTGGACGGCGAGAATGAATTCAAAATCATTATTTTGTGACAGGGGCTTATTAACTTCATTTTGTGGTGTGCCCTTCAAATCGCTTCAATTGGATGCTCTCAGCTTTAAAGACCACTGTGGGTACTCAAGGACGAGACGTTTAATTAATGATTTCTCAAAGCAGAAATGTTTAACTTTCAGTTTAAATTAAGAACCGAGAGTTCTTACCATGAAACAAAAGTTGAAATCCAACCAGTCTGTTGCCTTTATTTAATCAGTTTAGATGTATTTTTCAATCGCAAGTAAGGTGAACTTTATTAATCAGTTTAAAGAAAACGTCTACCAATCATCAATGTGTTAACCAATTGTAAAAAAATATAAGAGCGGCTGTAATGCGAATTTTAACGATTACATTCATAAAATCTGTATAAAAGGATTTTTCTTATTTATCATTCAAGTGGAATTACTTTCGGAATTACATCGAGTATGAATTTTCAACAAACCTACATACATGTTTTGGTACTTTAATTAATTAACTTTATTTCTGAAAATATGTGATTACTATACTACAATATTTTTTAGCCTTAATGATCCTTTTCAGACATACACCGGAAATATCCATTAACTACAATTATGTTTTTAAAAACAAATTTTTCACAGACTTAAGTTTAAAATGTTCTAAGTAATAGTCGTTTTTTTAGTAAAATATATTGAAATTTATTTTTTTATTTTTTAAAAGCCTAACTTTCTAGGGCTTCTAACTAGGTTTAACCATTTAGTGACCGGTTAAGACAAAACATTCACTTTTCTAAGCCGCTGTTAATTTTCAAAAATCAGTTTTTAAGTATTTTCTACTTTAAAATTTAAGTCAACTTACTTCATGCCTTATTAGTGATAACTACTATTAAAAATTAAGTAACTGACCCTTAACTCCATGCCTTATTAGTGATAACTACTATTAAAAATTAAGTAACTGACCCTTAACGCTCGAAAAGTTCTTAACTAATCTCATCTTCATCCCATGAGAATGCCTTTTTAAAGTATCTTTATGAGAAGTATAAACTGAACTTGGCGAAACCGTAGCTAAGAATATGAAATCATCGTTTCCATAAGAACAGCTCGACACCGCAAAAACGTAAGCTCTCATCATTCAGGTGAAGATTATGGACATTGTTCATAGTCACTGGATTGTAACATTCTATCAATTTTCGTCCAATTGGCCCCCAAAGGCATCTCCATTTTTTTTCCTTTTTTTCCTGGGCAGATCGCACAAACCAACGACACACTCCTGCTCATGGCGCTGGGAAAATCTCCAGGCGAACAGGTCTCCCAGCAGTCATTAGAGTCCAAATAAGCTGAAAACGGCTGCCATGCGCCAAATGTGCCCAATTTGCGTGCCATCGCCTGTTGAAACTGTGTTGTTTGAAACGGGGAGCGAATGGGGTGAGGCAGTGCCAAAAATAATCATGCCAAAGCCAATAGACGATGACGATGACGATGTCTTGGTGGCTGGCTTGACAGGAATGATGCTGGGAATTCGGGCTGGGAAGCTGGGACTGCGTGGCTGCGGAACAGCCAAACAGGTGGCATAAAGCGAAATGGGTTTGATTTTAATCAAAATAATGGGATCCGGCACCGCACGATGACGTGTATGGCTTAATTAAATAATTCATATAGATTGTTCATAAGCCCCGCGCACGCACACATCCTCAGGAGAGGAGGAGCAGGTGCTCCCCCTGGATGCCACAAGGAGGCAGGTGACAGGACAGGCTGTGTTATCAGCGCCCCCGTTTACACTCGGCATCTTCCGGCTGGTGCATAAAGTTTACAAGCGGAATAGCGTCATCAAGGAGGCACACGCACCCGGCTCGAAATTAGCGAACGCTAACCTGCCGCCGGTTCCGGATCCGTGCCTGTGCCAAGTCTATCCGCACACATAAAGCAATTTGTTTATCGGACTCTGTGAGGCTGTGAGGCCTATTTAAGCATATGTGTGCTGCGATATCCTTATGTCCTGGCAGGCAGGACAGATGTAGGGACTCAGCAGCGACAGAGGCAGAAAGGGAAAGTTGTTATTACCTAGGCGCATTTGACTGGGAGCTTTCTGGCCAGCAGTAACAGCAGGAAGCTTTCCTCTAGTTTGGGGACTGTCAAAACTGACAAACTCTCGTTCTCGCGCGCTCTCTCTCTCTCTCTCAGTGTGCGGCTCCTCTCTGCCTCTCGTCGCTTGACGTCGTGCCTGTTATTGCCACAAATTTTACACTGGCTAACAGCTTGGCATTTTCGCGGTAGGTTTTTCGGCAGTTTATGTAGTTTTCGGCTAGGAGGAGCAACGCCACAGCTACAGCCGTCGCCATCGCCATCGTTGTCGTTGTCGCTGCAAAAGGCCGAGCCAACATTTTCGGTATGTATACGTCGCGTGGAGCTCTCCAGTCCAGTGTGACTGCCTGTGCTGCTGCCGTGCCACGCGCATTGCCATAAGTGGGGACAAGAAAAAAAACCCAGAAAATTATTTGTAGTTTTACGGTGCCTTCGACGGTTGTAGGTAGGCATGCCAGTGGATGAAATCGCCTAATCACACTTCCTTTGTGCCATCAAAGACACTCCGGGTTCCGTGCCGCGTCCGTGTAGTTTCCAGATCAGGCTCTCAGGCTTTATGCCATTCCATTCCGCCCACTGGAGAGGCTGGAGAGGACTATTACCCCAGCGACAGCAATGCCCTGGTGGCCGGAACGTGACGTCCATCCGTAAGCAGGCAGCGTCGCGTCCGCCACCAGCTCCACGGAGCCAGAAGTAATAAGCAATTTGTGGCGAAAAAGTTAAATCGCGCAGCGAGAGCTGCTGCTTCTGCTGCTGCTGCTGGCTGGGAACATAATTGATTGGTATATAAGAGGCAGAGCGCGGACAGCTCCGGATGGGAGAAGATGGCGACATGGCCACCCGTAATACCCCGACCACAGGCCACCGACCAAGTCTAGCGAACCTCGAATGAACTATAATTGACTGAGAGGGGAACTGTGCTGTGCTGTGCTGTGGAGGAGGATAATAAAGCCTCGGCTAGGCATTGCCGCTGGCATGGAAACGCTCGGATTTGTGTCTTACTAATTAGACGACTCAGGACTTATCTTTTGTGACGCAAGAAGCAGGAGGCCAGCCCTCGCCATCGATGCACTTGTCCTGGCTAAATTGCTGACCGCGGAGCGTCGGGCGGACGGATGAGTCGGATGAGCGGATGAGCGGACGTGGCCAGAACTTTGCAATTTCCTCCTTTCAAGCTGTGTAATTCCGATGCTGCCCCACTCTGCCCGCCCGCTCTCTACATATGCAAACACACCGAAATGAAAGTGACAAGCAAACAAAGGCCAGAAGAGGAACATGAAGAAGCAGGCTGCGATAGTGGCACTGATGATGACGCTCTTCCACAACTCGTTAACAGACGGGAGCAGCCTTATCAGTAGCGCTGGCAGCTCTTTTGGCCAAATCACAGAGACGCGCGAGTGCGGACAGGAATGCGAATCGATATCGTATCTCCGTGTCGCACTCGGGCGCAGGCGCCGGCGCACAGATGTAGGCAACGCTTTTTGGGTTGCTGATTTCAAAGTCAAAAAGTCAAGAGAGGGAGAAAGAGAGGGACGAAAAGGCGGAGATACAAAGAGAGCGAGACAGAGAGAGCAGCGAGGGGAACTAAATTATGTAATAGACAAAAAGTAGCAGCAGATAAATATATGATTAGTCGGAGCGGAAGGCAGCAAGCCAACTGCCGTTACATAAAGACAGAGCCACAAAATCCCAACAGCCTGCAGCTGTAACGCCATCCGCCTTGAGCGCTTTCTTCAACTTTTTAACTAACATTGTGCTCACTGTGCGTGTGTGTGTGCGTCTCTGTCGGAGGGAGCAGTGCGGCAAGTGCCCTTCATCTCGCTCGTTACTCACTCGCACTCGCTGTCAATCGTTTCCACTCGTTATTCGGCCTGCAAAGCACTCAAGCCCGAAGCCAGCGCAACTCTCGCTGGGCCGAACTGAGCGGTTTTGTGGGTTCTTTATTGGATTTCCGAGGGCGTGGGGGGAAAGCGGGAACCACGTCGCTGTCGGCGCCGAAGCCGCTGTCGCTGCCTCCGTCGACTTTCCGCTGGCTTTGGCCGAGGCGCCGAGTTTTCCATGTAGGGAACTCGGCAGTGGCATGCAGAAGAGTGCGAACATAGCATGAAGTAAGAAGCGCCGAATAAAACATAGCGACGGCGGCCTAGGTGCAAAGTGAAAACCAAAAGTACTAAGCACACACACACACATAGACCCCGCACGCACACATTGTACTTGTACACATCACAGCACAGCGAAGCAGTCGAGTGTCGAGCAGAGCAGAGTCACTACTGTGTGTATATAAAAGGCTTTAGGCACATATCACGTATACGTAGGCCCCCTCAAGTCTAAGAACAAAAAGCAGAATAAACAAATACGCCAGCAGATCGGCCCCGGGCTAACCAAGTTAATGTTTAATTTGATTACCGAACAATTCGTTATATCGATCTAATTGAATTACACGGCCAGTTGCCCGAGTGTGTGCGCCCAGCGCCGCTTTATGTAATCGGTGGAAAACAAGCGAAAGAAAAAGAAGAATCGAATAAACGAAATATGGAATATAAGAAGCTGCAGCGCACTCAAAAATTCAATCGGAATTGTTTGCTGCCCGTGTTACGTAAAAATGTTGTTTGTTTGCGACCCGCGACCCCTGCCACCCGCGCTCCACTGCCACTGCCAGCGCCACTGCCTCCGCCACAGCCTATCCACAGGCATAATGGGCACTTACGTGCACGCTCGCATAAAAGAAACCCTAATAAAGAAATATCGATAAAAGCAACAAAGTCAGCGCTGCGACAACAGAGCACAATAACAGCGGCGACAACGAAAACAACAAATAACAGGAACAACGCGCCCCTAGGGCCAGCCTGCCTGTGTGTGTGTGCGTGTGCGTGTGTGTGCTTGTCCTCTATTTTTAAATTAGATTGTCGGTCGGTCTGGCTAGCCAAATATCCTAGAATCGACAGGGAAACAGGAAACTAGGAAAATGGGAAATTTCGGTCGATATAAACCTTCATTTTAGTGTTTCTCTTGCTTTGCCTCTGCTTTCAGAAACCAAGTCCGTCTAATGCTCGCTCTTCTCTGCGGATTTCTTTAAAAATAAAACAACAACAAACACTTCAACGCCAAAACCATTTTACAACTTTACTCCTTCAACAACAACAAGAACAACAACAAGCACACTGTCACACAAGAATCTCCAGCGGCAATCTGTCGGAATATTTGCTGAACTAAGCCCAGGTGAGTGGCCCCAAGCAACCCAACCTGTCCCATCGTATCCTATCCGAAAAGGGTCCCACTCCGTCCCGTCCCGAAGTATGCGCCAAGTATGCTTCAAACTTTTACGCATTTTATGTTAAATGTTTGTGCCAACTTTTTCGCATTTTTTCGTACACTTTCACGCGTAGATTACTCGACGGCAATCAGAAAGCTGCAAGCTCATTATGCAATCTTAGAGTTTTCTTTGGCAAAATCCGAGATTTTATTCTTTAGCCGAGAGTCTATTCAATGCCATGAGGACGCACCTGGCCACTTTCCCAAGCTACAAGAATAGGTTAATGGCAACGCGGCGTATACTTGATATTTTGCCAAGCCATTTGTATTGGGATAACACTGCGTATACTTGATACACGGTGACCCTTTTTTACCCTATTCAGAGAGAGAGAACAAGGGGTGCACGGGGTCAGTCAAGGAAATTCAACTCGAGTCGAATGCCGCTTATTTGCGTGTTTATTGGCTTTGGCTTTCATACTTGTTTCCGTATTAGAAAAACTTCAAACGTAATTGGATAGCAGGCAGGCAGTCTGGAGGCCAACTTGGGTTGTTTATTTGTACAAGAAGGAATAGGAAGCGGGACTTGTTTTTGTTGGTGCCACACCTAAAGCCACCACCTGGCCATAAAATTCTGAGCACGAATGCCATAAATTTTCGCTTCTATTTACATATATTAAGTCAGGTGGGGAGGAGGCATGGTTGTCCCTTTCCGTTTTCGGCCAAGAGCTGACAGAGCGCTCCGATCCCTGCTTCCCCCGCCAGGCCCGGGTATTAAAGTTAATTTCCCCAAAACTGTAAACGCTCTCTGGCCAATAACCAATTCTGATTCAACTGTTTTCTGGCTGTCTAGCTGTCAGTCAGTCAGTCACTCAGCCTGAGAGCTCCAGGACGCCATGGAGGGACTGAAAATTGTCTGCAGCATCAGCTTAATTCATTAGCTTGGACGGGAAATTAAGTCGAGGCGAGGCCAGCAGGAAAATACAAACTTGGAGAGCTCCGTCCGTCCGTCCGTCCGTCCGTCGCCCCTCGCTCCTCCATTTCCTTTTCGCTGTCCTGCCCGCTCGGCAAATGCTTTTTATGTCAAACTAATTTCGTTGCTCGTTTGCCTGGTGTTGTTTTAATTTGCGCAGCTAGCCAGAAACCCAGTTTCCGCCTCGGCTTAAGTTCGTTAGCCCAATTTGGGCAAATATTAATACATGGTTACAAAGAAACAGACACAGCCAGGAGCAAGAGGATACTTTGATGCTGGCGCTGATGTAGTTGTAGTCCTGCTGCTGCTGTTGCTGCTTCCCAGCCAGCGGCGTTAATAAAATTGAAAATTTTCGGTGCTGGGAGGCACAGGGCGCCCACATTCATTACGGCATTATTGTGCAAGAGGACCAAGCCAGAAATATTAGATTTCCCCGAATTAAGTACACCACCAGAGGGGCATGGAGGCAGAGAGGCAGAGAGGATACACAACCACAGCTGTCATTGATGAAGACGTTGCTGTAACTGAGACTCCGACTCCGACGGAATCATGAAGTGGAAAGGAATCCGATGCTCAGCATCAGGGCAAGTCCGGTAGCCACTGGAATTGCCTCCAAATCCCGCGAACGTTTCAAAAGAAATGTCAGCTCACGGGAAAAGTTGGCCAGTCGAGGGAGGAGTCGCAGGAGTGCGGCCAAAGGCATTTAAGCTAAGCGGCTTAAAGTATCAGGGAGGCGGTCCAGGTGACAGGGCAGTTTGGCGGCGGTCTGCTTGCCATTACTCTAGCTCCTTTGGTCCCTTGGTCCTTTCCCTTTCCCTTTCCCTTGTCCCGTGTCACACAACAAATTAATTTGCTCTTTTCTCTTTGCTTTGTCGCTTACAGCTTTTCGGACGTAAAGGCCAGCAGCGCGGACCGCGAGTGCATTGCCGCAATCCTCCAGCGGAGGACAACACACACACATCCCTTTCGACATCTAGCAGGAGCCTCGCCCCTAGAGCGCTAGCCCAAAGATGGCGGCCTTCATAGCCAAGCAAATGGTTGGAAACCAATTAAGTGCCGTTAAAGGTAAGTCGAACACAGAGCCTCACCTTCACCCCCGAGAGCATTTTATTTTTGCCACTCGATCAATACACTGCGATATGTACGAACGTACATAGCTACGACGACGGGTATACATAATTCAAGATGCTGCGCAGCGGCAAAAAATTACCACACATGAAAGTGGCCAACGCTTCCACATACATAGATACACACCCCCACCCAAGGCCCAGGCTCAGGCCCAGAGCCAAAGCCAGTTCCTGTCCCTGTTGTGCCAAGTCCACCCCTTCTTCCAAACGCATTAGGTAATGTCACTGGTTGCCCTTTGTTGTTGCTGCTACTGCTGTTTAATCAGCGGCTGTGCAATGGCTCGGAAAATCATTGAATGCTTTTAAAAAAGGAGAGAATAGACCGGGGGCGAGAATATTTAAGTTGGAATGCTTATCAGCGGCCAACATGCGGAGCCTTTCTGGGCGGAAAAGCATTTACATAGGGAGCCATCGCTGCCGCTATATCCCATGTGCCACTAAATATTTTCCAAGGCACCCCGTTCAATTTGCAAGCTCGCTGCAGCCGAGCTGAGCCAAGTTCGACACCATTACCAAGTTCTCTTATCGAACGCAAAAATTCTGCACGAATGCGCAGGGAAGTGGCTCCAGCAATTTGATACACTTAATTGTGCAGATTGATGTTGAATTTTCCACAGACTCCGGACTCCGGACTCCCGACTCCGGCCCAGGATCCACTAACCATGATCCTGTGAGGCAGTGAGTGGGGGCAACTCAATCATTCCGCAGCCTGCCACCATATGCGCCCTGTTTGTCAGACTGCCAGCTGCGGTTCAATTCGAGATTGCGGTTGGTACGGTCGGCCATGGCCATTAGGCTGTCAAGTCTGGCAGTGACGTGGGCTTGCCACGTTCGTGGAACATGAAAACGCTATTAGCATGGGCATAAAATTCGAAAAACCAAATCAAATCACACAGATGTAGTTGCGTGTGTCCTTATATACACACCAATTTGCGGCCAGGACCAAGATGCCAAGGCTCAGATACTTTTATCACTCACTCCTAATAGTTACTGACGTTGAATCAACAGTCGAAAGAATATACCAAGCTTGGGAACTGTGGGTGAAATATGTATATAAGGAAAGGATAGAATTTTGTATGTACACATCCATTTTTATTTAGATTCTGATATATGAAGGACCTAGTTCAGTAATACTCTCTTCAGATGATACCTTTAAGGACTCCAATTCGATCCTCTCAAGGTATAAACATAAAAATTCTGCACAAAACACCAATTTAGAGTCGAAAAATACTTCCCTTCGCTTTGCTACAAATATATATTTTAGTGCTAAGTGCATGGTGAATATTATTAGCAGCAATGTATTCTATGGTCCTTCTTGTTTTTGTATCCTTATGGAACAATTGTCGGACCCCTGGCGGCTACTTTCGGCGCTCAATGATGCAGCAAGCCAGCCACTTAAAGTTCACCATAAAAATTCGCCTGAGTGATGGAGGCGAAATAAAATATCGCCATAAAAGCTATTGTCGGGGATGCTTACGCCACGCACAGCAATTGCTCAGCCATTTCTGAGTCCTGAGCTAGGTTTCCTTTATTTTTCCGCAGCTTCACATGCCAATTGTAGAGCATTCCATTGAAAATATATGTTTTGTGGCTCCTTCCTCCAGAAGGAGATGGGTGACTTGACTACTGGTTCAGTGGGTGGCAGTAAATGCGTTTCCAGTGTCAACCATGAGCTCGCAATCAGACAATTTATTTAAGCTTGCATTAGCCGTTATTACTATTGCCTGTCTTACTTAAGGATAACTTATGGATTTCTTGTATCTGCTTGTTGGCCTCACAGAGCGGAGACAGTGCGAAATGACCAGAGCAGACAAAGGGTTAGAAGCTTAGAGATAAAGTATTGCCCGAGTGTTGCATAACTTATTGTTATATGTACCTCATGGGGGTGAGAGCCCCTCCCCAGTCGAGTTAATCTAGCCATATGCTAGTATTAAGTTTGTTACTTTTAACTATACGTATATCTAAATGGAACTATTTATATTTACTTCATCTTTTTCTTACAGGTAAGCGTTCGTGAAAAATACCCTCTGAATGCCTTATAACTATGAAAGTGCGTAAGTCGATATCATCCCCACAACCACTCTTCCACATACATCCTTACATATATAGAGATCTAATCCTTATTCAAGTTATACAAGAATGTAATATTTTATAGAGCGAAGCATTGTTCTTATGGCACTTCCTTTTTAGTTTAACGTTCACTGCTTTAGTTTCGGTTTTGAATGGTGACCCAGGACTCGTTGATTGGCAAAAAGCATGAAAAGTTGATTTAAATTTTTAAATAGTTAGCTCCATAGACCCGTTCAAGATTGAAGCTTCGACAAAGGTTAATATAAAATGTATTTTGTTAAAATAACTTGACTTACGCTTAGCCTTGCACACCTCAAATATTTAATTACACCAATAAGGCTTCGATTTTGTTGAGCCTCGAAATTTTGCGAGTGCTATAATATATCCTTCACATTCCACATGAACCTGCAAAGATATCAAATTTAGAATGATGATATTTAATTATTATTTGTTAACATAAATCAGGGATGTAATGAAAATCATTTTATAACAAGATATTTATCTTAGATTCGATTTTTATCGATTGAATAAACTCTACCTTTCGAAGTATTTAAATTTATATTCAAGAAGGTATAATTTCTAAACCTCAACCAAATTCTTGATCTTAATATATTTGTTTTTTAAATGAAATTAACAATGTTATTAAAAAGAGAATGCTTTTAAAAGCAAGAAGCTTTGATTTTATTTAACCTTTCAATTCCGGAGTTCCTGAATCAAACATCCAATAACTACTTATATCTATACAGTTATCGTAATATATATTTCGTAATCTAAGTACACACAGATCATACGACATTAATCCCTCCAAAAGAAAGTCCTTTCCTAGATACCCGCTGGAAGTAAAACAGAATAAATATATTTGCTCATTTGTCCAATGCCTTCACAGCCGAACTTTACCTCATTGTAAAACACACACGAACACACAAAAGCTTGACAAACACACACACACACACACCGAACACGGAACACAACACACAAACGACTCCCAAGTGCACAGTAATCTGTGGAACACTTCGGCTGCCCACACTCTGCTCCACAGCTCCTCCGGTCCACAGCTCCTCCGCTCCGGTCCTATTTCCCAGAGCCCATCCTGACCGTCCCAGCTCACTTTAGCACCCTTGCCAAAGACAGACACTGCCAGCAGAAAATACATGAACACGAGTACAAAAACACCACGAACAAGCAAGCAACAGCAACAAAAGCCAAACACAGCAGCTGCCATCGCACCGATAAAAAGCATACACAAGCAACACAATTCAATTTCTTCTATTACAATTTCTTCCTGACTACCAACCCAGCCGCGTCTGTCTTTCCGCTTTTTATTTACCACTCATACTTACATAACGTATACATTCGAGAATGCCACGCCCTCGTCCCAGCCCGATCCTCGTGCACTCATGACCCCGAATCCGTGCCCCCGACCAGCTTGGTAAATTGGAAATTCGAAACCTTAAATAACCCAAAAGAAGGACTGGCCTTCTGGCCAGTCCTGCAGCTCCTCCGAGAATGCTCAGGCGCCCCCTAACATCCCCAGCAATCTCTCAACCGGCTCATCAGCTACCTTTTCTACTTATTCAACTTCTTTTATGATTATGATACTTATGATATACCTATGATACCTATGCCATAATTTTACTCATACACAACTCTTGCAACTTGCAACTTGCAACTCCGAATCGCAATTCATAAAGCGTCGCCGCAAACCGCTTAAAACCAACAGATAGTGTAATATTAATGGAACTTTTCCTCTACTCCCCCTGATAACACGCTCGACAGATGCCGCAGGCGGTAATTTCTCAATTTATCGTACTTTTTTATACACCTAATACATAGTTCCATACCCTATATCTCGTTTGACTAACGTTGATGCTGATGCCGTAGTAATATTCACATTGGACATCCATTTCCCACTAGAAACAGTATCCGATTGATGGCATTTCTTCTGTATTCGATATTCGTAGACCAAATTCCAAATTTGAATCTTCATCAAATTCAAATTCAGATTCAGCATCAGCTTTCGAAATCATAAATAGTAGGGGCTGCCCGCTCAGCCACTTTATAAGTTTGAGTTTGCCATAGTTTGGCACACCACCACGCTGAGACCTCCCATAATAGTTCGCAAAAGCACGCCTTTGGAAAAAATAATTTAACGAACAGCAATTAATAAAGTTGCAACAATGCAAAGCTTTTCATTTTTCATTGCATATACGCAAAAGTTTTAAAGGATAATTTAGCATGAGGAAGAATTCTGTATAAAATATAAAGATAACATAGAGAGAATATAGAGATACTATTAGACTTTAGAAGAAAACTCGCGTCTAAAACTTTTGTTCCATCATTGAGTACTTCTGGTTTCAAATAACTCGAAATAGTAATTTCCTATAAAAAGTTCTTATATCGAAGTAATGTTCAAAGTTTTAAAAATTACTAAATGAACTCTGACTTTTTATTTTTATCAAAAGTAGCCCGATATTTAGGCTACTAACAGCTTGAAATAATTTAAGCTTTGACATTTTTGTATGCGAAAACCGATTTTAAACCGATTTTAAATCGATAACAATCGATTTATTTCTTGCTTTGGTTACTATACCTTATTTAATTTTAAGAAAGACAAGAGCTTGGAAAGTCAAGTAATAATCGTAAAATATATGTTTTGCAAGAGTAACGATCACAAAAATATGATAGCTTTATTTTTATCGATAAACAGAGGAATCCAAAAGTGATGGAACATGAGTTTAAATACGACTTTAATCGAGGTTAACCTGTGTTATAGATTGGCAATATTATTTCGACACGAGACTTATTCTAAATAGTTACCGCATATGTTGAGTTCATTTTCTTGAAACATGAAACATTTAGTATACAGTACAACAAAATTTATAGAACTCTGTTATCTGATTTCATTACGACACTGAAACGTTAGCCACAATGACAAGCCTTTTTTCTTTGGTTCAATACAATAAATACTATTTGAAACGTTACATTTGAAAATTTTTGATTTCTGCCAAACTTGTTCCTTTAAAATGCTTATTTATCTACTTCTACTTCTTCTACTACTACTCTACTATCGAACTACTTCTACTACTACTACTGCCTATGTACTACTTAAACAAATATGGAACCATACTAACTACAAAACTACTTACATCTTCTACTATTCTACTATAACTACTCTAACTACAACTCAACTACAACCTATATACTACGAATTTACAATGAGGTAAAGTATACGTATTAAAGTATCTATACTAAAAATAACAAAACAGTGTATACTTCGTCGACAACACCAAATGCAACAACAGAAACAACATGAAACAAGAAGCAAGAGAATACCAATCGCCAAATCGAAATCTATTTCTTAATATACACGTACACACACTATACTGTACTATACTATATGTAATATCCCGGGGTGTCCCCCCAAGTCTGTCAACAACACAAGTGCCGCTATGTACCGAATCCCTTAGAAAAGAATGTCCTCGAACAACACCATAATACACCGTGCCACACACACCGGTGGATGTGTGTGCATCCGTATCGATAAGCAGACATTTTGACACATATGACGACTGCGAACAGGAGACAAGAAGACAAGACACCAGCAGGTGGAGGAGCAGAAGCGACCCACGCAGCTCTTTGGTGGTAAATCAGGCAAATATAGCCAAAGTTTGCTGTTTTTTCAATTGTCTGTCGGGCACGTGCGACACCTTGCCGTCCTTATCCACCTTTGGGTCTTCGGGGGGAGGGCTAAACAACAACAGGTGATAATCGCGTTATGTATGCCATCTGTGGCTCTGAAACGTAGATATTTCAGACTCTGGAAGCGTTAATTCACGCATTGTCGAGGTGGGTGATATGCTGGTTGAACTTGGCATAAATTATGTATATTAAAAATTCCTTAAATATCCCCGAGAGCCGGAGCACAATACTGAAATATTTCCATGCAGTTGCCCGACTTTCAGCCGATGCTCAGTTGTGCATTTTTGACAAATTTTCCCGTTTTGCTGGCATGACGTCGCATTCCTGACGTGCCAGGCCAAGGGTCCTGCCAGTGGGTTGGGGGGGAAAGAGGAGTGTTTTTGGGTTGTGGACAACGCTTACAACTAATTGCTGGCCCTACATACATTCAGACTTATGGTACATAACATACATACGTACATACAAAAGAGTCAGTCGTGTGCAGCCGGTGAAATGTCAACGGGATATCCCTATTCCGCACCGAATCCCCTTTGCGCTATCCGTGCTTCCGTTCTCGTGAAGAGCCGTAAGCCGTCAGTCGTCCTCAGCCAAGATAGTCAGGACAGTCAAAGGCGCAGCAAGGACATAATTTCAACACTTGCACACGCCTTCGCCTCCTTACTTACGTTAACCCATCCGGACATCCCACACGGAAAGAAAAGTGCTTCTGATATGATGATGTTCGTAAAGCGGCACTCATTTTTTATGGAATGAGTTCTCCCAAGACTCGCAATCAAATCAACTTCTTGCTGACTTTGAGGTTTAGTCTGCTGACCTTATCCACATTATTTTAAGGGGTCTAATATGCTTAAAAAAAAGACAAGACAATTTCCTTAATCAGTACTTTTTTTGCTGGCTGACTCAAGGCATTGCCGGGTTATATAGTTGTTCTATTAAATCCCATCTAGGCAGGGAAAATGAATGAGAAAATAATAACTTCGCTTAAGTACTTACTGCTAATGAAGTAGAAAAAAGCACAGTCCTCTGGCTCCATGGAATACATTAGCTCCCTTTTGGGATTCGAACCTACCACGGACTAATAACTAAGCCAAAATGATGAGCAATCGAATACCGTTCAATTCTATATCGAGTTCCTTCTCCTTGAAGAGTAAAATAGGACAAAGGACTCGAGTGTGGCCATAAGTAAATATCGGGCTTTTGAGGCTGTTAAAATGTAAATGACAGAATATATATGGGGTAGTGGGCTGGGTTGCTATTAGCGACTATGGCAATGAAAATATTGGCAAGGGGAGGGCACTAAACCAGCCGTTCCATAGAAGACTCACGTACTCGTCACACACATGACCGAGCGAGGACGGAGCACTTCCTCCTTTTAGCCGGTCTTGCTGGCTGGGATGTCGTCCCTTTGACCCAGATGCGTACAGGATGCGTGGTGGCGGTTTCAAGGGTCCAACGGAGCTCAGCGAGCCTGAACCGGATTAAGCAAGAAAATAATTTGCCGTTCGTGCCTTTTCACCTACTCCTGGCACAAAAAAATTACGCTGCCTGGAGACGAGGGCACAAAAGGGGGCGTCGCAGAACACTTGACACAAATGAGCGAAGCTTCCTCTCCATTTCCCGTCTCAAAGGGGGAATGCGACTCGGCTTGGGCACAATAAAAATGTAAATGGAACTCTAATGTAGTATTCCTCGGCAAGCGTGTATTAAGTCGAATAAATGTCACCCGGCCTGGGCCAGCATCCTCAGCATCCTCATCCGCAGTTGGTCGGGCTTAACTCTGCACTTATAGCTGTGGATAAGACAATTACGCTGGCTCCGTAGTTTCTCCTTCGACTTGGGCGCGTTCCATTTGCGCCCTGACTCCGCCACTGCCGCAGCCACATTCACATCCTCATCTCCTCATCATTGGGATTCGCTAACGTGTTGGTATTCAAAATAGCAGTCGAAGCAATAAAACGCACTCTACGGCTTAGGGCAGCCGGAGAGCGCCAGCTCGTATATCAGACTTATGACTTGTGCCAAACAATTTGGGATGGATGTATTGTGGATGAAGGCACGCAGCGCGGCTGCCTCATCCATCTCTCATCCCTTGGCCCGATCCGAGGGGCCCCGGAGTAACCCCAGTCACTCGTGGCAGATAGGTATTAAGTACCCTCATTTCGCCCACGACACGCAGTGAAAAGTAAAGCTTTTAACGGCAAGGCAAGGAAAAAAGTGAACGAAATGAATAAAATGAATGAAGGAGGGAAGCCCCAAGAACCAACAACCAATTTGTACGGTCAGGACGGATTGGACTGGACTGGACTGGCTGGATTTTTCGGGCTGTCAGGAACATTTCTCATGCAAATTGAAAGCCTTCGCAGCCTTAAAGGGCCATCAATGGCGCCCCCGCGCTAACGGGTTGTCCGTTTCCATTAGTGGGATGGACACAGAGAATGAATGGCGGAGACCGAAGAATGCCAAGCCGAAGAAATGTGTCTTGCCCTGCTCCAGCGGTGTTAATTATGTTGGCATGATAATTGCATTACAATAGGCTTGATTAGTTTTTAATTGAATTGTGCACTTATTCAGGGAGTCAATCCTGTGAGAATCTGCAACCGGACTTTTAAAGAGGTTTTCGCTTCCTTAACTTCTGGCCACTCGCAGTCATAGCTTTGTGTGTACCGCCACAGGAAAAAGGGGGCCAAGGGCCGAACGATGGGCGAAGTTCGTAGAGTTCATAAAGCAAATTACGAAAGCCCCATAAAAGTGAATCTCCGCCGGCTCTTCCCAGCTCCTGCTGTTACTTCCGCTCGAGGTGCGGCAGTGGCCATCCATTTGACACCATTTCCCCGAAATCAATTTATATTATAAAATACTTTGACTAATTTATGAAAACAATAAATGCGTCTGCAAATCAAGTCACAGTCACCCTAAAAAGTTCATTCACAAAGCTATTCAGCAAATTGATGACTATAAATTCAATTTAATGTGCGTTGCCTTTTCGCACACCCAAAGAGAAGGATGGCTTCAGCGACAGAGAGAGAGAGAGAGCAGCAGAGCAAAGTGTGGTCATCCCCCGAGGACGACGACGACGACGACGACGGATGTGCTCAAGAGCAGCGAGGAGCTCTTCGTGGAATTTGTGCGTTTGCGCTGATCCTGATGCTGACGCTGTCCTGGCGCTGCTGCTGCTGCCGAGTGCGATGCCAAAGGGATGCCAGTTGGAGCGAGCGGAAGAGCAGGATGGCGCTTGCCAGAAGCGGAATCGGAATCAGAGCCGCCGGAATCGGACTCAAAATCCTCTGGGACCCTGCGCAGGCGCTGGCTATCCGCTATTTGCAGGGATGCTGAAATCTCGACGCGGTCCAGCGACGCTGGCTGCGACCGCGACCGCGACTGTGACTGCGACTGTGGCAGCCTGCACGGCGGCAGGACATAAAAGGCCAGGCCAGTGCTGGCAGCACTCCTACTCCGAGTTCGCACTCCTGCGCCTCCAGTTCGCTCCGCTCGCTCGTTCCGCCCGTGGGACACACTGCATCTCTCGAACTGGCTTCCTTCTGCGCTCAGTTCGTGCGCGCTCGTGGTCGCGTTCGCACTGCACTTCGGGGCAGTCGCTGTGAATCGATTGGGATAGCCATGGCAACCGTGACACCACCAGCAGCAGGGCCAGCACCACCACCACCTCCTCGGCAGTGTGTCAGAGGTGCAGCTCCTGCCCGTCGTCGCTGGCGGCGCAGTAGCAGCAGCAGCAACAGCAGCAGCAGCTGCGGCCAGTAGTGACAGCATCGGCTCCGGCAACGGTTGCATCCACTCGCTCGACGCGGAGACCAGAAGAAGGCTCGACAACGGACAGATAGCAGCGGCTGAGGGCGCCCCGAAATCATGAATTTCATTGGTACGCTTTCGCAGAGAGCTGAAGAAGCCTTGCAAGAGTCTTCCAGTCTTCTTGGCCTAGACCCGCAACGCTCTTTTCTCGATTTTCTATTTCCGGTTGCGGATCTATTGATTTCTGCCACCTCTATCTGAACAAAACACTGCCACAACTACAACTACAACTCAACTCAACTACTACTACAACTCCTCCTCAACTCTGACACTCTTACCGATTCTTCTCTGTCCCATGTAAGTCTTTGCAAGCGAATTTCATTTTATTTTACACCCGCGCTCGTGCGTATACGTAATCTATCCGTAAGCATATGCTGGCCCACTGCAACTGACACTGCACTTTGCAGTGGCAGCCGCAACTGGGCCGAGAAAAATCAATCGAAGTGGGGGTTGCAGGCCGCGCTTATCGATTTTTAACCAACAGCAGCGGCAGTAGCAGCAGCAGCGGGGAATTCAAGGTCCGAAACAGCCTCGTTCTTGGCCAAATCTAGAGCGGATTGCAGGGCGGCTGCTCCAGTTGAGGGAGAAGGGTGTCGCCTGGACTGCACTGGAACGCTTCGGCAAAGTCGCGTGAGTTGCGGAGCAGAACATGAGTTAGTTGCCGCTTGCGTTCCTGCTGCAGTGAGCCCAACTGGGAGCGACAGTCCACAATCAGGCTGCCGACGAAGTAGAGCCTCTGCAGGGACATCTTGGCCCGTCCAACGGCCAGGAGTCCGTCGATCCTCTGCTGCAGAGCAGCTCGTGTCGGGTTGGCTAGCCACTGTTTGTAGCAACTGAGTGTCTGCTGCTGGGCCAACAGGCCGAGGAGCAAGTCGTTGGCATTCACCTGGCTGCCAGCGCACTCTTGGAAGGCACTGAATCTTCGCTCCGAGTCCTGGCTGCGCCAGGCTCCTGGCGTCCTGGTGCTGCTCCCGGCGGCCACCAGGCTCCGCGAGAAGTACTCGCCCAGGAGCAGGTAGTTGAGCGGGGTGCTCAGGTTCTGCCTGCCTAGCAGGGCGTTGATGGTGGAGAAGACCTGGGCGTACTGACGCAGCTGCTGGGAGGACTGAGATGGCGGCTGGCGCCGGTTTTGGAAACGGCGCAGCTTCTCCAGATTGCGATAAAAGCTGCGCCTTCCCAGCACAATGTCGTGGTAAGCGGCGTCCAGTCGTTCGTCTCCATTGAGGGTCAGGTGCATGACGTGGCCCAGGAACTGTTTTGAGCTCTGCTGCGAGATCTCGTCGATCCAGACACTGCCGGCCAGCTGCTCCGTGTAGGCCTTGCCCAGAGCTGAGTACATCTTGGTTAGTTCCACTCGATCCGCAGTGAGTCGCTGCACGACGTGGGCGTAGACGTCACCGGCATAGGTCTCCGCCAGCTGATGGCAGTCCGTGTCCACGATGTCTGCAATAGGGATATCGTTTTAGATCAATCTTAAAAGGGTATTTTGCCATAGCCTTCTTACTCACCCATCAAATAGTCCGTCCACATCCAATTGAGCAGCCGGTGCATGCTGGTATTCTGAAGTAGCAGGAAGTAGTCTACCATTCGGGGCAACTGCTTGACCACGATCGTGTCACTGGCCTGTGGCGCCTTGCCGCCCAGCAGCTTCCTGAAATATCCATCCCAGTTCAGACCACCCAGGGAGGCGTGTCCGAAGGCGCTGCGCTTGAAGTTGCCGTAGGTAAACTGCACCTGATCCTCTATGTGTTCCGTCTTGACAATGTCCCGCCGACTCCGCTCCAGGCTGAGCACCTCGAGGGCGGCCACGTGGGCGCGGCTCTGCTCGATCCCGAAGAGCTTGAAGACCTCGCCCACGCGCTGCTCGAACTTCCGTAGAGTGTGACGCCGCGTCAGGTCGGGCTGTAGGATGAACTGCCTCTTGTTGGACTGCATGCCCACCACTGTCTCGAAGAAATAGGATGCCCCTACTTCATGGAAGTGACCAAGCAGCCCCAGCCAGTTCAGAGTCTGGTTATTCCGCTGAGTGGCATTCATCCTGACCATCTCCAAGGCCGGCCAGCCACCGCTTAGCCGGAAGAGCTGGGAACTTTTGAGGGCGTCAATGCCGCGTGCGCTTTCGCAGGACTTGAAGAAGTTAACCAATTGCAGTTCCATGTCCATTAGCTGTCCGTCATCTGCCTCTTTGAGGAAGCTCTGGAAGCGTTGCACTCCCGTCTGCGTGAGATTGGCGCTGCGGGAGCACACGTAGCCGTAGAAATCCTGACACGGCTGCTTGCTGGGGTCCAGATACTGTTCCAGCTTGTAGGAGAAGTGCAACAGGTCGTTCTCCACCCTGGCCAGGCTGTCCTGGCCCCAGGCGTGACCTGTCACCAGCAGGAGAAGCACCAATATCCTCGCCAGCATTGCAGGGAACGTACTGTTTCTCGGGCGACTTGTGTCGAAATGGTATTAATTATTTTCTCTGCTTGGGCCCTATTCAACTTGCACTTGGGAGGTCGGTGGTTCCACAAAGGTCACTCTGCTATGTTAATGCGCTGGCCCACTTCCGCCAAGCTGCACCAACTACTTTCTGCTACTGCGTCCGCTTCCAGACGGAGGCCCCAAGACACTGAACCGACGAGGCACAATCCCAACTAATCGCGTTCCCATTAGTTTCCTCTGTCACTGGCAGTGGCACTGAAAAGAAAAACGGCTTGGGGCTGATAGTGATAACCCCGTTTGATGGGCGATAAAGTGTCGACCCGCGGGGCGGACTTGTAATCAAATGTGTCAAAATGTCAGGCTTTGGATGCGAGGACCGAAATCGGTCATGGCCGTGGCGTTTCTAATTAAATATTGACATGATGCGGTGTGAATGCTGTGAAATAAGTTTAGATTTAGACTTCAGAGAGAACTCTAGCTAACCTATTCCATTACCCTATTCCTTACGCAGGCGCTGTAGGAGGTGATGGTGGCGACGATGGCGACGACAAGGAAAAGGCAGAGGAGGAGGAGAGGGAGCGCCAGGAGGCCATTCGTGAGGCCGAAGAGCGGCGCAAGGAGAAGCACCGGAAAATGGAGGAGGAGCGCGAGAAGATGAGGCAGGACATTCGCGATAAGGTGAGTGGTGACCCGGAGATGCATATTCGTCAAATGAGTGTCCAAATCGAAAGTTTTATGAGCTACGCCACGTTCCTGACGCAGTTCAAATTGACTCTAGTAGGGAGTCCTTTGTACGAGCGACTCCCTAACGGAGTCAGATTGAATTACCAAGGAGAGAGACAACAGTGAGATGCCAACAAGTGTTAGATGATAAGCCCTATGATGGCCTTGTCCATTTCGGATGAATCTAATCAACTAATCCACCCAATCTCCCATTAGTACAACATCAAGAAGAAGGAGGAAATCGTCGAGGCGGCCCCACAGGAAGAACCCAATCCTCTGATGAGGAAAAAGAAGACGCCGGAGGAACTCGCCGCCGAAGCGGAGCAGGAGGAGCTCGACGATTTTACAAGTAAGTTATCGCTGTCATTGCTGTGATTGCTCCTAACTATAGCGCTCAGCTACTGGCATCTATCTACTGCTAATCGAGTCCACCGATTGGGCGCCATTTAGAGTGTAACTGTACCAGATTTTCAGTTGGTTTCCTTTTCGTTTCCTTTGTACTACTACTACTACTTACTGCCCCCTAGAGCCGGGCAGTACTTACTAAAACATATATTTTTGACTAACAACTAAACCAAGAAAACAAAAAGAAAACCGAATAAACTGCAAAACTAAATAATCAACGGCGCCCGAAAAGTAGTAACTGTGTTTATGTTTGTGCATCCGTGTATTCCTCGTGTCTACGTGCCAACCAGCTCTATCCAATCTGACTTTCTCAGCAGCTAACCATCTATCTATCTACGCTATCTGTCTGTATCTGTATCTGTATCTACATATATCTATATCTATTTCTATGCCCATGCCCTGTTTCCTGTGCGTGTAATGTGAACTAACCTATATGCAAACACCTAGACTAACTTTAACTTTACAGCCAACTTAAACACAAATGCTAACTCTAACTGCAACCCTGCTATCTACTATCTTCTAACTACTCTCTGATATCTGTCCAAGATCTAAACTTCAACTGTAATGCAACGACGAATATATTAACTCTGTCGATTACTCAAGTACATTTATAACAAGCGTGCACTCATTCGCTCATTTCCTTTGATTCCGTTACTAAACCTAAGTTGGGAATATGCCAGTGCCCCAGGGCGCTGTTAAGGGTTTCCATTTAATTTCATTAATTCTTTGCCAGTATTTTCCGTTTCCTTTCATTTTTTATTTACGACTGTTTTGGGTAACAACTCCTCAATGATTATAAATTGGTGTTAGCAGACGAACTACTTGTATACTTAGGTTCATTGTCATTGTCAATAAATTAGACTAAGGTAAGTGCGACTATTCGTAAAATCGTATTCGTTTTCCTTTTGTGTGGTAATCTTGTAATAAATTGTATTCATGAACTACTCTCTACCTTCTCTCCACCACCAAAAACAAAACAACAACCATTTTCAATAACTCTCGTTCTCTTCTTCTCTCCAAAAGAAAACCCCTCTTGTAACCTGTAAATGTAAAGTCTGTAAAATTTGTAAAATAGTCGGTACTACAAGAGACCTTCCAACACCAGCAGCTGTACGGCTCTTACACAAATCAAGACATAGTAGTTATGGTGAAAAACCTAGTTCCGAGTGAGGAAAAAATGCATTAGGTTAGAACAGATAGATATCTAAATGGGGATTGGGTTCCTAAGATTACGTTTCGAATGATTTTCCATATATGTATGTATGTATTTTTTTAATTACAAACTCACATCAAACTCACCCACTGCACCTTTATTTACAACTAGCGCCTATGATTAACCACATGATAATATAAACACTAGAACATAAAACTGTGCTTGTGTGCTCAACTGAAACTAATCACTCATATAATAAAGTATTTATATATCTGTGAACTCTTAACTAAACAACAACCAAACTAAGTAATATATGCCTAAATGGACGAAGAACAATTACAGAACTTTTTCCCTCTCGTTTACTCTTTCCTTTCCATGTGTGTACTATATGTATTTTACACACAATACTGAACGACGTATGTAAAATATATATATTGCACATGTACTGCATATGTATGTGTATTTCTTCAGCACTGAACTCTACATCTTTGCCATCTTGCTATCCCTGTCACTCTCTACTCATGATCTACTAACTCTAACTATATCTCTAAGGCTGACTTTAACAGTGACCGACAGTGAAACCGACTTAGACTCGACTAGAAACATATTTATAATTGTTTAACCAGTATGATTTTCACGATACGAACATAGGACCGCGACTGTTGTGTTGTTCCACCTGCATATTTTACATTAAAGCTACAGTTACAGTTACATTAACAGTTACAGTAACAGCTACAGTAACAGCTACAATTACAGTTAAAGCTACAGTAGACAAATTAAAGTACATGAGCGTCCATAAAAATACATATACATACCAGTTTACATGCCTAACATTTGTAGTCTACTCTACAAAATATGCTTATTTATTGCTGTTTCCATACTCAATTTCTTTTACAGAACTGAAAAATCAAATAGAAACGCAAGTAAATGAGCTAAAAACTCAAATAGAGGGAAAATGTGTCATGCAGTGATATGTCAGTCATCGTAATATGAAAAATAATAACGAAAAACACATATAATACAAAACAAAACCAAACAAAACAATAACAAATAATACAACATAACCAATAAAGCAAATATTTAACTCGACTTAAAATTGAATATCTGTTAATAAGCGATCTGTTAAGTTATATCATTGGAACAAACCATAAAAAAGCGAATAAACCCAAAAAGCCTAACTAACTAACTTGCTGTAACCCCGCAGTAATAATTCGGAAAGAAAAAAACACCTGTCGGTTCTACTTAATATTTCGTGAAGTCTATAAAACTGAATAATCCCGAGGAATAATGACAACCTTAAAACCCGATAATAATGAGAAGCAGATTTTCGAAATCTACATACATAAATGCGAACAGGACGGTGAACGTGAACTCCTAATGACTTTTAGAGTAGCTAAAGCAAAAACACGCATTATTTAACAACAATGAAATCAACTATAGTAAACGCCTTTAATAATATTCAAATAACTTTGCTTCGACGATAATGTAATATACTCAATTCCAATATGCTATACACAAACGTTCTTTAGTTGATAACATACCAAAAAAAATAATAATGAAACGACAAAAATAACAAAGAAAAGCGAATCTATCGCACGATGAGGTGCGAACCCAAATAGAAACAAATAATTATAGAACGAATAACTAACACGAAAGCAAAGAAAAACCAAACAAAAAGCGAAAAAAAAACAAAAAATATTAAGCGTATGGTGCGACAGAGGAGGTTGCTGATTCATGTCGAACCATCGAAGTATGTTGCTGAAATCCCTTTGGACCCTAAATCCATCTAATTATATATCATTACGAGTATAGAGAGATTATGAATTAAATCGGCGAATATGTTGAAATTATCATTCCGAATATATATATACACATATATTTATTTGTATATATATATACACCCTGTGTACATATGTACATTGCGTAAATATGAGAATACACTTGCAAACCAATTGACTGCAGATACATTGAAATTATTGCTGATTTACCACTGACCTTTTACCGAAAGCCACAAATTGAAAAGGATTTACGCTTCAGTCAGAGTTTGCTTTTGAAAATTAATTCAAGATTCAAGACAAAACATCTTTAACAGCTGTTACATTTTGTTTCTTTCCTATACAAAAAACTACAAACTACAACATACCCACACTACAATTGAGAATTTCAAACTCTTTGAGATAGTAACTGATCTCTCTGATTGATGCTTCTGAAATGTAAGTAAACAAGCTAACTATTTACCTTTACGAAAATATATATCTATACTATACGTGGGCTTCAGTTTCATTTCCCATTTATTTGAGACATTGAGTTTTTGGTTAAGTCACGGCTATTCCGTAGGGTACATTGTACAACAATATTTTAAAGATAAATACATATAAATACTAACCGTAGTCGAAGGAAATAGCTTATAAGAAGAGACGCTAGGCAGTTCTAGAGCATAATGCTGTGATACATTTTAGCATACATTTTTCACCAATAAGCGCACACACTGGGCGAGTCCCAGGACCCAGAGCCCAAAACCCAGAACCCACAATCCAGAATCCTCAGAGAAGCTGGAACAGAACAGAACTAAAACATGCATGCAATTTGGAAAACTCAAACTAAGGCAAAACCAATGCATACAACACAAGTGTATATAAGTTAGTGTCCATCGAAATACCCTTTACAATGCCAGGTCGCCCACCGGCCTGTATCTGTATCTGAATCCGTTCGAAGTGTCCGCTTGCAAAGGGTAGGTACTCCTGTTGACATCCCGACCATTGCCATACATACATACATTTTCGCCATAAAGAGCCGTGCCACCAAAATTGTACATACATATACCGAGTCCTGCTGCCAGGACACACTGAAAGCAATATCGTATGCATGGATGTTCGTACATAGGAGCGAGCCGTCCCCGTTTTGTAAATCGAGCCCCATTTCCCTTGCCTTTCCTCCACGAACGACTGACTGCAAGGCATTTGCTATTACCTACTAGGTTTCGATGAAGTGCGATCTCTATCTCAGCAATGTTCCAGCAATGGACTTCTGTTTTTTATTCGATTTGCGACGTGAACGGCTCGCTTGTGTGTTATCAATATTAACACAAACGCATATTTACTCGTATATATAATCACTCGAATATACACAACAAGTAATTACTGTGCCACATACAATGCCCTCTCCCTGATTGTGATCGTTCTGGTCTACCTTATGGCGGCAATCGGCCAATTACCAAAATAGAGTCATAGATACAAGGCGTTTTGCATCTTAATTGCCTTTGTTGTTATCCTATGGGCTAATATCATTTAAATGACAAGTGGGAAAGGACATTTGTGCTCCGGCCGTGTCCGGAATTAGAGCGATAGAAAGTCACTATATATTAATCATACAAGTATACCAATCTAAATATACATATATAAGAATAAATGTTTTAATTACACTGCATTCTATATATATAAATATCTCTCTCTTTCTTTCTCTGGTGTCTCTCTCTTTCTCTTTCTCTTCTTTTGATTTACAACACTCTCTCTCTCTCTCTTTTTAAATCTTTAATCTGCGCCACCTCTCTACTCTGCCTCAAATTCTATATCTGAAAAACAACAACAACAACAACTTGAACAACATTTGCAAGAACACGAAACAACAACCAACTATTATAACAACTCCAACAACAACTCTACAAAATTCTTCACAACAACAACAACAACTACTACTACAACAACGGCTTGATGATCCCTCTCTCAGACATATACTCTCGGTGTTTTTATAACTGATATAATATCATCCAGAACCAGAACAAAAGCACAAGAAACGCCTACAGCCTACAGTACAAGAACAACAACAACAACAACAGCCACATCTACAACAGAAGTATCTAAAAATATGTATTATACGAGATGAACAACTACAACAATCCAAGTAAAAACAACAACAAAACGACATGCAAGAAACAGCATCCATCGCAAAGTTCTCTACCATATTTCTGAAAGTTGTGAACCCATTAACCCATAAATATACTTACACCAACATATAGAGTCACATGCATTTAAATAGCTAAATATATATGGTGTTGTAAATGCTTTAAAATATATGTGTACAGAACCAAATAAATACCAAAGAATACATCAGAATTCAATAAGTTGCAAGATATATCAAAATGCAGAATATTATGTGTAACTTAGATTCAAGCCAGCATCATATCCATTCAAAATTGTTTAAAATAAAACCAAACCAACTAGCATCAAAACCGTCAGTTCAAGTTCAAGCTCTTCGCTGTCTCATAATCTTCTCAGACACTTTGCTGTCTCAATTTTTAAACTCCTTCTTATATGCATATCGGCAAGACAGCAATAAAGTTGTACGGCTCAACGCCTCTCTCTGTCAATCTAATAAAGCAATCCTCTAGTGCCCCCTCGCTCCATAGGAAGTTAGGAACGATAACGATTGAACTAAATGAATGAAATGAAGAATGCCTTAACGTGGCTCAGACCATACGACGACGACTAGACGACTAGACCAGTCAGTCTCCGATGCGTGAGCAAATATATGATGATATGATGATAGTATATGATGGTGATCCTACCACCACAGGGAATGGAACTTACAATCCCTAACTCTACTAGCTTTGTTTCTCTACTATCGCACTCCTATTCCAGAATCGGAATCCGTATATCTCCTATAGCTAGAGCTATGATACTTTCAAAACTCAAATCCCAAACTATCAGATCTTTACAGTAATGGCTTTCTAAATACTTATAGAGAATGTTTACCTAGATTCTACTACTATATCTATATTGCGTTTTTCTCTCAGATACTTATATGATGTTAAAGGTGACTTTGATTGTTTATAATATATTGAATAAACATTAACAAACAAAAACAAAAAACAAAAAAAAAAACAACAAGGAAACCAAACAAAAACCAACAACAACAAACTTGAAATATATTCTTCAATCATAACCGAGTTTTTAACGTAATCATAAATGTTCAAAATGTTAAATGGTTCAGCCGATGTTATTTTTATTTGAAATCTGTTAATATTGTGTTATCGTTAATATTATAGTTATGATAATGTAATTATATGTATATCAGAAAGTTCACAAGAAACCACAGATAATTACACAATATTATCTATATGTATATGTAAATGTGTAACTTAATAGGGAAATGAATTTAAAGAGAAACAACAGACAAAATTTATAAAGAATAATGTTGAAAAGAATACCATTCAAGTCATTATTAGATGTGAAAGACGTTCTATACACACCAGAAGAATAAACAAAAAAAAACAAAAACAGAAAATAAAACAAAAACAAAAAACTTAAGACAAGCGTTAATAGTTGATTAATTATATTGTTACTTTGAACATTTAATTAAAACAAACAAATGAAGGTATAATAAAATGAAATATATATATGTATAAATATATATGAGAAAACACAACAATACATTTGGTTTTACTTCCCAGGCCTCATCTCCAGGTGTTACCATTACTTGTTACCCCACCACACACCCCAAATATGTATACATCGCCCCAGATATACACTCGACTCTCTCTGTCTCTACCTGCCTGATTTATCTGATATAGCGAACTTGATTTGGCATGACTGTTAGACTATGTTTTTATCTATGTGTACGTACCGCTCTTTCCGTCTATCCATGTGTACCTATCTGTCTGTCTTTATCGATCTGTCTGTCCACCTATGTATGTGTCTACCTCCGTCCCCTCCATGTGCCAGAACAATCCATACTACCAGACTACATGTACATCCATGAGTTTCCATATGCCGGAACTGCATACGTACTAAGTGTATATCAAAGGGTCGAGGTGATGCTGTCTATCGTTGTCTCTCCTGCAAGATCTATCTACATGTGTAAAGACCCTGTAAACATGTAAAAAAAAACATATTTTCACTGCTTCGAGTACGGCGAAGGTGAGTTGCCCATGTACATTGTACAATTGGAAACGTCAGCAGGTTAGGCATCAATGGAGAGTAAGTACTTGCATTCTTATCAAGTCAAACTTAGATTTTTCCTAGGCTAACCTTTTCCTTTGTGCACTGCATCACCGCAAAAGGTAGGTAATAGCGTTGCTTGTCTATTTCGTCCACACACACCGCCGCCACCCACATTCACATCCACACACATCGATATGCACGCACATCTACCACAAATTCACATCCCAAAAGACGACCAAGTTTAAGACCAAGGCGAATTGAAAAAAAAAAATGGATTCCATTAGGGAATATATATATTGTAATCTTTGCTTAATCACTCAGAGGGAAAATACAAATCAAACTCAAAGAAATACCAACTTTCATTTCTATATATTCTTTCTACCCTTCTGTTTATCCTTTTTACGCAGTTTAACAGTCCATTTTGTAGGCAGTTTTACTAAGTTATTATTCAAGCCTTAATTACACTTGGTTTTCGTGCAAATTAACTGATTTCGTCTTGTTTGTATTTTCAGCCAAATTGAAAAAACGTCTTAGTGATGCTTTCAAAAATTGCCCATTGAGAAACTTGTTCTGAGCCACAGAACTTTCGGTTCTCTCCCAAAGATAAGAGTCGAAGCGGCGATTCGGTTTCGGTTTCAGATAACAGAGAATAAATACCGACTAGTTTTCGGTCTTCAACGTGCATTATTGCCTGCCAGCTCCTGCTCCACCCAAGACATTCCCTTGGCGGCTTTAGCTATACTAACTTGTGTGCAAACTAGGTTTGCACCAAAACGATTCCTAGTTCCAGACAGGACACACGCACACACATTATACCCAATGATTAGCCCTATTGCCTATACATATTTATATTGTAACAACCCAACTACTGTACGACGATTTTACCGGGTCCCCTCTTTGAGAAAGTTGTAGACGAGCCCAAGAAGCGACGAGCAGCCGCATTTTAGTATTTAGCACGTTTGCAAAATGTTGGATATTTGAGTAGTGAAGGTAGACGACACCTTAGACATTTAAGTTGAGCCCTAAGCAACGCACACGGACGGATGCGCCGATGCAGTGAAGCAGTTAGTTCCTTTGTACTCGAAGCGGAAACGGAAGGCGGAAGACCCACTTAGTTTGCATTAGAAGATAGCGGGAAAGCGTTTGCTGACGACTAGAAGGAATCATTAGTGAAACCAAATGTGAAATCAGATAAATCAACAACGACACTAGTTTAAATCGAATTAGAATAGCAAATTCGCCGCATACCAATATGTCTTTCAACCGTGTGCCCCTTTGGAGGGCACTCATTCAGAATATTTACGAACGCGTAAACACGTAGTAGATGATGGCTCAAAATGTTTTTGTTGTTTGCCAAAAATAATTCGTAAGATTTTCAAAGTACCTGAGAAATTCCACTGACCCTGCTGGAAGTATTAGGTTAAGGTTCTTCAAATTACATACATATATCACGCATTGCTGAGTGCAGACGACTTCTGATATACTTACAACGATATCTGCATGTTTCCTCCATATATTTCACATTTTCTTGAGAGTAACTACTACCTACCCTGCATACAGATACATATGTATTTCCGGAAGAATAAACTTAAACTATAGGTTTATCGGCCTGCCGATGCAATAATATCTTTTCCAATGCTGCTTGCTCGAAGCAACTTAAAACTAATTGTAGGTCCCCAAACCTCATTTAACGACGACTTACATTATTTTCAAAGATAGATGGCTTGGAAAAGATAGAGCACGTTTTTACGTCAATCATTTAAAGTATATAACAATCATATCTAAACCTAAAGGATTTCGTGTCTTAATTTTAAATATTACATGATTTTACAATTACAACTGAGGATAAAATTAAGATGATACTTCGAAAAAGAAAGGCAAAAGCAAAAACAAAAATAAAGACAAACAAAAAATAAACGAAAACAAAAGTAATTTTAGCCTAAGTATATATAATTTACATACCAACATGACCGACTGAAATTATTGTTAAAAGTTTTATGAACTATACTTGCATATATACATATATTGATATGATCAAGTAAAATAATAAATAAAGAAATATATATACAAGAAATTCATGATAATATATTAAAGTTTCTATACCCCTAATCAATCATAAATTTGCGATCCAGTATATACATGCGAACCTAACTATAAAAAATAAAATTATAGAGGATGAAATCAAATTTTAAAGAGATGCCGTGACGAGCATTACCAAAGTCAAGTTAGTTATCTAGGATCATATACAAGTAAAGTGAATTCGATACAATAGTTTTGACATATGTACGCATCGTCACAATATTTACACCTATATATGTACATCATTGACAACTGCTCTCGCCGGGTCCTGGTCCCATCCAATCTGATGTTTCGGTTACAAGTGTGAAATTTAAAAGCAACAAGACTATTTTCAACCAAACGCTATGCATATGTATATGGAACTCTTGCTAGAGTATGAGTTTTCGCCAAATCGAATTCATTAATGCCCGTAAGCCGAAAGCGAATAAATAATAGTTACCAGTCTAGAAATTTATCGGAGTTCAATTTAGCATTCTCGGATTTCGAAAGCTACGTTCGTAACGAATGCCTCTGTTACTTTCGAGCGAATATACAAACATACATATAACTTACAAATATGCCAAAGTTCTTGTACATGAATTAAAGGATATTCGCGAAGGCCAGTGCAAGTACGAGTATAGGATTGCCGTAGCGATTACCAGAGTATTGTACGAATTCTATACCGAATCGAATTGTATTGTATTGCATTGTAATATGTTGTATTGTATTTATTGTTGGATTGTATTTTAATATAGAAAGAGTTAATTTCCAATAAAGAGTTTTTAAATGCATTATGAAAACAGCGACGAGAGAGCCCTTTTATTTCTTTATTGCTTGGATTATGGCTGATCCTGATAGCCTCACGCATTTCAACTAAATTCTCAACATAGCCACCGCCTTTGCACCCACGCAAATCATTCTATGCACATATACACTAAAAGAAACTTGGACCCAGTGTCTCATATTATGACAGTTACTGCAAGGTCCTGCAACCATGATACCAGATGAATCAGATGAAACAGGGAATTTTAAAGCGGATATAAGTATGTTTTTGTGAGTATTTTAATTTAATTGATTAGTTTCTGTAATTATTTCAGACGCGTTGTATATTTTTTAGATTCTTTTCTACAGAATATAGCAGAAAAAAAGTCAATTTTAAAATTACCTTTACGGGCTTGGTATGTTTTACTTTCGTAATATTTGACTCGTCTTTTGACTTTCCGACGATAACTAGGTTTATTAAATATTCAAAGAAAGGACATCCGTTCAAGGATATGTATGTATGTTTACTCATATTATACTAAGCTACAGGAATATGAACCTGAAAATGTTTAGATTTTGTTTTTAGTGCGCTACATTTCTCCCTAAATCTCAATAGATTTTGTTAATCAAAAACTATAAATAAGGATTAAAAAGTTGAAGCATTCTGTGAAACTTATCAATTACTCCTGTTAATTTAAATAATTAAATACGCTGTTAAAGTAACCCAATATTTCTTCCGGTGTACTCCATTGTATGACGCCTTTATTGGAATTTGGTAAAACTCTTCCTCAACATTTTACGCCGCTGTCGTTTTGCGAGCCCGCATTGTTTAGACATAAAATTCCAAAGTGTTTGGAATTCAGAGACTTCTCTGGGGCCTGATGACTATGCCAGGTCCTTCTCCCGTTCAGTTCACAAGGACCGTCAGTGTAGGCGCCGGCAGTCATCATATCAATAGACCCCAAAGATGGGAATGGGAATGGAGATGGGGATTCTGGTGGTGATGGTGGGATGGGTTGGGAGACCAGAAAACTTTCTTGGCAAATCAATACGGGAGAGTGTGCTGCTTGCAATTCCCATCGGACATATCTCGTTTAATTAAAAAAGTTCTCCGCTGTTTCGGAACAATTGATTCCAAAATGTACATCGTTGACATTCTATCGCATCCATCTCACTAAATGCCCTCTGCCTAGGAATTAACATGATCACACGGACCAGTGATTATAGCACTATATGTGACCCAAAAGGTTGAGCATTTCTCAGGAGAGCAGCATTAAATCAGCAGAAGATGGCATCCCAGGGCATGGAACTTATAAATAATGCAGCAAAGGGTTTTAATTATACAAACCCATCGGACGGACACGGACCTCGGACCCCACAACTCAACGGCCAAGCACTTTGCGGCCAGCCAAGTGTGAAGTACCGTGTTTATTAGCCCAAAACAAAGCAGCATCTCGCCAACGGCTCCAGGAGTACGGCCCGCACACAGCCTCGCAGCCTTACAGCCTGCTGCTTCCCACAATTTCCAATTTAATTTAAGAGGAGTTGCCAGGATGGACACCCGGAGGCCAGGCTGTTCCCAGATAAGCCGGAGGTAAACCTAATGAAATGCATTGTCAAATGAAATGGTAAAATTGACGACGTCCACTTTTTCCTAAAGTGGGCATTGACATTAAATCAGCAAACTAACTGCCACTAAACAAACAGAAGCACACGCACCCATCCCTTGCGCACAGGAAGTAGCTGCCTCTCCACTTGATGCCTGACCGACCGACCGCCCTCCCACTCGCACTCTGCTCTCTCGATCTGAACTTAAAAGCACTTGTAACAAATTGAAATCATCTATCTTTTTGCATTCATTTGCACCCTTGCCATATCCATGCACACACACTCCATGGCACAGCAATTTTCAATTCACCTCACAGACTGTAAGAGGCTCATTTCGAAAGGGGTTTCATACCCCCAGACTAACGCAGTAAGTGTTTAAGTGTGTCGTTATATATGATATAAGGCCCAGGATTTGTAGTTTTTGATTAAATATTAAATATATACTTAGTAAGGTAAAGCATATTTTATACAGTTTGATACTCATATAAAGTTATTGCTAAATCCCGCATTTTTAATTTTTAATCAAGCGATTTTCATTTCACTTTAAACCCAATAACGTTTAAACTATCAAAAGACTTTGAAAATGAACAAAGCTTTAATTTAATTAAATATTTTTAAAAAAGTTCTGGTGATCTAGAATAAAATCATGTTTGTAACCTTCTTAATATCCACTTCTCTTGAAGAAGCCATAATTAAATAAGCAAAATGTGTATATTTCTGTAAGCTTTATACATTCCAGGAGAACCATAAATAATAAATACTGTGCAGTAAAATCTTTTCCAAGCCATTTATTCAAAGGATTACATAAGCTATAAGACTTCTAAGACATTTGTGAAATATTTAAACAACTCGTGAATCGATCCGAATAAAACTTTTATAGATATTGGATAGGATAAAGAAAAAATGTATTTCTCAAAACCTTTAGCACATTTTTCTTAAAACTGTTTTGTAAAAGCTTGTGAGTTTTCAAGATACATACAATGTACGAAAGTTTCAGACTTCCCACTAATGTTTTATAGTCTCTTTTCTTATAAATAATAAAATGTTTGAACTAAATATGATATTTTGTGTATTTAAATTTTCTCTTTAAAACTGAACACATTTTACTCACAACTCATGTGAAACCTATTCATACTTTTATTTAAAACGAATTGAATTTTGTCCTTTAGTAAATATAAATTGTAACGTCCTGAAAACAAAAGAAACGCTTTTGTTAATAAGCTGTGGGTCGACGGGGATTTACAAAAAAAAACTCTTATTGACGCACTCTCTCAACCGACTTGTCAACTGCAGCATCAACAGGCAGTCGCTCTTTAAGTTTATGTGTATGTTTATACATAGATATGTAGCTTTTAAAGCGGGCCAAGATCTGTCATCCTGGATTGAGGCAGAGGAATAAAATCATTGCACTTTCAAGTTGGAGCTGCCTGATGATGCGGCAGCCGTCAGAGAGGCAGAAGCTTCTCTCCAGCAGAGCTCGATTGCCTCGACGCGGGCTTAAGCCAGAACCTGACCCAAAACCAGACCCTGAGATACACTCAGACGCGGGACGGCCCAGACCGGACTTGGGCAATCTCAGCTCGCTGAGAGAGCTGCGCTGATAAGCTCAACCTCGGAACCAGAATCAGAATCAGAATCGCTCGGTGGCTATTCCACTCACCAGTTCTCAGCCAGCGAGTCAGTGTGTTTCCAGCTGGCAAAGGCAGGCGCACGGAAAGTCGGTTCATCCAGATTCGGACGGTATCATAAGATAGTTATCACCATGGATTCACATATTCTTTGGGGCATTCTGGTGACGCTCTTGGTGGGGACAACCCACACATACGCACAAGGCAAGTCGTTGACTGGCATTGTTTACGTCCAACTAAAAGATGTGATCGCCGTCGCCTATCAGGGCTGAACTTGACCCCGAGTCGAGTCGAGTTGTGGCTTAGCGGGGGACATTCCCTTTCCCGTAGTGGAACACGTCTTGTCATTGCTATTGGGTTTATTTATATTCCACAGAAATCTTTGGGTACTGCACAACGCCCGATAATGACAGTGGGACATGCATCAAACTCACGGAATGCGGATATCTTTACCAAATTGTGCAACGCGGCTCTGTTTCAGGCCCAAACCGTAACTTCCTGGCGAACAGTCAGTGTGGTTACCGCAATGGAAATGTGCTCGTAAGTAAGACTCGGAATAAGTTCACTTCGACGCTACTTAGGTATGACGTTTAATTAGAGAACAAGATTGGTTTTTAAATCAATTAAAATTAAAAGTATGAAGCAAATCGTGTTGATTTTCTTTATTTTATTATAGATTTGCTGTGCAAACAATCGCCTGAGACCTCAACAGCCGCAACGCCCACAGCCCACTGTCGCAACACCTCCACCAAGACGTTCCGGACTGCTCCCCCAGGCACCCAATTGCGGAGATAATTTTGGAAATCGAGTCGTTGGTGGCGTGGAGACGGGCAAACGGGAGTTCCCGTGGATGGCACTGATCGAATACACTAAGCGTGAGTAACTGCGATTTGGCTGACGATCCTAGACTTCAGGTATCCTTCTCCCATCCGCTATTATCAGCTGGCAATGTCAAGGGACACCACTGCGGCGGTTCGCTGATCAACAATCGCTACGTGCTGACGGCGGCGCACTGCGTCTCTGCCATACCCAGTGACTGGCAGCTAACTGGCGTTCGTCTCGGCGATTGGGACACCACCACGAACCCGGACTGTACGACGGAAAAAAACGGACAACAGGATTGCAACGATCCCTACGTGGACAACCCGGTGGTGGAACGGATACCACACCCTCAATACCCGGGCAACGCCAGAGATCAGCTGCACGACATTGCCTTGCTCCGGTTGCGGGACGAGGTCAAGTTCAGTGACTTTATTTCGCCGGTGTGCCTGCCCAGCCTGCCGTCTCAACGAGACGACATTTTCCTGGGTCGCAAATTAGTGGTGGCCGGATGGGGTCGCACGGAGAACAGTTTCACGGCCAACATAAGGTTAAAAGCAGAGCTGGATCCGGTCCCAATTGCGGACTGCAATCAGCGGTACTCTAGCCAACGTCGCACTGTCACCACCAACCAAATGTGCGCTGGTGGCGTTGAGGGCGTCGACTCTTGCCGCGGGGACTCCGGAGGCCCACTGCTGCTGGAGGACTACCATGAGGGCTTTGCAAACTACTACATTGCCGGGGTGGTTTCATACGGACCGACACCCTGTGGCCTCAAGGGCTGGCCGGGCGTGTACACACGAGTTGCGGCATACCTCGATTTCATAGAAAGCAATGTTCGGGCCTAAACTGCAGATTTTCTCGCCTCGTATCCAAAAAATTGATGACGCGGCATTTGGATTATATCGTTTTTAAAATACAAGTTAAATTATACAATAAATAAATTTAAATTGTGTAAACTAAAAGCGTGTAGCTCATCACAATTTGAACCGAGCAACTGTACACTTATAAGGTAAATTTGAATGTTACTTTTTCAAGATGATTTTGGTTTCTGCAATTCAACTCTTTGAATTTTGGAAAGTTCCGGTCACTAGTTTCCCATTTGAATCCAAATGCAGCTTCTGTAACATTTTGCCTAAGAGCGCAGGGAGGCCAGTCGACTCTGCATCTCTTGCAGCTCCTCGCCATCGTCGTCGTCGTCGTCCTCCGCCACCGGAACCTCGACCCGAGCAGGCGCAGCCGCCTTTTCTGCGGGTGTAGCGGGAGTAGCCTCTGGGGTAGGGGAGCCTCTCCGAGTTTACCATCGGTTATCTCCCACAAGACCTTGTCCACCTCCTTGGCCGCCTCCTCCTCTAGCTCCTCGGACTCCTCCAGCGAGTCCATGGTTTCGTCCAGCATCTCCTCAATGATGCCCGCCTTCATCATCTCCTTGGACATGTCGCGCATTATGCCCGCCAGCTCGGGATACCGGACCAGACTCTGCATGGCCTGCATCACCTCAGTGGACTTTTGCAGGGATCCGGCAACACGCAAGGTGGCTGAAAAATCGATCGTTAGGTCAGTCGAAAGAGCCACCCCCAGCCCCAAGGGTATGCTGTCCACTCACCCAGTTGGTTCTTCATCTGCATCTGCACGGAGTTGAGGTGGGCCTTCGACGTGTATATGCGATTGATGGCCTTCCGCGCGTTCACAATCTCCTTGGCCAGAATGATACATGTATCACGATCATTTTTCTGTGCCGCCTGCTTAAGGGAGCGCTTCACCTTGTCCTCCTCTCGCTGTATGCTTCGTATCTGGCGGTCCAGCTGGTTGCCCTCCTTTCGGATCTTGTGCGTCCACTCTTGCACCTTAAAACGACCACAAAAGAAATCGAAGAAAATCAGAATTAAAGTGAAAACAAGAAACTGGAACATGACATCATTTCTGGAGAACGCCTACAAGCGAGGTCATTGTTGTAGTATGATGTTATACCTGCTCTTTGGGGTCTTTGCTTGGGGTTTTGCCGAATAAGCCCATTGCACACTATTCGGGAGCGAGACGAGAGCCGCTTTGCTTATTGTATTTATTTTTTTTACTTTACTTTGTTTATTATTATTTATTTTGTCCCAGTGAGTCATCGATATCGATAGGCCGATATGTCATCGTAAAAAATACTAGGACATTACAGTGTGCCCGCTGCCGAAATGAATTTGATACGTCAATGTCCGACTCGCTTATTCCCTCCACTTCTGAATTCTTGAGAAGCTTTAGGCATGCGGAAAAATTTGCTAATAATCGTTGGGTAGCCCTAAAAAAACAACAAGGAAAATTACCGCTTGCTAATCTGTGCTGCCAGACCCGGACACTTATCGATAGACATACCGATACCGATACCAAAAATGGCGTCGCCATTCGCTGATTTTTTGTTGTTGTTGTTGCCCCTAGAGAGAAAATGCAGCAAATCTTACCTCGAAATATAGAAATCGTGTGAAATGTGAGATTAATAAAACCAAAACGAAAGGCATGAGAAGTAAGCACCGCGGACGCAGGAATTGACACCGACTTGCTGCACCGACGGAGCCATGGCAGCAGCGGCGGCGACTACACCTGCAACTTCCAACGGGAATCCGAGCTCTGCACCTGCAGCACCTGCAGCTAACCCTGGAGGGGGGGCGGCTGGAGGTGCACAGTTCCGGGAAATACATAAGAATACATGGCTGAAGAGGCTGACGGCGGATGGCAAGCGTTTGACTGTGGGCCCCAAGGTAAGACTACTCTCCATTATGCAGGTGATTTTGAATACTTAATGCGCCTCTCTTGCAGAAGTCCGAGTGCACCTGGGTGGTGTTCTGTGTTCACGATGACACCGATGCCCTGCTGGAGGGCTACGCCGAACCCCGACAGGCAGCCGGACACCTGCCCGAGTGGTCAGTGTCGCTGCGGGAGGCTCTACACATATCGCACGCCCTCATCCCCAATTCGCACGAATTCGAGTTTGTGGTCACGCTCAGCAACGAGGTGCTACGATTCCACGCCGTCTCTTGGTAAGCAGCTCGCCGCACGCAACGTCAATTAGGAGGTTGCACAAGTCGAAGCGGCAATTCACTTTTGCTTTTTTTTGTTCCAGGGAGATTATGCAAGAATGGGTGGAAACGCTGCGCTCCAAGTTGCGCGAAATGAAGATTCTGTCGCCGCGCGAAAACCTCTACACGAAGTTACCTGAAGTGCGCGCTCCGCTGCTACCCACACGGGATCCTACATCGCCACTGCCGCCCCCGCCTCCAGTGCCGGCAGCTCTAGTTCCCGGCGTTGAGCGGGTGGCGGCCGCTAGCCACCATCAGCCGCAACAGACTCTGCCCGAGCCGTCCTCCAGTCCCGCTATTGTTCTACCGACTGCCCCTGCACCAACTGCAATGTCCAACACCCTTACCCAGCATCTGCTAAATATGCTGTCCGACCCCATTAGCACATACAGCGAACAAATAAGCGAGTCCTCAAACACGGCCACGGGTGACGAAGATAACGCTGCTGCAGGAGGAGCGACAACTGAGGAGGCAGCCAAGACTACCAGTGATACGGATCTAAACCTGTCAGACGATGAGTTTTTATCGCCCCTGTTGCGCAAGGCTTGTGTGCTCACGGAGAATGGAGTCCGCGTGGATGTGTCAGCCGCCACAGCACAGCGTGCCTCTGCTGGTAAGAAGCATATTTTTACGGCTCATTATATATAACTTTTGGCGTAATAAAATATAACTGATACATTTCAGATCAAATCCTCAATCTGGAGCACATGCTGCAATGCGAACGTCTAATTCCCAGGTAAGGCGGCATCCCTTTCTTCTGTCAACATCTTGGCCATTTGCTGGTAGCTAAGCTGCAGGAACTTGAGGGCTGCCTGCTTCGTGCTTGACTTGCCCTTAAATGTGGCTATAAAAACCTTGCGCAGCACTGCCATATTCCGCATAGCATTCAGGATAATCTCCTTCTCCTCGGCATCTAGCTTCATGTCGACCATAACCTTGTACCTCTTACTGGCCTTCGCCCGGAGCTCATCATACTTTTGATTGGCCAGCTCCAAAAAGAAAGCTAGCTGCTTACGCTGGTAATGAGCGACGTGGGCTTGAAGCAGGTCGTTGAATTGTTTCCCCAAGAACTTGGTCTGCTCAATGTCAGATTTTTCACAACAAAGAACTTTGTAAATGATATCAAAAAATTTGGCTGGATCGTAACCGGTGCATAGAAGCTTCAAGGCTTTTATTGCGGAGCAGGCGAATGTGCGCTTCAAGTAGCAGTACTCCCTGTCCAGCATGCCGATCTGCTCAATTTGTAATTGCTTGGCTTTCTCAATCTGCTTAAGTTGGTCCTGTAATTTCTGATTCTGAAGCTGAAGCGCTTGCCATTTCCGAGTCAAAGCTTGATTTGTTTCTATCAATCCCTGCGTCATGTCTAAGTTGTTGTTGCAGCATCTGAGCGAGTACAACTCATTCAGCGACGAGCGTTCACAGATTTCTCGTCCTTTTTCCTCTGCCGACCTTGTCCTCTTATTCATACCCAAGCTTATGTGGTGGAGAGCGCGCAAATCCATTTTCGTACACTCATGGTCTGTGAATGGATAATCCAGTGTGTGTCGATCATTCAGCTGCTTGTGCAGAAGCAGCAGCATGGAGTTCCGCGCAAATAGCTCTTCGACTTTTGCCCGCTGGAATATCTTTAGCCAAGTAACACAGATAGGGATGACCTGGTCTTTAGTGGGCAGCCTACATACAAGGTGCACCACGCAGGCCACCTCCTGCACGAATAGTTCGTCCAACTTCTCCGCTGACAATAAGAAACTTTTTTCCATGTTTTAAAAATGTTTTGAACTCTGATTTGGAGTACTGTATACTGTACCGATATTTGACGCAAAAGGTCAAGGTACATAAGATATAATATATATTCATATTGAGCTGTGCCAAAAGGTTTAAATTATCATTGTTAAAAATTACAATATGCGTTATCAAAAATGTAGATCTTGCATCAGTTTAAAATATATTCATTAAAATAGATAAATTTAACCCAACACATTTAGGAATATTATTTCGATACTATTGATATGTTTTCATTTGATGCAATATCACTGTGGAGGAACGTCTGCGTAATGACGATGAGCACTGACACTATGCGCACACTTGCGCAAAGATATCCATATCCTAGTCTGTCCTATATTCTCTATATGTCTCTCCATTTTGTTTCAGGCCCCAAACTTCACGATCCATGTCCGCGGGTGCGGCTGACAAATCAAAGAGACCACAACCACACAAGCCACTGTGCTTCCAATCATCAAGTGCGGCTGCCGTCGCCGCCGCGACCAGCTCAGCGGAGCCTCAGGACAACAACATAACGATCATCCAGGTGTCAAACCCCAGCAATAATGGCCAGGAACAGCCGCCCGAACTACCGCCCAAGAATGCCACGATAGCAGAGGTATTTAGCTTTCCCGAAGCGAAGGTGGGGTCCAGGTCAAAAGCAAACGCCAAGCAACAGCAGCCATCACAGCCACAGGAATACAAAAGCAACGTACAAATCATTCCGTCCAATGCCAGTAGCAGTACCATACAAGTCTTGGGCCAGCAGATACCGAGCAGCAGCAGTAATGCCGGCGCCATCGATTCCAATGGTCCCAGTTCGCAGACCACCAAGTTAAGGTGTTGACTGGAGAGTTGGGTGAAGGCACGACAGTCGCGGTGTACGGAACCTGCTATCCGCCACCCAGTGCTGCCGCCTGCTCCTCTGCTTCCTCCTCTGTGATCTCTGCTGCATCGCAGGGCCCAAAAATAGGTAAGAAGATAATACTCAGCGCCGACACCTCCGGCATTACGAACATCAGCGTGAATAGCGAGCAGAGCAGTGACTCCGTTATCAGTGGCAACGTCCACTATGAAAAGGTATTCCTTTCGTCCAGCATACCTATTAGTGGCAGCAGTAGCAGCCACAGTCCCATTAGAGGAATAAACAGTGATTCCATACAGCTTGTTGCTAATGGAAGCCGAAGCCCGGCATTAACACGCCGCCAGTTGGTTGCTCCGTCTGCGGCACCTGTTCAGCAAATGACCCCGGCCAGGCCAACTCCCCGGTTGACTCGAGGTCTTACCGAACTCGTAATAAGCTCGCGGCCCAGCAGAAGGGATTTACACTATTTGAAGCAGCTCAATTCTCCTTTAAAGACAAGCAAAATATCGACTCAAAAGTCTACCAGCGCAACGAACAACAATATTGAACAGCAGTCACAAAATCAATCCACGCCTTCGAGCTCCACTCAATCGCCACAAGTGAGAAGCTTATGCACCACAATGAGCGAGGATTACAAGCAGCGCCGGCGCAGCTCGTCCACATCCGATGCACAGGGACCCCTCCAGCGGACTCCACAAGCTGCGGGAACTCAACGAAACGCGAATAACAATGAGTTTACTCCCTCCCGAAGCGGAGGCGTTTTTCGCATGCAGCCACCTCCACAGGGAACACCGTCCAGTCCAAGCTCTAATCAGACCCAGCAGCAGTCGCCTAATAAGCGTTTTACCCTAAGAGAGCAGCAAGTAATGCAGTTGCGCCGGGAAATCATACATCCGGGCGGTGTGCGCTTGAATCTGAGGCGCAAGGATTGCGTTGGCTCCATCGCTTGGGTAGATGCCTTCGGAGGCGTTTGGTGGGTCTCGCAAACAATATCGAAAAGTATTTAGTATAATTTTAAGTTTACGCTTTGCAGGATTGCTGGCTGGAAGCAGAAGGAGCATCCCGTGCTGTACAATGCACTACACATTGGCGATCAGCTGCTCTCCATTGCGGGCGTTAGCATCAGCAGTGCAGTGGAGGCCAACAAGATAATCAGGAACTCCAACACACTTTTTGTAAGCTAAGGAAGTCATTAGGCTCAATTAGTCTCACCAATACTTATTTATTTATTTATAGGTTGAGGTGCTCCTACGTCGTATTCCATTTGGTCGGGCTTATGCCATCCGACGCGATAGAGAGGGCCAGTGCTTGGGATTGATTAGAGACGGAAATACTTCGACTATCGTGGAGGTGGTGCCGAACAGCTTGGCCGCACGCCACGGCCTGCCGCCCAAGGTTGTTTTTCTGTTCAGTTTTTCCACTGATTTAATACTAATAGATGTTCCGATTGCAGACTCAGTCCTGCGACGGCAGTGCTCTAACTTTCTGGATCCTTACAGAGATCAATGGCCGTCCGCTGAATCTTTTCTTCAAGGACCTGGAGATACGAGATCGATTAAACTCAGTGGGCAGGGATATATCTATCTTGGTGCAGCCGTCGGATTTGATAGCCAAACTGAAGAAGCAGCTGAAGTCGCTGCGCGGCTACAAGGACTACTTGGTGCAGTAGCAACTTTCCAGATCGAATTATCGAAATAATCTCAACCAATAACTCGTAACTGTAATAAGCTCGTATAGCTCTGGGCCAGTAATCATTCCATTTCCGTATATATATACGTCAATGATAGTCAACTAATACCGGAAGCATCATTCCGCTATATACACACACACACACCACTTACTAGGATCATCGAAACTACTTAATGGACGTAACGTAGGCGTAGTTGGGGAGAAACATATACAAAATCAACCTATATATATATACATAAAAATATATATTTTTGCAAACTTTTATATAAACTCATATTCATATGTATACAAATTGAATATAGATATATATACACCATAGTTGAATAGCTGACACTTTGGAACGTCACCACTCTGAAACTTTGAATTTGTTTGGATGCGGAAAAATGCAAATTTTGTATTTTAGTTTAAATTACACATATATACTCACACACACATGTGCAACTTAGTATCCTTATGCAATATTGGAGTGCCTCTAATTTTGTTTCATTAATGTTTTGTTTTTCTCATATATATTTCCAATTGTTTTTTCGTGTAAAAAAAGACAAAACAAAAACATCTATATCGTAACATTTAAGATGTGATAGAAATCAGTAATTTAGGCAATTTTTAACGGTACATTTTGTAAATGCTGGTATATTTTCTATATGTATATATTTAAGTTTCAGTTGGTAAATTCGAATATACAACATGCATATATTATTACTTATTTAACGACCTTGTGAAAGAAACATTCATTAAAGCAATTCCAAACACACAAATCACTCGCAAACTGTTCTCCTCTTGGCCTGGGATGCCCTCTGCTTCCAGATGCGGAAATTGTACACATCTGTGTCCAGCGTGGAGTAGATAAAAATTGGCATCGAGTTGGACATGACCCAAATGGTGCCATCTTCGTCGATCTATATAGATGAAACAACAAACTTGTAGGCATTATTTAAACATAATTTCTTAATAATAGGCGATGCAATTGTGCTCTCGGGGATCGCAGTTAATAGTAGAACCAAAAAAGTTGTTTTAGATATGAGACGTGAATGGATAGATTATTGGTAAATTGAAGCTAAATTTAGATATTAAAAAGTATTTTCTTACGACTAATTAATATCTTTATTTAAGTAAAAAAGTTTATGCTCACCGATAAGTCGCTGGGGTAAATCATATCCTTGGCGTTGGAATCGACTGTGCCGTGGTTTTCTACCGAGAATGGCTTATGTGTGTTCCAGCAGCCAACGCCGTTCTTCTGAATTTCGGCAAAGAATATCACGCCAGTTTTTGAATCGTATGCATGCATTGTGGACTGAGTGGATGGACCACGGCTGCCAAGGACACGGAAATCGTTGCCATGATCGGAGCGATCCGCATTCGACTGCTCCTTAAGAACCGTATTGGGGACCACAAACTCATTTGTGCTGGCCATTGGATGGAAATAGACACTCCGGCTGCCATCCGGTTCCTGAGGTCCCAAGGTGGTTGAGAAGATGCCATCGTCCCAGCGGAAGGTCTGCCCGCCGATGTTCAAATCGCCAGCCAGTGGATCAAAGTTAAAGTAATTGTGCTCAAAAGCCCAGATTTGATCGTCTCGCAGGCGGTAGACATAGAGTCGGCGGTAAACCAGATCCGGAATATAGGCATAGGCATTGCCGCACTCTCCCGGCTGCACATCAATGGTGATACTGGCCAAGCCGCGACCAGTCTCCGCAATGCTTTCGGGGATATCGAAGCGCTTGAGCACTCGGTCCGTGGCCAGATCGACGATCCAAATGCTGGGGCGCCGAATCTGTTGGCGGTTATCTAAGGGAATATTATTTTGAAAATTAGAGGTATTCAAAACACACTTAAAGAAAATCTAAAACTGACTCGGATACTCAAGCATTCCAGTATCGATGAACCAAAGCCGCTGGCAGGCATCCACTGTGGTTCTATACACGGAAACCAGATTTTGCGCGCTCTCGTTGAACTGATTCAACGCAAAATTGGGATAGGCCAAAAGCTTGGGGCTGCGATCACGACTTTCCCTGGACAGATCGATGTAGTTCAATGTTGACGGAATGCCAACCCGTCGCCGGGGCATGGTGACGAAGAGGCGACCCCGGAAATGGGTAACACCCATTGGCACATTATTGTATGGAATGTAGGAGGCGTTAGCATTGCCGTTGCCGGTGTCGACCCTTGAATTAATTCCCACTGGAGTATCACGAGAGGTCAGGCTTTCACGTTTCTTACGAGAATATCGCCCAGGGAAGACAACGGGAGCTGATCAATAAAGTTAATACTATTAACGAGAGTGTTAATGGACTCAATAGCGCTAATTTATTATACAAATTTTGAATTTAACAATAAATAATTTATATAAAGAATTTCAGGCAATATTGTTGTTACAATTAGTGTACCCGTAAATAAAATTATAAATTATACGATTTAGTTTGACCTTTTCACCAGCTTTATTCAGATAAGCCAGTGATTACTGATCCATCATTGATCATTGATCATGCTGTTCTGCTGAATGCAACAATTGATTAATTTTCTTAAAACACAGCTTTCTAAAAGGAAATATTGTAATATCAAACCACTCAGTAAGGGTACAAAAACTTTCACAGGCCTGTAAAAAAGCCAATTAAAATGATGTTTTTTCTCACGTTTTCTCATTTAATATAGGTACATATATAATAAGCACATAGTATATGTGCACAAGTATGATGCAATTACATTTCATTACTTACCCGATACGCTGGGTCTGTCTGGCCTACTGCCGCCTAAGCTCAAGTGTCCATCACCACGATTATAAAAGTCCATCTGCTTCCATCTGAATACTTCGATGAGGGGATCACAGTTTGCAAAGCATAACAGTAATAGCCCTGAGATTACGCCAAGGAGGGCGTTTTTTGGTGATAACATTTCGTAGTGATTATAGCGTTTAAATCCCGGGGTCTGAATAAAGCTCAGCTGTTAGCCTTGCTAGGCTGAGGTTCTAATAGCGACTGAGTATTCCGTGTTTTGTTTGATTTGAAGCTGAATTCTACGTGCTCTGCGGACTTCAAGTTCAGTATGAAGATTGATAAGAGAAATATGATTCTCTCCTAACTCTCTAACCGGTTTTACGCCCTGCTACTCAATAACACAGATCAGCGAAATTAAAAGCCGAACCTAAAAATATATATGCATTTCAAATTAAAATATCGTCAATTTAAATAAATTTAAATTTAATTTTTAGCAAAAGTCAGTTTTATTTTTAATTTTTTTATTTAGTTCTGTCAATTTTTTTCTAATTTAAGGCATTATTTTATTTCAGATTAACAGGTGATTTGTTGCTATTAAATTCCAAGTTTGGTTTTACTTTATTTTGAGGAATTCATGAACTTACATGACCAATGTTGATTGCACAAAATATAGTATTCAATTCGGTGTTCGACCACGCCAAGGACACTTAACATTAACAACAGACTAACTTGGCCTATGCTCTTTTACATCTTTGTAACTTTAAACTTCTGTGCACTAAATTATTGTATTGTATTGTATTGCAGTAACACCCTTTTAAAATAGTAGATACTAATTAATTTGTTTAATGTGATTCCTTTTCTACTGCAATCCTATAATAGTAAGAAATAACTTTGGAAATATAGTAAAATTGCAGAGTTTCTAAATGTTCTTTTAAAGTAAGTACATGTTGATACATTTTAGACCTTCATGTACATACATGTATATGTACAATGTATATATACATGTACATGCGAATGTAAGCACGCGTCTGATTTTATGACATTCTACGGATGTAACTCTAGTGGAAACGGTGTTTGAGCGCCATTTTCAAACAATTGCTGAATATCGAACAAACATTTTCGTCGATTTGTCTATTCACACAGAGTCTGAGCTAATGTGCAGACATTTAACTATTTAAAAAGCTTGATAATCAATACCTAAAACATTGATTTATGTAGCAGAAATACATTAAAAGATTCATATTTTTACTAACTTTTATTACTTTAAATCGGTGAATTTTTCTCTACCCCTCAGTCCCTCAAATAAATAAATATTTAGAAGACGGAAGAAATAGTTCTGCGTGTAACTTTTGGAAAGGGATGATCGTCTGTGTGAACGCACCATTAAGCCCTGAAGTAAAAACATCTGAGCGAAACAAATCGATGTATTGCCTCTTTTAAAATACATCGATAGTTTCGATACTACCATCGATGTTTTTGCAGCAGAAAATTGCGAAAATTGCAATTGCAATTGGACAACGAGCGACACAAAAAGCGTAAAATTACAAAAAACCAGGTGAAATCGAATCGTAAACGGCCAGGCACCGGACAGTCCACAAAGATCGAATGGCAGGGCAGTAGTAGCCGCCCAGTGATACGCGACCAGAGGCGCACTTGGCGCGTTGTGGGAAAAACGCGTTGCGTTCTTTCCAATCCATTCCCAACAAACCCCGCACACACACACACGCGCGCGCATACAGTGAACGAGTGAAAGTGCATCTACATCTGTGATTCGTATAATAATGCGTCGCGCATACGCGAATTTCGGAACCACCAAAGACTAACAAGTGATCCGACTACTGTGTTCGTTGGTTAGGATAACTACTAACCTCCCCGCAATGGCCGAGCAGGTGGTGCTGGTGCCGCACACCAAAGAAACGGATGAGCTGGAACCCGCCGCCTCCGCGTCAGTTTCCGACGATCCGATGCTGAATGGCGAATTGGATCCGGAGGCGCCCTGCTGCCATGTGAGCATGAAGATGTCCATCGATGCGGCCACGCCGCGACTATGCGACGATGCCTGTGTGCCGTTGAAATGCGACGCCACCAGTTTCGTCGACGCCACCGCCTCCTCCTCCTCCGCATTCGTTGACGCTGCTGCTTCCCAGCTGCCTCCGTCGCCACCGCCCATACAGGCGATGCCGGCACGGAGCAGCACGCCGCCTTGCCAACTGCTGGAACGTCTCAACTTCCCCGAGGGCAACATCATTAACACCCTGCATACGATCCTGGCTTTGCCGCCCTTCGATCCGTACGCCCCGGCACCGAAGTCGGAGACGGTCTTCAAGGAGGTGGTCTCACTGATGGAATGGAGCTTGCGGGAAGACAACGCCATCGAGCTGCAGCTCAGCGACAAGCTATTGCACGAGTGTGAGCACAAAAGCGGCGGTGATCCCAACGATGAGACGCGATCATATTTGGTGTGTTTTTTTAACAAATAATAGTAGCGTATAGATTGTGTCCTTGTATTTAAAATCAAGAATTCTTGAAGTTTCAGTGTAAGAGTGTGGTTTGACTTGTATAGCCCAGAACCTGATAAATAAATACCTGTAAAAGCTGTAGCCAAACAAAATATTCAAGTAAACCTTAAAAAAATCTGCATCGGCATCGTGTTCTGTTTTTCTACACCTAAGCGTGCCCACTGCACTATGCACGGTTTGTTTTTGTAAGCTAACCCGCGACGACCAGCCCGTTCGTGTAAACTAGCTGGAGTTCATCCACACCGAAACAAAATGACACGGAAAGAACTTACATCGAGTCCATGTTATTAGTGGTTAATATGCACGACTAAGTGAATAAGAATTTAACCTTTTTCAATTCTCAAAATTAAAATTCTTGAATTTAAATAATACATAAATAACCACTTTTTAGATGGCCATTGAGAACATGCGACTGTTCTCGGAGGATCCAAAGAATCCGCTCCGCGATGCCGATGGACAGTTGCGTGCAATTACGGTGGGTTTTCCTCAAGCACTGCCAAACTTCATAGTTGGACGTACCTCCTAATCCATTGTAGCTTTATTTCCAGAATCTTGCCTTCATATTTGTGAAACACCCGAAGGAGGAGTTCTTTACATTTTGTTCCTGCAAGGAATGTCTCGAATACCGCGAAACCATTATGGCTATTATGATGGACCAATTTAAGGCTGCTCACATGGTGGTCATGCTGCTGGACGTATTGATCAAGGCTTACAGCCCCATGTTGAAGTAAGGACAATATAGACAAAATAGATATAAAATTGTGTTTGAGAATGTTTTTTTTTGTCAATTTGTTTTTGTATTTGTTACTGTAGTTTAAAAAAATTCATAATTGCGTAGATTTTATAGTGTCGTTTTTGTTAAATCCTTTGGACTGGAATATATTTTCAAAATTTGTATTTTAACTTATCGAGATTCTAAATAAATATATACTCCCAGAGTACATTCGTAGAACAGAAAAAGTGCAGTGTTTCTGCCCAGAAGTATAAAAAAGGTATATTTGGCACAGATATCAATTAAAATTTGTTACGGACTTAACAGATACCTAAGCAGTATTTAATTTTCGATCGATTTGCAATAAGTAGCAATTTGTGTTTTATTTAACGGCACAGATGTTTCCAAATATATTAAATCCAACTAAAAGGTGTCAAAAAGTATGCAAGAAATCTAACTAACAATGTCCTAAAATATTTTATTGCATATTTTTTGAAACACTCAAATTTTTGCCGCTTTCCGTGGTACTCCTGTATTTAATATTTATTTTCCCCAGTAAATAGGTTACAAAAATTACTGCAATAATCAATTGGATTTAACTCTTAATAGAAACGATGCTGCCTACAACAAGTTTGAAAAGCTGCTTGAGTGCAACAAGGAAATCTATTGGATTACAAGTGGCTACCTCTACGACAAGAATGCCGAATATCTTGATTTTATTGATGACACAGCGATCTCCGATAATATGATATTAGTGCTATTCAGCGCGATGTAAGTAAATGCCATTGACACGAATCTTTTTGTTAAACGTATTCTACTTCTATTTCAGCTTGATGGCGAACAATCCTATGCTGCTGCTACAAATACTCGCCTACAACGTAGAATGCATTGTCAAGGCATTCTCGGAGGGCATGATTGAAATCGCCCAGAACATTCAGGAGAACGAGAAAACTCCCGCGGAAAGGATGCTGACATGTAAGAAGATGAAGGAAGAGTTGATAACTAAGTCTAATTGTAATATCTGGGAATATGTATTTGTAAATATAAACGAAGAAACAAGAATATTGGAATCAGAAAATTCTGTAAATACAATTAAAATTAATTGAAAAGGTTAGTTAGTTAGTTAGGCAATTAAATGTGTAAAAGTGAAGTGGGCTTTTATGTAAGTTAAAAATTGTATTGCATACTCTTGGGTCGTATATTAAGTGATTGGAAATTATTATAAATTTCGGTGGTATCTTCTATGGTTCAGCTACTGAATAAAATTATCACTATAAGTTCTAAGACTTTTATAAATTCAACTCTAAATTTAAAATATGTTAAAAAAATTTTAAAATTTTGTGATGTCAAAATTACGCCATAAATATCAGATTGTGCACTCTTTAGTATATTTTGGTAAACCCGATGATCGGAATATTTAAAACCTTTATCAGTTAACTTTAAGATGTCCGCGACACTGTGAGTGGGAAAAAGATCGAAATTTGTTAGAACAGAAATACAAAAAAATTGTTAAATGTAAAAATAGCCATTTAACTTTACACAAAAAAAAATAGGTAGAGCTACAAAGTTAACAATTACATTGTCTTGCGCGACTATATATATATTATATAATTAAACAACTTTTTCAATTTCTAAAACTCATTTAAGACATACTTGATGGGTACTCCGATCTGAACTGCATCTCGCAAAAGATTTCCCTCAGCCTCTTTGCGTTCGAGAACGATTTCCTGCGCAAGTTCAAGCTCTCCTGGGTGCTACTGTGCCAACGCCTTTTCCAGCAACATGTGTTCACTCCACTGGGCGATACCATGCTGGCCTGCATTCTCGCGCTCAAGGAGGCGATTCCATCCTCCCAGACAACGGCGTTGATAAAGCGTTATATGCTTTTTGACGAGCACATGCACTCTATTGAACGGCGCTGGACGGACATTTGGATTGAGCTGAACAAGTTCAACTTGTCGCCATCGGAAAATGAACGTCGGAGTGGCTTGCTGGATGTGTACAACATATTCGACAAGGTCGTCCTGGATGCCACCTCGTTTTCGCTGCCGGACATCAGCGACGATGAATTCATCGACTTCCAGCGCATCGTGGATCGTCAGCTGGCGTGGAAGAACATTATGGCATTTACGAAGCTGAAGTGGCCTGATGGCTTCTACGATCCGCCCAACAATTTGCTCCACGAAGATCTCTGCAAGAAGTGCAATTCATTGCTCGAACACCATAACGAGTAAGTTATTGTTTTGTACCCAGGTGCTTGGAGGGATTTCTAACAAATCAATTAACTTTAATCTTCCTGCAGGAACTGCAAATGCATAACTTGCTCCATTGCAGGCACTCCTATGCGACCGCGGCAAGCGGGTCATTGCGCCAAATGCACAACGCTCGGCATTGTCGAGAAGGATCCCAAGCTGATGAAATCCAAGATTCTTAGCACTTGCACCAGCGACGAGGCTAAGCACAATGCGGCAACAGCGAGCACAAGCTCCGCTGCCCAGCAGCATTTGCAGCGTCGTTTCAGCGATCTGCCGGAGGATGAGTCAGCGTCCGGAACCGGCGGCGGCCACAGTAGTGGATCATCGGTGTTCCGACGGCAGACGGAGACGACAACGGACTCCCTGCGCACTACATATCACATTGCCTGGGCGGTGTTCCAGCACTTGACCACCAGAAAGCGTTATCGCCACGACCTAATCGAGGCGCAGTTCTTCTGCGGAGAGAATTGCCGTGTCTCCGCCTGCCAATTGGCCAGGAAGATTTTGGCCAACCAGCTGTCGCCGCCTCTTACCAAGTATCTGCTGCGCTGCTTTCAGCCCTTGTCGTTCACGCGGGAGGAGCTACGCTCCACGTTGCCCTCCTTGATGTTCTTCAATCGTAAGCTGGCCCCAAGTCCCGCCGAGCTGCAGGAGCTGCGTAACCAGCACTATGTTTATAAAACGTATTGGACCTTCGTCCTATCCATCTATGCCAACTTCTTTGTCAAGTTCAATTCGAGCAGCACTGATTTTGGCCACTTGGAGCTGCAAAAGGGGGATCTGCGCCTCCGGCTCAATAGTGTAGTGGGAGACAAGGATGATGGTCGCTTCGAACAGTTTCTGGCTCAAGTTATTGGGTAAGTTGGAATCCTAACAACCTTGGAATATAAAAACTAATTTTACGAACTTAACTTCCTTGCAGATATTCTCCTTTCAAAATCACAGATGAGTAAGTGTGCGAGATATTTATCACTAATCACGTAGAGATGCCAGAAAATATAGATATTGAGAAATATTAATGCGAAAGTCGTTATAAAAATATTTGATAAATCAAGATGGTTTTTGATGTGTTATGAACTCAAAAAATTACATATTTCGATAATAATATATTATAAGAGCTATCGTTGCTATATTTCTCCTTATTAAATTCAAATTCCTTCTATAAATGTTTATTAAGGTAAAAAAATCGAAAATATCAAACTTTGAAATGTGACAAAATATTTGCATTTATCGTTAAAATATCGAAATTATCGAAAACTAATGTCCGTTAAATGTTTGATATTTCCTATAAGATTGAACGACTACATTTTTAAAAATTTAGACTTTAAATTTATCCGTTTAGGGAGCGACTTAAAACAGTCATTAAAACGTTTGTATTCTATATAATCTTTAACTAAAGTACTTCCGCTTTCTGTCAATTTAGTCGATATTTTTAGCCTTTGATATATCAAAATTTTGTATCGATTTATGCACATAAGTACATTATTCGACATTTTAAAATATCGATATATAGTTTGTAAATCATTATGGAGCCTGTCTCCTTAGAGAGGAGACAGCTGCTGCAAATGTTTATCATCCTTAATATGATGCAACGACGTAAGGTGATCTCATCAGCTTGGTTAAAACAAAAATCATGTTCAACTCCGTCCCTAAGTCCCCTGAGAATGGAGCGTTATTACAAGAAAGACTGTCATCAAAAGAGAACAGTTCTTGCGATGACACCACCTTTAATAGGTGCATCATGGTCGTCAACAAAGCTAATGAGACCACCTTATTTAATTGCACTATGGTGTAATTTATCGAAAGAACAATCGATTGTCTGATTGTCTGGCGTCGTGCGAGGCGGACTTTCTAGTCGTGAATTCGTGGTAAGATCAACGCAGAAAGGGGAAAACCTCTGTATTGTGGTTGGGAAAGAAGAAATATTTAAGCTCTGGGATATATTTCTTGTATCCTTGTGCCTAGTGCCAAATTAGTACGTTGGTTAGCTGTCAAAGTCACCGTAGTTTTGGGCTGAAAATCGTCACGTTGACTCGCAATTTCCCCATTTATACTAATATTTTTTACTTCCGTTTTGCAGTTTTACGCTTGGCGATGCCAACATAGAGAAGATGCAATTTGGCGTGGATCAGCTGATGATGTTGCATGACTCTCAGATAATGTGAGTGAAACAAGATAGACGTACCTGGCGGAGGCACACAAATAATACATATTAATCTTCGCAGCAAACGCACTAAGCCGGATAGCACCACTGGAGTATCTGGTGGCAAGTCCAAGGCGGGCGACCATCCCAACATGTCGCAGTCTGGTAATAGAGGCAGCGGCGAAATTGGTGCCAATAAGAAGAGCAAGGAAAAGATGCGCAAATGTAAGTGTTGAGGTTGACGTACAGTTGAGATTTCTAATTTTTTTTTAACTGTTAGGCTGTGCCGACTATGCAGACATTGGGGAGCCCTGCAAGGAGAATCACTCGAAGAAGCGTGTCAAGAAGGAGTGTAGTCATGCCCGCTTCAACGAAACACGAGATCGTCTGCGCAAGAAGCTCTCCCAGATTGTCAATGACCGGAAGAGCAAGTCCGTTGAGGAAGTTCCCACCCCGGCCAAAGTCAAGCCTGCTCCCGAGGCAGTCGCTGTGCAGTCAGCGCCGGCAGCCGCCAGCCCACCGAAGCGACCGCCCAAGGCCCAAGAAGCCGCCCAGCCACCGAGCCAACCTCCCACCCTTAAAGTTTTTGCCACTGCACAGCTCCAGGAGTCCTCCAGCAAATCTGCGAAGCTTCCCGACGTGTGTAAGCAACAACAGGTTGAGCAGCAGCCGCAGGCAGCAAGTGATAACAGTCTGCTGTGCCTGGACAGCCTCTGCAAAAGCATCCAGATGCAAACAGACGCCACTGCGGCGGCGGCAAATGCGGCCGCAGCTGCGGCAGCTGTGGCTGGAAGCACCTTCTCGGCGGACTACAGTAAGGAAGACATGATGCAGGACTTTGCCGAGTTCCTTGGCACCTATACCCGCGAGCAAGACCAGCAGCGCTGGATCAACGAGACTCTTAACTTTATCGAGGGCAAGTCCCAGCAGCCGCAGACCGCTAATCCGAAAAAGGCAGCCAAGAAGGCCAAGCAGAAGATGCGAAAGGAGGAGGAAAAACGCATCAAGGAGCTTGAGGACATGCGGGGCCAGTTCCTCGACATTTACTTCAAGGAGTTCATCGACAAATATGAGATGAAAGCTCTGACGGCTGCAGGCGGCCGAAAGAGGGAGAAGAAGCGCATCAGCGAGCTGGAGGCGAACATCAAGAATCTGCAGCGGGCCAAGGCAAAGGTGGAGACTGTAATTCTGGAGCTTATTGCCACTGTGAAGCAGACGAACAGTGAATTTAAGTTTTCATACCTGCCCACTAAAGAGCAGCAACTGGCCAAGATGGCCCAGCTAGAGGACATTTTGAACGGCGGAGGAAGTTCGACAGTTGTGACGCCGGCTGCCGAGCCTGAAGTCCAGTTGCAATGCCCAGAGTTTAACCCCAGCTCTTTTTACACTACCCCAGTGTGCTATGCTCCTCCGCAGCACCCGCAGAAGCCGCAGCAGCTTTCTCGAGATGTGATTGCCGCCATGGCCGCCAACTCCATCACTGCCGATCCATCCAAGCGTATTGTGACAATACGCCGGGTGCAGCTGCCCCATCCGGGTGCCGAGCAGCAGGTCACTGTTGTGGCCAAAGGCAGTGCTCCGCACGAAGACAAGCTGCTCTACACCTTCGTTAACGGCCATATGGTAGCATCTTCGGGTCCAGCTCAATCAGATATGCCTGCATCCCACCCGATCGCTGTCCCAGCTCCAGCTCCAACTCCTGCTATGCCCGAGAAGAGCGCCAAGGCCAAGAAGAAAGAGGCTAAACGAGCTGCAGCGGCCGCGGCAGCAGCAGCAGCGGCTGAGCAGGAACCTAAAGTGAACAAGAAGCAGGCAAAGAATTCTGCAGTACCGGTTGCGTCCACCACCGCCTCCAGCTCCACAACATGCAGCACCTCCTCAAAGTCTCAGACGCCGCAGAGCACGCGCGAGAGCTCCGTGTGCAGTGTGAAGAAGCCAAAGACTGCACCCAAGAAGCTGACAAATACCAAGCCCCCACCACCTCCCGTACCAATGCCTGTGCCGCAGGAGCCACCGAAGAAACAGAAGCGAGTCAAGTCGCGTCTGGACCCCGGACAGCTTGATAATAATCCCTTCAAATCACTCCACATGCAGGACTCGTCAGAGGGCGAGTGGGAAACGGGCAGCGAGTCATCGGAGGAGAGCGTGAAAATGCCAGTGACACCACCAAAGCCTACTGTTCCGGCGCCCAAGCCAATGGTTGCTCCACCAGTGATTAACACAAAGCAGAAGCCAGCATCAAGTGCTAATTCTGCGCCTGCCAAAAAGGCAAGCCAGCAAGAAGTAGTGCCAAAGCAGCAGACAACGCAGTCAGCCAAGGCTCCCAATCAGGCTAAAGGCAAGGCTACGCCAGTGCCTGCTGCTGGTGGAAAATTGAATTCTCAATCGCAGCAGAATCATTCACAGGAAAAGGTGGTCCCTAGTAAAGGCCAGTCTCAGCGCCCAGCTGAATCCACTCGGAAGCCGAAGCAGCAGGTTGCCGGGCAACAACTCGAATCGAATCGCAGCCCTCACACTCAGCAGGTCTATCAGACGCAGCCGCAGCAGCAGTCGCGCACTGGACGAGCAATCAGTGGGCGGGCAAAGCCATCTTCATCCGGTGTGCAGCAACAGCCAGTCTCACACTCCATCGCTCATCAGGCCGAAAGCAGTGCACCATCAAAGCGAACACAACGCGGCAAACGCGGGCACCGCCAGAAGCAGGGTAAGTCTAGAAAATGCATCCGGTCTTTAAGGAAATTTTCTAAATTTTTTTTGCAGAGGATCTCTCCGGCATTCCACACAATATGGGCTATTTCAACCCCAACGAAGTTGCCATACCCCCGTCTCAGTCGGGAAGCTATGCTAACACCTTGACCCAGCAGATGCAGCATCTGCGTATCGGGCAGTCATCTGGCTCCAGCTCTAGCTCCAAGCAACAGCAGGCCAAGTCTCCAAACTGTAGCATCATGGATCAGCTGAACCGAGGTGTGCAAGTGGAACATCTTTCGCTGCCGCCCGGCATTACGCTCACGAAGGTGGATCCAGCCAAAAGCGAACAGTTGCGTCAGAAGAGCGAATCCATCCGGTTGCTATCCAAACCACTGGCCGAACAGCAGCAACTACAGCAGCATCACTTCCAGCAGCCATCGCATTCGTTAGCGGGTTACTATGGAGCAGCGGGAGACGCTGGCATGGATCCCAATGGCGTGATCATGGTAGAGGCCAATCCTCGTCCCATTCGTTCTAGCCAGATTCAGAATACACCTGCAAACGTAGCAGCTGCAGCTGCTTTAGCTGCTGGTACTAGCGGGAAGTCCTCAAGACGCCGGCGTCGTAATCGTGGAAAATCCGGAGTTGGAATTGGCGGAGCCACTGCCAGTTCTGGAGCTGCCAATAAGCAACGATCCGGAGGCGAAATTGACGGAGGAGCGGGAATAGGTGCGCCCACAGCTTCAATTGAAACCAGTGCTGGCGGCAATATAATCACACTGCGCAATCCCATGTTCCACCAAGGCAACAATGGGCCAGCGGCCAGTGGCGGTATGTTGCCACCCAATCCCAACCCAATTCCGTCAGGTGAGTATGTTAGCTAGTTGATAGATCAATTAAATCAGATATGTGGTGTATTTCAGAAACATTTATCAAAATCTTTTGGCATTTAATGTTACACAAAGATCTTGTTAGCAATATTATTAATATTTATTTCGATAATCGATCATCTAACGTTACAAAAATTCAGATATTTGTCTTTAAAGTAGATATTTTAATGTTAAAAAACAAAGGAAAAGAGCCTTTAGTTTAATATATTTAATTTTTCCAAGATTAAATCTTGTTAAGGCGGTTTTTGAGGAAGCTTTATGTTAAGCTATAGTTTAATAAATTCGAAATATTTATTTTGCAGTGCGAACCTTTCCTGGTGCTGGTCTACCAATTGCCGCGCCACCAATGGCTATGGATCAGCCAGCTGCGATAATTAAGAACGACAACGGAATGTTCACCATACGCAATCCAGCGCTGCACCAGGCAGTGACAAATGGCCTTGCAATGGGCGGCTACCGGCAGTTTGGCAGTAATGTCAACTACTATACTCCGCAAGAGGCAGTGGCGGAGGCGGCTAGAGCCACACAGCACAAGCTACAGCAACAGCCGCAGGTATCGGCTGCCAGCAGCCAAGCTAGCAACACCAGCAGCAGCTCCACGTTCTCCTACTTCTCGAGTGGATCGTCCAGCGTGAACAGCAGCGGGAGCAGCAACAACGGCGGTGGCGGTGGCGGAGGCGGAGGCGGGACGCACAACAATATCAGTATTAGCTGTACAAACGTTCCACCAAACAGCGGCAACAGTCCTGGAAGATTGGTCGGCGAAGCGGCGGTGATTGCGCGGCCCAAACACTCGCAACAAAAGTGTCTGTCTGCCATCGGTAGCGAGCTGAAGCAAAAGACCAAAGACAGCAAGTGGCCATGCTACGCCCCACAACAACAGCAGCAACAACAACAGCAATCGTCGTCGACAGACTACCACCAAGCGTCTGGAGGAGGCGGAGGCATTCCATTGCAAGAGAAGTACCAGCAGTCAAGCTACTACAACGGCTTCGAGGTCTTTTCGTCTGCATCGTCCGGTTGTCCGTCGCAGGTATCATCAGCTGGCGGCGGTGGCGGATCGAGCGAGTGTCACATGCATCACAGCTGTGGCGATGACTCTCCGCCGCCAACCATCACCGGTTTCAATTCCTACCTGGAGGGCATACCCAACACCGGAGTCATTCGCTACGACGACGCCGCCTTTCTCAAGAATCTAATACCGGGCCAGCATCTCAACAATGAGGTGTGTGACCTCTCTGGCATTTGGCCATTTGGTCAGCAGTTCTATCCACACTGTCCGGAGTGCATTCTGAATCAGCTACAGTGTCCATTTCTGTCATATTTCATGCATTAATCATTGATAAAATTTGATTTCGAGCTAGCTCTTGTGTAGCGGACACTTTCACGAAAATAAACTGCTAGGCGTGGGGCTACGTTTATTCGCTTTTAAATATAAAAGTTAGGGGTGTAGCTGGGTGAAATCAATGGGCTTAATTTGCTTTTATTATCAACAAACTATGAAAAAACTAGACTTAGTTTAAATTATATTTCTCAGAAGAAGCTTATCTATAGGTATATTACCTAATTCAAATCTGGTGCAATGCCATATACTATGTAGATTATAAGGATGAAGGAGTATATGATTTTTATATAATATTTAATTGGTTTCGAGTCGATAAAAATGGAAGTCATTTGACGATATGTTAACTCTTTGGGTTCAAGAACTTTTAAACATATTAAAGTCAATTCTCGGGTCAATAGCTTGAGATAAACTCGAAAGGGCTATCTTAGTGAGGCATTATGAGATTTGAGTTATTATTAAAAGATGACTGGTCAAACTGTTCTATATTATATATATTAATTCCTATATGCGTGTCCCACTATTTACCGTGACATTTATTTCATTAGATAAACAATTATGACACTGCATTTTTGTCTCTATACTAAGAAGGAAAATATTTTTTATGTTTAATTTGCTGTATATTTGGTATAACCCTGGTCAAAAGTTTAGATTTTTTAGTTTTTGAAGGGCCGTCTCGTATATCATTCATTTATTACCATTTAAAAAAACACGCATCGATTTTATATGGTGCCGTGGCACACGTTAGGTTAAATTAATATATATAAGTATCATGTAACCCATTGAGACACTCATTTCATCCAAAGACTCTCCGGACAGTAACTAGAGTCCCCTTTATTTTCTTTTTAAGACGTTAAATCAAATTTTTTTTAAATTTTTAGGTGTCGATACACAATATATCGGAGTCCAACTTCTCGCGCAACAATGCATCATCGTCGCCGCATCACGTGGAGATAACTAGCGTGTTTAGCACCCGGGTGCGTCCCTCGAATGCATACGATCCCCAGCAACCACAACAGTCTGGCGGCAGCGTTCCAGGCGCCAGCTACTGCGATAATGTGGTTGGCGACTACGGCAACGGTAAGTTAATTGAGTGATTAAGAGAAAGATTCAAGGGTCATCATTTTCATCTGTTTTTTAGATTCCCACCTGTTCGTGCAGAACAGCCTACTGACACGAATGCAGCCACAGACGCCAGCGCCACCAGATCCCTTTGGCTATGACTTTGATCCCTCGGTGGTGGCGGGCGGAGGAGGATCCAAGGCCGCAAGCGTGGCCAGCGATCTAAACGAATTTCTACGTCGCAGCCCGCTCAGCCAGCGAACATCGCCGTATACACCGGACGAGAATGCGGCAGCTTTGGAGACGTTCGTCCAAAATATGAATGCCCTGCAGATCGCTAGCGATGCCGAACAGTGTTCTCGACTGAACGGATCAGGAGCCGAAGATGGGCCCGTGGCGGATGCCACCGCTGGAGGAGCGGGCAGGGCTGCTTCCGCCTGGTGGTGAAGGCGACATGACTAGGGGTTACGGCTTGGACGATTGGACTCCATACACGTCTCTCTCTCACATACGCAGAAAACGATAAATTAAAACGAAACATAAAACTACAAAAAAAGAAAATGCATCCAAGAAATCATTCAAAATGGCTTAGGAGTCAATTTCGATGTTTCAACAAAAAACAAAAAAGCGAAAAAAATAAAGAAAAAGTAAATGGAATGAAATATGTGTCTGATTTGCCAACTTTTAATTTTGTTTCCTAGCAAAGGGTTTTAGGGAAAGAAGTGACTCCAGGTCCTCTTGAATTATATCAACAGCTGTTCGACCTCAGCCATAACCAGTCAGTCAGTTTTTTTAACGGAACCGACCACCATACCCTAGAGCTTTCTTAGAAATCATAGGAAATTTCGGCCTGCTGTCTTGGTAACTTTAGATTAGAATTTTAGAAATATTAAGTTGATAAATGGATTTATTTCTGCAATTTGAGGCTAGTAATAATTATAAAAAACATTAGGCTTAAATTCCACAATATTAATGCTGCCGAGCTGCTGTATGCCATACCAAAGCATCTCTCAAATCTCAAAGACAAGGGAGCCAGAGGCGTAGCTGACACTTGAATCCTCCATATCCTCGCACTGGCTACTCTGCGCATACTTAAGAAACTTAAAGTTCATCTTGTCGTAGCCCTGATCCTGCAGGGCCCTACAGGCGCCGAGCATGACGCCGATGGGATGGCGGCCGCATATGGTGTTGTTGTACTTGCGTAAGTACTCGGTGAATGCCTGCGGACTAAGTGTCTCGATGATGTCCATGCCCTGCTTGTCAAGCCTCTCGATGGACTTGTGAATAGCGCCGCAGGAGCGATCGTAGTATGTGTAATTGAAGCGCTGGCCCCAATGGCAGAAGTCGGAGGATATTACAAACAGATTGGTGGGGTCCATCAAGTACGTGGACAATAGGGAACCATACTGTGCCTCCTGCTCGGGATTCAGCGAACCCACCAGAATAGGCACAATGGTGAACTGGTTTTTGTAGCTGAATGGAAATAAGGAAAAGGTAAGACATTCTAAAATACACCTTGAGAGACTCAGAACCAGTATTAACTTACTCTTCCATGACTTTGGCTATGTAAGGCAAATGCATCTCAATGGAGTGCTCATCCTCATCTGTTTTCATATCCATCCAGCTGAACTGGCCGGTCTTCTCCAGCTCAGCATTGGCTGCCATAAGCATAAGAATAAATAAGGAATCAAAAGGAGGCAGAACAGCTTGACTTACTTTGAGTATCAATCTCGAGATCATAAAGTGGAGTCTTATACTTCTTAGACACGGACAAGGCACAGCCCCGAAGGCGCACATGGTGGGAGGGGCCCAAGATGAAGATTCGTTTTCTGCAAGCGAAAAATACTACAATTACAGGCGTGTGAAATGAATATGGTAATTTCAACTCCTTACACGACAACGGGGCTGACTTGACGATAGGCGAACGCAGCGCAAGCCCCACAGTACGTATAGCCGGCATGCCTGCATGAATGGAAAATTATTTAAAGGATTATCTGTACTCTTTCAGCTTCCTCTGACTCCAACTTACGGGGCAATGATGGCGCGGGCAGGTCCGTGGGAGAGCTCGGCAGCGTGCAGCCAACCATCCAACTGCCTAGAGAGCTCAGGGGCTAGGAAAATGGAAAGGAAACATGTGATTATAAAATATTCATTACGCTTTTAATAAAGCATCATATGTTTTTCGTTCTTGAGTTTTAGCAAATCGAATTCTAAACTGTAGAGAATACATGTGGAGCAATAAAATAAATTCAACAAAGCTTGCCTGGTGTTGCTTAGCAACAAATTAACAAATAGCTGTTCAAACGCAAAGAACTTTTTTCGAATCTAACTGCATATCACAACAGAACAAATAATAATTATATTTATATTAAAATTCAAGTTTTAATTAATCATGGCAGATGATAAGAAGACACAGGAAAGCGACGAACTGATGAATCGTATACGGAATGAACTGACGGCTATACTGTCTCAAGAGTAAGTCCTAAAGCCTAGAAGGGGAGAAAAAATTAATGTTTTTTGTGATAGGGCCACAGGTGACGTAGACAGGGAGATGACTAATGAAATACTTTTGAGTCCGAATCCGTTGCCAATTTTTGGATTCTCTACAAAGAACAAAAAGGCTAAAAAGCCCTCAGGCGCCATAAAGCGCCTTTCGTCTTCTGGTAGTGGAAAGAGCTCCTTAGCAAGCAGTGGAAAGGGCTCTTCAGCCAACAGCAGCGAAAAGGATTTTACACCGAAGAAAGGTGACCAGAAAATGGAACCAAATGCTAATTCCACATCCACCAGTTCCTTTCAAAGATCAGAAGCATCGGGACAGTACGAAAGTCCGCCCAAGGATCCCAAATTTCGTGCCGAATTTCTTGGAAGTCAGGCAGCCAAAAGCATCGACGATGATCTACAGAAGATGCAGTTGGAGCTAAAACAGAGCTACGAACTCTTTCAGGGAATCGGTGAAAAGTTCGAATCGGTGAATTTTTCAGGCCTAAATACTCGCATTCGGGACCTGCACCTGAATGAGACCAACAACGAGCTGGGTAAGGTGACGACCCACGAACTGAAGACTATGTTCGATACGCGTTTCCAGCAAAACCGGCTAGATAAGTTGACCTCCGATGCCAAGCAGGGATTCAGCCGACATCCAGGAGAGTTTGGGGATATCCCAGAGCTCAGTACATTTTTCAAGGCATGTACCCAGCTGGAGCGCGGCCTGGACGCACTGCGTCAGCAAAGACTGCGCAACAGCGAACTAGAAAAACGTATGTGCTGGGCCACCGAGATTGCCTACGATCGTATGGACGAAATTCGCAATGCCATGGGCTCCGATCCGGAAAAGGACATTTGAAGAATGTTCATCATTATGAAACTTCAAAGAATTTAATTTAGTAATTGTTAATCGAAAAACTTTATTCACACTAGCACACAGGTGAAATACATGAGTATATATAAATGCATATGCAATTGATTGCGTTATCTTCTTTGTCTATTACTTACCGGAGTCTGTGTACCAGCTCCCGGCGTGTGTTGCTTTTCTGGCAGGCATTTCAAGGACCCCTTTTTAGCACGTTATATTTGATAGCTTAAATCCAGTGGCGGCACTTACTGGTCTACAATAAATGACTTTCAAATATATTTTTAATAGCCAAATTTCTGATCTCAAAAATTTGATTCTGTTTTAGGGATGAGCATGAACAAGGGTTGCCAACTACCGATAATCGATAAATAGAAGTAAAGATAAATTCGTGTTCGCACTACCACCATTTACCATCCAATTATATCTTTCCAACTTTTTAAATAGGAATTCGCTACTATTCTATTCTGGTGCTTTCAGGGGAACACATGAAACCATTCCAATATGCTGCTGGTAACTGTTAAACAGTTCCTAACGACTTCCAAAATAGTCATCTGCATTAAATTATCCACAACTATCAGAAAACAAATGCTATCGATAGGTCCATCGATGTTTTGACAGCTCTAGATTGTATATACTCGATAGTGGCGAATTGGTATAATTTATCGGCCTGGACGCGGTCACACTAGTAATTTATGTGTGCAAGTGGTGGCGCTGAATTATAGAATTTCCGCAATAAATTTTGTGCAATTCGAGACACGTTTCGTGGCAAATTGGACGCCAACGTATAGCCCAGGTGTGTGTTAAATCCATCCGCCGCTCGCAATTGTGGGGGCGCACGTATTGCGCGGCAACGCGTCATCGACAGCCAAGCATCGCGGCATAGCGTCATTTCTGCTGTACTAAAACCTAAAATCCGCCGTGTTCGTAGTCCGCCATTTTGAAAGCTGCGAGTGGAATTTGGACGCGTTGCTGGTAAAGAAATTTTTGGAAAACTGGCCGAAAAGTGCACAAAACTTGTGAAAAATGTTCGCCGACGGTGTATGAACGCGCCGCCAGGATTGTGCATTCGAAAATTGTGTGTGACCTATGGTTTTGGCACGTGAATTTTGTGCAGTCGTAAACTCGCAAAAAAAAGAGAAAGAAAAGACGCCGCTGTCGCCGCCGTACAAAGAAAAACGAATAAGCGAGAGAGAAAAAAGGCCGAAAAAAATATAATTGTGCGCCGCTGAATCGTTTCAGCGATTTAATAATACTAAAATTCTATTTTTCTGCCGGATTACCATTTCATTTTGCCTTTCTGTTTGCAACGAGTGTGCTCTTGTATGTGTGCGGGTGCGATGAACGTGTACAAGAAAAATTTAAACGTGCAGAATTCTGATGAATTTTAAAGCGGAACTACTTTTTATACATATGAGTATGTGTGGCTCTGTGTGGGTGCACGCACACTTGACCAAGTATTGTTGCGGTTTAATGCGCTTGAGTGAGTGAGTGTGTGCGAGTGAGTGAGCAACGCCTGCTGCCATATTCTATGCAAAACATAAATAAAATTGTGCAATTATTTTCCCACAAACACAGAGGCGGCAGATACACACACAAGCACACGCTCTCTTGCGTTTGTGTCTATTTCGTCTATATGTTTCTATATTTTTTTGCGCCCGCCTAGCGACAATATACACGCAAGGTTCACTGCGCAACGCCCACTCCCGTTCGTCCCCACTCCACTGCAACATGCTGTCTCATCGTTGTTTTGCCGCCGAAAGAGAGGGGGAGGAAACGGAACAGAGTGGAGACGAAAACCAACGAGTTTGAAAACTAACTAAAGCCTCATGTTGACACATTTCAAGCGAGAGGATTAAAATCCTTTAAAGGGTGAAAGTGTCTGGCCTTTTCTCGCTGTTTATCACTGAAGAGTTTTTCCCAGCATATCAGAGCTTTAAAGTTTTCGCATTTAAGACTGGGGGGGGTACATATAAATATTTTGTGCTCGCATATTGACTGAAAATTACTCACATTGGCAGCTACCCATACTCTGAAACGGCTCCTCCCGTCGGAATTATATTTTATGTTTTGTTTATTCGGATTTAAATCCACACACAACACACACGCATACAACTCTCGACGAGTTTGATAAAGTGGCGCATAAATACATATATATATTGCTACCCATTTTTTTCTGCTTCCCATTTCAATTCGTATGGCCGCTTGTTTCTAGTTTTATTACAATTTTTGCGCTTGTCGTGTTTTTGTCGTTGCTTCTTCGCTCGTTTTGTTTCGCCGCCCTTTCACTGCCCGACGTGCCTGTACCCATCACACTCACAAACACATGCAGCCATTCGGAGACACAGTCACACGTACACAGACACACAGGCGAGCAACTCTGGCCGAAGCCCCTCTCCCCATGCCGCTACCCGCCCGCCCACTCGCACTTGCGGCGGAATTGTTGTCGTTGCTGCTCCTGCTGCTCCTGCTCCTCCTGCCTGCTGCAGTTGTCAAAACTCCAGCGAGGATTTTCAATCTTATTTTCACACAATATAAGATTCTCGAATATTACAAGGCCGTACAAATTTTTATTTATTTACTAAAAAACCTTGATTGTTTTTTTGTTGTGCAGTTGGGATAAGATAAGATTGCCTGAATCCAAAATTTTTAAACTTATTGATTTTAAGTGGGTTCCTTGATTCTGCCTTAAAAGGATTTAAAAACAAGTATCTCTGGTAGCTTAAATTAATTCTTTAATTACTAGTTTTTATATATTTGATTGGGTTTAAATCCACATTCGCCTCATATCGTTTATTTATTTACTATGCACTTCCTTCCTCACATATCACAACATTGTTCTCTATTTTTATGCGGTGTGTATTGGTCGGGTATTTTTTTTTTGTTGCCGACTGCTGCACGCGTGAAAAAATGCACACCTGCCCAAAGAATTTCACACTTTGAGGCGAGGATGGCAGAAAAATGGGGATGGGAGAGAAGAACCCAAGCGAAAGCAGCATCTGAAATAGCACATAGCATTTAAATTTAAATACAAGTCGGAAACTAAAATTCGGGCAAAAATACAATGGCAGCAATATGTCTTTATACCGTAGGCACTCGTAGGTAAAGAGATATATTGGGTTCTTTAAAATGTTTGTTACGGGTAAAGAAATGCGAATATAATGATATATTCTTAATACTATCAAAAGCCGATCGGATCTAGTCATGTTTAAGAGTACTTTTGTTAGTAGTTAACTCGAATAAAGTTTGAAATGTAACAATGTAAGTTGTGTACTAGGCCATTACGTTGCTTATCAAATTTATAAGCCGATAAGAAGCCCAGGGTACGTTTTCGTTTCGTGATTTCCCTCTCAATTGATCGACCTGTGTGCTTCGCTTCTGTATAAGTACAAATAACAACATACACACAATTTCAAATGCCTCAGCCAAAATCTGTCTAAAACAAGAGATACAGATATACCAATAATAGAAACCCCAGCCATTTTTAAACGTACAAGAGGGGGCAATAGATAAGTTAAATTTCATTTATTTTGTTTTTTCCTTTTCTTTTTGTTCCCCGACTGCTGGTCACTTGCTACTCGCGCTATGCTGGCTTGCAGTTTTCAATGTGCGTCATTCACAGACCGGGCACCAATCAATATTAAAGTAAAATAAAAGGGGAAAGCGAGAGGAAAAGCAATAATAAACAAGAAATGCAGAATGACAAATGCAGACGAATAAAAACATTGGTCAATGTCGCGCAGCCGGACAGTTAGTGGTTTCCGCAAAAATGTTTAAGATTCTAAAATATTACTTGATAAAGTGTGTATTTTGTCGGTTTCTGTATATACAGACACAACATTTGTTAAACACACGGTCTGCTCTTATACATTCTGATGGAATACTATTGTTTTTAAACCGTTGGTTATTTAAATACTGTTCACATTTAAAAACGAGGGCAGCCACATTGTTGTTAAAGAGTGATTTGTTTTTTATGAAAAGTTTGCAGAAGTCGCTTAACTTGTATCTTTCCTATAACGCTTTAAATTCGGGAGTTTATGCAATCCAAGTCTCTTTCTTGCTCCATCTTCCACGTTTTTCCTGAAATGTACAAGCCTAGCCGAAAACAGCTTTAACTCATCATCGAATGTACAAACAATATTGAAAACAATGTATACAATATCGCAACCGCGAGCTTTTTAAACCCCATAAATTATTATGTACATATGTATCTCTAAGCCGCACAATGATTAATTTTCCATACAAATGGTTTCCAGTTTTTTCAAGAGGTATCTCATTGTCGAGTAGCTCTGGTTTCGTTCAACAACGAGGCTTTTCGCGTCATCTTAACAGCCGGCTTTAACACAAATGCATGAAATGGAAGGCAGAAATTGAAACCAAACGAGAAACGAAAAAAGAGCAACGGGCGGAGGAGGTGGTGGAGGCTGCGGGGGCCGTAAAAACGCGGGAACGCAACGTCACGAAGCTGAAAGAAGCAGCGCAGCGCAGCAAAGCACCCGTTGAGTCAGGCAAAAAAAAAAACAAAAAAACAAGTTTCTCGAGTAAACTTAAAGTACGAAATTCGCCAAAGCCGTCGCAGTAATGACGCATGAGCAGTAGCGTTTTCAATTTTCCGATGCAGCAGCAGCAGCTTCCCCCAGTATCCTCCCTCTGGAAATTCCTAAAGTTTTCCTGGCACTCGAACGCTTTAAAAACTGTTTGCTCCTGATGCGCATGACTTATTAAAACGTGTTCAAGAACACACGCATGTATGTATGTATGTATGTATGTTTGCATGTACATTTCGCGCAAAGGCATTAAGCCAACAAACAATTTAAGCGAACACAGTTTTTCCTGACTGAAATGGTGGCCAAAGGGAAAAAATTGCCAACAAAGAAATGAAAACAAAATCGGATGAAAGAAAAAAGAACATAACCATTGAGTTTGCTCTTTTGCCGACTTTCCACTACACACTCTTCCCCTCGGCCACTTTTAGTTCCTTTACGGCCTCTCTTTTATCGTGCGTCGCGTCCGTCTGCCTCGTTTCATGTTGATAAACCGGTTTTCGGTTTGGTTTGGTTGTTGGTTTGTTGCTGTGCCGCCTGCTGTCCCCTGGCCATAAAAAGATATAGTATGTACGCGGCCATCGTCATCGCGGTCGGAGTTACTCGTGGTGCCGCTCACTCACTAGTGGTGCCAGAAATCCGATAGCGAGTAATCGTTAATTTGGCAAATCCAAGCAATTGAGGAATGCGTGAGCATGATTTGACATGTTTCTCAAAGTTATTGACTAGGAAACTTTTTGGTCAATTCATGTAGATCTTAAAGAGGTGCATTACTAAAAGATTCTGTAACGTGGAGTTCATACTTTTAAATTTAGTGCCTGTATAAAGTATCTTTAAAATTATCCAACAAAAGTAGCCTGAATACTATCTATATGATCCTTGAAACCGGTTGAAGTAATACTAACTGCCGTGTTTCATGTCGGTCGATTAGTTTTTTTGGGGTATAAATATAAATCATTCAAGTCAGTTTATAAATTTATATAACTAAGTAGAGTTACTTTACGATCAAAGTTCGTAATTCATCAATAAAAGAAGCTAAACTGGCATTACTGAAGTCGATTTGTTGGGCAGCTCGCCTCAGCATCGGAATTGGAATCGGCTATAGGAAGCAGACACAAGGGGCTCAGGTAGCAACGCGTCGTACTTCGAATGTATCTGTTAGATACAAACCATTGCGCACACCGACGCTAGTTGGTTTTATAATGGTTATTGGTTGTTGACTGTGATTTGTAGTGTTATATGATTTTAATTCATGTTTATTCCCTATTATTCCTTTATAACCCCGCGGCATCAACAGGTTTTCCCTGTCGTTTCGATGGATTCCCATGTCTCTTTTACAGCGTGGGCGCTCGCACATTGCGGTTAGCACATCCTGTGCCACCATTCAGTACAAAAAAAAGCAAAACCTGAAGCAAAACTGGTTTCTGGCGCGGTTTGAAAAACTCTGACATTTTCCATTTCGAATGTTGATCGAAACTGCTAAGGCGCACTTGTGCAATTTTTAGCTTCAAAGGAGAGCAAACTCTTGAAAAAAGTGATCTAAACCAATAACTAAAAAACCAATCGCCTTAAATGTTTCGGATTGGGTGACCTAAAGTGTCAAAGTTAATCTAATATAAGAGTCCGACGAATAAATGCTGGAAACTTTTTAACAATATCCAGCTAACATTTAAAAATTTTTAAGCCATATTTTCCGAGAAGCCAATAGGTGTAGGAGCAAGATAGAGAGAAATGAAATATTAGTATTCTTTTTTCATAATAAATAAGTTATGTTCCGTTAAAAAATCAAAATCAAAATTCGCATTAAATAGAGGGGCACATGATGAAATTGTTTAGACATTAAACAAAATAATACTTTGACTTGATAAATATAACAAAAATATACAAAGCAAGAATTGCTTTTGTGATGTGATTGAGCTGGGAATTTTGTTCTTTCCATGACTATAGTCATTATTGTTTATTTTTATTTTGTATTTTCTTATATTGTTAATCGGAATTTATCTCTAAAAGAGTATTCCAGGCGAGTCTATTTTAAAATACAGAGAAACCCTTTTTGACGTTGTGCATAAAGTAAATAAATAAATAACTCGGTGCATTATTGCTCTTTCAGTTTTTATTACTAATATTATTATTGTAGTCTCGTCGGTCTTTCATACTTTGGCTCAATACGTGACACAAGGCTGATGGGAAGTGACTGATGGTTGCGACGCGGGAAAGATGTTTTTATAAACATAGCTTATAGCCATAGAGACAGTCATTCCGAGCTTATCGTATATTATATAAATATATTTTGTGTGTGCACGTATATGAACCTATATATAGGGCTCATTGCATACACTTTGTACCGATTTTGCGCTTTGCGCTTATCAGCAATGTATAGTAAATCTCCTCTGTTTAAATATAACAAAAACTACTCAAATGTCAGTCCGCAATTAATGGGATACTTACGTTTTACTTTTTGCCGGATTATTTCATTTCATTCAGGGAACTAGGTGTTTTACTTTTTGCATTTTTAAATTTGTTTTGGGTAACAAAGTTGCTATTGTTCTTTATACTCTTGCCGCCGATATGTATTTTTCGCTTTGGAATTACTAAGCGGAAAGGGCTTTGAACAAAACTATAACCCGAAAGAGTTCTGGAAGCTGAAAGAGTCACAATTGCACATCCAAGCTTTATAGTATTTTTAATGAGAATCCTAAAAATAAAAATACATTTTAAAGCAAACACAGTCGCTCCCGGCGTTCCAGGTCACACTTAAGTCAATCCCAAACACATATGTATGTACAAGCATGTATCGGTCACATTGTCATCACGCCGAGCTAAAATTTCCTGCCATCCGTCGTCCCATGCCATTCCTCGTCAGATAACCAAGAAGTGCCCGTTGATAAGATACGGTGGGTGACTACTACTACACGTAATCCGAGTCGATCATACATATAGGCCCCTATGTGAGGGTACAGTACCTTGTGCTCCTGAGTAACTGACTTTTGTTCAAGCGTCTAAATCGTTCTACCAGTTGCGGGCGGGGGTCGAGCCCACATGGCCTTTAAGCCACGCCCTTTCTGGTGCGGAACGAGTGTAACCAGCGGGCACAGGCCAGAGAATTTGTTTGTCGCTTGTGAACAGCGTTAAATTTCTATGTTTCTGCAACGACACCTCCCAACACCCACCCACCGCCATGTCCACTCCTCCCCATCCACTTCACTCAATGATACGGCGGGAATATGAAAGAAGGGCGGGGATATGTGAGTGCGGCAATAACGTAGCTTTATCGCTGATGTCGGCGAAATGCAAACAAAAACTTCATCGGCCAATTTTTGCTGACATTGTGTTTATTTTTTTCTTTCTTTTTTTTCTGCTCTCTTAACGACAACATCACATTTCATGTTTTCCATTTAATTTATATGTTTCTCGTTATGTTGCTTTCATTGCAGGATTCTCGATGTCAATATGAAGCGCCAAAAATGATTGCAACGTTTGCATAGTATAGTCTTCAAACGGTTTTTTTTCATTGATTTAACTTAAAACGGTCGCTCAGCCATCAGTAAGAGCAGTGAAAGGGCTCTATTCCTCACAAGCCTGCGCTTTGCTCACGGTAAACCACTGACAGAGAATCCAGAGGAACAAAGTTCGGGAGTTTTAGAAAGATACAACTCGACGACCGAAGAGTAGGGGACACCTGACAAAAACAGTGACAGTGCGAGATGGACAAAAATCTAATGATGCCGAAGCGTTCGCGCATCGATGTGAAGGGCAGCTTCGCCAACGGCCCGCTTCAGGCCCGGCCATTGGTGGCCCTCCTCGATGGACGTGATTGCTCCATCGAAATGCCCATCCTTAAGGATGTGGCCACGGTGGCCTTTTGCGATGCACAGAGCACCTCCGAAATACACGAAAAGGTTAGAGACTTGCGTCTTTGGTTATCCCCCTACTAAGTACGTTTCTTTAATTTGTAGGTACTCAACGAGGCAGTGGGAGCACTGATGTGGCACACCATTATCTTGACAAAGGAAGATCTGGAGAAGTTTAAAGCTTTACGCATCATCGTGCGCATCGGCAGCGGCACAGACAACATCGATGTGAAGGCGGCGGGCGAACTGGGCATTGCCGTTTGCAACGTTCCCGGTTATGGAGTCGAAGAGGTGGCGGACACGACGATGTGCTTGATCCTCAACCTCTACAGACGGACATACTGGTTGGCGAATATGGTGCGCGAAGGCAAAAAGTTCACCGGACCCGAGCAAGTGCGGGAGGCAGCGCATGTAAGTTGTATATACATACATAAATTAAATTAGTTAGAAGCGCAAATTAACTTACATCGATTTCCCTTCGCAGGGCTGCGCACGCATCCGCGGTGACACATTGGGTCTGGTGGGACTTGGCCGCATCGGCAGCGCCGTCGCCCTGCGCGCCAAGGCATTTGGCTTCAATGTAATCTTTTATGATCCCTACCTGCCCGATGGCATCGACAAGTCGCTTGGCCTCACACGCGTCTACACGCTACAGGATCTGCTTTTCCAGTCTGACTGCGTTTCTCTGCATTGTACGCTTAACGAGCACAACCATCATTTAATCAATGAGTTCACAATTAAACAGGTGAGTTGGTTTATAATTAATTTTGGGAAGCACTTTGAAATTTATTTATTACGTTTGGTCAGGATGACAAGCAGAAAATATCGGTTAAATATATCCGTTGTATCGTTTTTGGATTTTTGAAAAAGGTTTACGATACACCAATTATTGGGAAACGTCATCGATGATGAAGTGAACCCAAAAGATTTTATTGTATCTAAACTTTAACATATCGATTTATTAATTGGTTTCCGGCTTAAAAAATGTATAGTAATGATATCTTCTGGCATTCATTCTTCTTTACCTAATTTATCCACATTTATTAATATCTCAGTGCAGTATACATATGTATGTGGTCTCATGTTTCAAATTGTATAGGTGTTCCTTCGCAGCTATTTAAACATTTGTTTTCTTTATTTTCAGATGCGACCTGGTGCATTTCTAGTGAACACCGCCCGGGGCGGTCTGGTCGATGACGAGACCTTGGCGTTGGCGCTGAAACAAGGACGGATAAGGGCAGCCGCATTGGACGTGCACGAAAACGAACCTTACAATGTATTTCAAGTAAGAGATTGTTGTAAAACGAGACATTTTACGCAATCTGAGTTGGCGCCGCACCCACGACGGATGTGTTCTGGACTAACCAAATTCCTATTGACTTGCAGGGCGCACTGAAGGATGCTCCCAATCTGATCTGTACACCGCATGCCGCTTTCTTCAGCGATGCGTCCGCCACGGAGCTGCGCGAAATGGCGGCCACCGAGATCCGTCGAGCGATCGTCGGCAATATTCCAGACGTCCTGAGGAACTGCGTCAACAAGGAGTACTTCATGCGCACGCCGCCGACCGCTGCCGCCGGTGGCGTTGCGGCGGCTGTTTATCCCGAAGGTAAACTACAAATGATATCAAATCAAGAAAAGTAGACAGAGAGAGAGACAGAGAGACAGGCGAGCAAGAAGGGAGCGTTATAAAACAAAATAGAAACAAAACAAGTAAAAAACAAAAGAAATCAACCAACAAAACCGAGCAAAAACCATTCAATACAATACCAGAAATCGTTTAAACCACACACATTACTTTATAAAATACACAATCACACATACACCTTACCATACCTACACACGCACACAAAACATACTTCTATTCTTTCTCAGACTTATTCAAAAGTATATATATATATATAGGCGAGCGCAGAGATGCGCTTCAGAGAAGAAAGTATAACATTTAAAGCAAGATTCAAGAACACACACGCTATAAGAGTTGATATATAAGTTTAAGCTACAGATCCATATATATATATGTATAGATATATGCATATGTATATATATAAAATCGGAATGTTTGACGTCGATGAGAGGAGGATTACAGCACAGCCGGTGTTACGGTAAAAGAGTTACGTATGTGTGTATGTATGTATATGCATTGTTTTGGCAAAACACTTTCGAAAATACATTTATTTGTCCCATGCGTACTATTTGAAATTCCCATTTCGGCCTGCCACTTTGTGAAAATCAATTTAAGCTAACACGATAAGCATTTAAATTCTTTGATTAAAAACAAAAACAAAATAATAAGCGCGAAAGCATAAATAGAGTGACATTATATACATACATATAAATAAATAAGTTTAAAGATTATTTACAAATCAAAAACAAGGTGAAAGTAAACAATATGATGGATTATTGTTGTTAATGTTTCGCGAAACTCCCCCATTTGGCCCCTCTTCTTCCATGCCCCACACATGTATCCGCCTTGAACAGAAACTAGAAGAAACAATCGGCGGAAAGTATGTAAAGTAATTATGTTCAGTGTAGTCCTCACATTTAGCCACGTATTCATTGTGTATTTAAAAATGATTATCATTATTATTATTATTATTATAAACGAGAAACGAACCATGCCAATAATTCCAAAATGGGTAACTCCCGAAACGTCGAAACATACTCTTTGAGCTTAAGAAAATTGTTTATGTTATGTTGCGCCATTTATTGCTGACAAACTATTGTAAAATGATTCGAATAAGAGAACATATGAAGCCCAAGAGAAATTTTAATTTGGCTGCTCAACGCTCTGCTCTGTATTACAAAATGATCTCATCATCCACGTTTATTTTCGCCTTACGTATGTAATTCTTGTATTTTCGATTGGCTAAATCAAGCGGCAGAGAAATGAATAATGACTTTATGTGCAAAGTATAGATCTGATAACACACGGCGCGTCGGATTCAACTACCATCTATCCAGAAACAGAAACAGAAAGAAGCAGAAAACTACAGTTAAATTAACGCATAGTCTATGTACATTTTAAAATATATAAATGAAATTATATTAAAGCGAAAACCAGCAAAACAAATCGAAAAAATAAACAAAAACGAAAAGCAAAGAAAAAAGAGAAGATAATACATGTAATATTAATGAACTTAGATTTAGACCTTAACGATAAAGGCAGCTGGGAAACGACGATGATGATATAGCGAGCATATATGATCATCATCATCATCATCAGCGAGTGGTACATTAAACATTGTTAGCGTGTAAATTGTAATTTTATTTACCGAGAATATATATTTACATACACATAGATACACAGACGAGCGACAAAAATTATAAGACTATAATTTTGTACAATTTTGCAATTTAAGTTTAATTACTAAAAGCTTCAAGCGGAATCGTCTCCAATGTTTGGTTGCATTATTTGTTCTCTAATTTTCTTAAATATTCATAACTGCCTTTATAGGTATCTTATCCGATAATGTTCAAGAACATATTTTCCATTCTAATTCATCGGGTGGAATGTATTGCCCAAGTCCTTAATCCCTTTCCTAGCTTTATTCTATTCTATTCTATTTTGTTTTTTTTTTGTTTATTCGGTTGTTTTTTGTAAGTTCCAAAAATTGTGAATTATTTAAAACATTAGAAGCACAAAACATACACACATATAAAGCACACTAAAAAAGAAAAACAAAACAAACACGAAATACAGAAGCTGTATACACTCACACATCAAACACACACACACACATCCTATATAGCAAGCTGCAACAACAAATGAGCAAAGTAAAACATAAATAAGCATAAGTCTAAAAGTAAACGTAATGAGACAAAGGAATAAAATACTGTTATTTTGTAATGTATAAAAAGGATATTTTTAATAACTGTGAAAGCTAAATAAAATTACAAGCGTAACAATTGACGATGAAGCACAAAAACGAAACGAAACAAAACAACAAAAAATCAATGAGACGTTTATTTGAAAACCAAGAAAAACATTTTCATAAAAAAAAAACAAACAAACAAAAAACAAGAAGATAAAAACAAATAAAACAAAATCTTTCATGAACACAATTGTTTTAACTTTGCAAATCGGAAGCTGTCAAATTGTGTCCACTTTTGATAAATATTTGAAGAAAGACTGTGCCGTCGACCAATTTATTGTTATCTTGGGATGATAATGGATGATTATTGAGAGCAAGCAGCGCAGAGCACACCATTAAGTATAAAGAGTAATCTCGGCGAAAGTCAGCAATGAATGGCCCAACGGCAGGCGGAATCTTTAGCCATAGCTCATTTGTACCTTTAGCTGTAGAAAACCAGATCAATTCCGTCCCATGACTCGAATTTCAGGGAAGAAACACGCCTATTCCCCCGAACACTAAGTATGGCGTCACTCTATAAAACCAGAGCTCGTTAAAAACAACTGATCCTTTTCTCAATATAACCGGGCATTTGGTTGCCCTTCGTTTTGGCTTTTGTTGTCCAGTGTTCTCAGTTGAGTTTGTCTTGTTACTATCATTCAAAAACAACACTATGAAGCGATTTTAAATTGTTTCCTATGTCGTGTTTAACGAAACCATAACTTGAATTATGAACCCGAAAATACCAGAATTACAGATTAATATTTATAAGAGTAAAATTAATATTTGTATTGATAAACATAAGAAGAAAACCACACCAACAATGAATGGTTGCAAAGATCGTGATGACTCGAAGAACCATGTAAGCCGAATGATTATTCTGCTTTTGAGGACATTTGTTATTTGCGAGCTCTGGTATCGGAAAATTTGAATTTTTAGGAGCGACGAGCGCGGCTGTTACCTTCAACATTGCATCATTGCATCACTATTAAACTCAAGATTTCTCTCATAAGTCAGTCGCCACTTCCCAGATTACACACAGACTCTGCCAACTACCAACGTTTACCACTAACTTGCACTCAGAACCAAAAAAAAGAAAGATTACAGCAAATCGAAACCAACAGTCCCTCCACATAATACCAAAACCAACAAAAACAGCAACATTTCATAACTTTTTACCTAACTTTCAACTACCAAAATATGAACCAAATCGAAATACAATCCAGGATTAAATGGCGGCTATTATACAGGCGCACTGCATCATCGGGCACACAGCACCACGCCGCACGATGGTCCCCACAGCACAACCAACTTGGGCAGCACAGCCGTCGGCGGTCCGTCAGCCGCTGCAGCAGCCGCCGCTGTTGCCGCTGCACTGGCTCCGCCGCCGCCGCCCAACTCCTCCGTGGCCGCTGCTGCGGCCGCCGTTGCTGCCGCTGCTGCAGCCGCCGCCGCTGGCCTCCTACCATCGCCGAACAACGCTGTGCCAGCGGGGCCGCATTTGTCGCCCCACCACCAGGTCGGTGGTGGAATGCCTCTTGGAATTGTGAGTAGCCAATCGGTAGGTAGCCCATAAAGCTCTGTTGTCTTGTGTTTGTGTGTGCGTTTGCCAACCTCCCGCCACAAGCGGCAGAAACTCTCTGTGGTAAACGTGTGTGTGTTGTGTTGCGTGTGGCTCTCCCAGTTAGTCCGTGTTCGTTGCTGTTATCGTTAGTCACTGGTTGGTTAGTCGTAGTTGAGTGTTGGCTATAGGCTAGGGCTTGCTTACTGAAACCGACTTGGACATGCGTTGCTAATCCTTATCCTTGCCCTCCTCTTGCTTTTTAGCCCCTGAGTGCGCCCGACCCTAATAATCACCTGTCATCGTCGAGCATAAAAGCGGAGGTGAAGGCTGAGTCGGCGGCGGAGGCGCCGTAGGCATCACATGCTGCAGCTGCTGACCCACGAAGCTGGAGCCCAGAGCTAGGGAGTAGAGTGATGATGACAACGGGGAGTGGCGCAACGGAGTCCAGCACAACCAACTGGAAGGAATGAACGAACGGAAGCAAGATTAACATTAAATCCCAGGAGTAGTCGTCATCTATCTGTCATATGTGTGTGGAGTGTGGAGTCCCAGAATCCGTGGCGTGTGGTTCTTCTTCTGTTCTAATGAAGGATTCCTTGCGCCGCTTGCGCCAGCGCTTGATTTGAATTTTTCCAAAAGTTTCTATATGTTTTTAATATTTAAAATACGATACATATTTGCATTACCAGACCTCCCCCAACAAACAAAAACAACGCAGGAAACAAGGACGAGTAAAAAATTGGGTGGATAGCAGAGATAATCCCACACACACAGAACTAAGCTCCTCAAGAATTAATTACATCCCTAGACTTTAATTTGTAACTATCTAGAACTTTACGGTTACAATTTAAGATTTTTTATTTGTATTGCAGCAAAAGTGTAAGTAAAGGAGGAAAAATATGTTACCTACATATAAGCGCAAACACACAAAACGTTTTAAATTTCAAGAAAGAAACCGAAACAAGATTACGTTGGCATACAAACAAATCCAAAAGAACTCTACTAGAAACAAAACAAATGCAACACACACAAGAGAGGAGTCGTATAGAGCTAAGCTATGTTTAAAGTATATATAATTAAAAAGGAAACAAAAAAAAAAAAAAAAAAAATAAATGAAACAGCGACAACACTTGCATTTTAATTGAATTATCGAAACAAAGAGTTATATTCGGCAGTTGAGCTCGCAAGGTTGCAGGTTACCCACAGATTAGTGTCTGATAAATATTATTCACTGAGATGAACATGTTCACTTGTAAATTGTTCAACATACCAATATTGCTTGCTGGTTCACTGTTCATAAAGAGACTCCTGAGTTCCACATTTCTCCAGCATTTGAAATTAAAAACTAAGCAAAGAAAGGTAATACAGGGTGATTTAACAACTGAACAGAAATGAACTAATAGAACATATAAACAATAAAGGGAGTGAACAACTCTTTGTTGTTCACTCACTCAAGGAAAGCGGATCAAAGAAAGCTCTTATATTTTCCACTCTCTTCGTATAACATTTCTTCGAAACAGTTAAGCCAAAGACCTAATAATAACAAGATGAGTAACGCTATACGATTATTTTGCACTCGAATTTTTCGAGAGTCAAAGCGAGATTGCCTGCCAATAAATTGCATGCATTTGACAATGAAAATGCATGGGCCTTATGTGTCTTGTTTTAATAGTCTTTGGCTAAGCGTAATCACAACCAACATAACAGTGACATAGGTAGAATGATTTATGAGCTCCGATCGACAGTAATACATTTAGTACATTTATTTGAGTCAGTTACGAACAAAGGCTTGTTTGTCGGCTTCTGGTGGTAAGTTACATCTATAATCTAAATGCTACACAACACTATTTATGGAATACATACTGCTTATAGTTGCTGTTTTTCTTTTTTTTATATGTACTTTAAAAGCATGTTTCACGTTTACAACGCTCAGATGTAGTGTATATATATGTAATAAAGTACATGTACATATGTGTGGTTTTGTATGTTTCGGCTTTCGTTTTGTAAAATCCCCCCCGCATACCGTCATTACTACTAGTATGTATTTGCTCTAATAAATTTATCAAACACTGAAAGGTTCCATCACGTTAGTAGTCCCTTAAATTTATGAACAGTAATAATTTTTTTTCGTTTAGATTTCTTCTACGGAATGAACAACAGCTATGCATGATTTCGACTGAATGAAATTGTATACATATATATGTATGCATAGGGACATTTTGATTGATTTTTTGAGCTTAAAACAAACAACAGCTCAATTACAAAACCTAGTTTCATGTAAATGTAGTTCCTTTCTTGGTAGTTTCCTTTTCATTTACATTTAAAATGGAAATGTCGATTTATGTAAGGACTTGGGTTAATTAGTCTTTGATTATAACTATAACTGATGCACTAGCTTGTTAATATTACATAAATTATATATGTATATGTACTTGTATATAAGAATTCTGTAAATTAAAAACTAGGGTTATCTGAAACGGTCTTTTCATGTTTGGTATGTGGATATATATATGTACATCCGGTTATATTTTTTTCGTATATAAACGCGTCTATCAAAACATCATCATTGTACAATAAAATACAACAGAACAAATTCGCTTCATCTGCGTGTGCAGGTCATGTGATTAAACGTAAGAAATAAAAATTGAACATTGCAGCAAAATTAAGTGCCTACAGTCGTCGCCTCACACTTGGTCCCCCCGTCCAGTCCCATCGTCGACTATCTAAAAGAAACGCGTCATCCGGGGTCGCAGAAAACGGAAGGCTCCATAGCAGCCCAGGCCAATGAGGCCGTACTTCAGCGTATATGTACAGATTCGCTGACCAATGCTGGCCGGTGGAATCTCGAGTATAGCTGGAATTTTCTTGGGATCGACCGTACCCCACATTTTGGCAATCCCATTGGCATGCCCGATGCCTACAACACCGACAACTCGCACTGGACGGATCTGCTGGGCACCCGGAGCCGCTTGGGGCAGCGCCGCAAGCTGCAGCGAGTGACACAGAAAGATGTCCCGCTCCCGTACGAAAACGTCAGAGAAGGCCGGGAACTCGCCGGCCATCTCCTGCATCAGTTTCTCAAGCAAATCGCTCTGCTTGCATTCCTCCACCTCCTCAATGCTGATGCTGTCGGTGAAGGTCAGGCGCCACACCAATTTCATGGTCTGCCAAGCGGACAGAGCACGAAGTGCTCGGTACAGGGTTATGCGGATGGGCCGGTCGCCTAGATGTAGAATACAGCCCGGTAGCTTGTGGATTTCCTCAAAGGCACGACGAAACTCACCGCCCGGCGCCATTCCCAGATCCTTGGCGATCTGGGCACTCATCTGCAGCAGCAGTATGAAGAAGATGCCGTTGATGTAGCCATGCGTCTGCAGGATTCCTCGAATCTAAATAGCGGATTAACATTAAAAAAGTTCTGTAGAAATGTGTTGCCGGCTTTGTAGTAACCTTGGGTATGTTAATGCTCTTAGCCTCTTCCAGAAGAGTTTTTTCGTCGAGTTTTAGGATGTGAATACGGGATGGGCACAGCTCAACCATGACCACATCTGGACGGACATTGCGTATGACCTGAAATAGAAATCATATATTGAAAATACAGTGTTTTTAATAAAATTAAATTACTCACATATGATACGTCATCCTGCGACTCCTCACTAAAGTGTGCCGTGCCCACAAGATAGACCTTGCTGCCAAATGGCGTGTTCAGCAGCGTAACTGTCGAAGGCAGATTTTCATCAAACTCCTCGATAGTATCGTATATTTTGATATCTCGTTTGGTCTGCGGTTGGTCAGTTACGACCGGCACTAGATCACGTTTCTCGCCATCGACATCGCCATCGGCCACAGCCGATGCCTCTGCTATGGATATGTCCAACTTTTGCTTGCTGGTCTGAAGTAGGGACTCCGTCTTGCGGCGACGTTTATCTGTGGTTAAGGAAGAGTCCGATACAACCGCTTTGATAGGCGATTTCTTTAAAAGGTTCTTCACGTCACTGCCTCCCTCGACCAGCACCACCTCGTTCTCCAGGTCCTCCTTCTTAATGGAATTGTCGTTAATTTCTATAATTGACAGGTTAGGATTATCCGTCTTGAATATTGTCTTGTTGGCCAGTTGTGATTTGGGATCGACTTCCTCCTGTGAGTTCGTATCCAGACTCTCGGATTGGATCAGCAGCATGCTGGCGTTAAGAGCTGGCGTCGGGCTGTTGAAAGCTGCCTGCGATGGTGAACCGAAAGCCTTGGAGACATTCGGTGTTGATTCGTTTCCAATGTCCGTGCTGCCTACCTTGCTTGAGGAATTGGGTTGTTGCAATGGGTTTTGGCTGAGTTCACCCATAAGGCTCTCTGCAAATTGGGAAATAGGTAAACAATAATTGTTAACAAAAATTTTGGAAACGGAAAATGTAAGAATAATGCGAGTTTTAGGCCAATGTTGGTCTCAAAGTTCAAAGGTCCTTAAAAAAATATATCTCATTCGTCTGAATTTAAATAAAAGTATTCTTTGTTTTATATCGTTAATATTAATCGAGTTTGGAGATTTCTTGTTCATAGAGGTTTTCCAGTTGCTTTAAGTAGTTTCCGGCGCAAGTTTTATCCTGAATACTGCTCATTAAAAAGTTTTTAAACATATGAAAACACTGTCGCTTTATGGCACAATTATTTATTGCTCGGGTCTTGTCCCGTTCGGCCAGCTGTGTCCCGTATTTAAGAATTAGCTCTTTCTTTAGACCCTTTGCCTTCTCGGCGACAGTACTTTGTAATGAAAGCTTGCGGCTTTTGTAGGCGTGAACGCACATCTTCTGCACTATTAGGTCCAGCTCATTGTCCATGTTCTTGAAATGATTTCTGAATACCTTATCATCGCCAGGGAAACCCTCAAATATTTGCGAAAAAAGTCGGTTAGGAAAACTTTCTAAAGTTTGGGACTGCAGAGAATGGCGTGTTGCAAGCAAGAGATTCCGATTGATGCTACGGCTAAATGTCGCCTTTTGTTTTTTCTCGCACCTCAGCTTGTTTAGCTGATTCTCCTGGTAATTAGTTTGAATTTGTAGAGCGACCACCTTTAGCTTGAGAGCATTAACCTTACGCTCGAGGCGAGTATTCTCTTCAAACAAATCTTCATAAGCATTGAGATCTAGTGAATCATTTGAGACGTCTTCATCGCTGAATTCCTCCTCCTGCAGCGCCTCCAGTTCAATATCATGGCTGTCGGATGACTCCATGGAGTAAGCTTGTATTTTATTTTAATTTGAAATCAACCGGGTGTTTCTCCGATAACTAAGTAAGTGGCAAAGCCGACTAGTGCCTGCTTTTTGGGGTGAGAGAGTGATGCTGCTTGGCCAACTTACCATTACATGTCCGGTAGGCAAGATTGGACAGCTGGTGATCCAGAGCGCTATCGTATAGCGTGCTGTCGCCTATATAGGAGTTCGTCTTTCCCTCCGGCGTGCCGCTGTTGGACTCGAACGACGTAGAGGCGGATATGTCCATGGTAGTGTCTCTGTTTGAACAGTTGCCAGTAGGAAGAATTGGTTACGTGTGGAAATTCGGTTTCGGGTGATGATGGCGTCGGATACGGATGCCACCACGTATGTACATCTGTTGCTGCCCGCTACGGCGTCTGTGTGCGTATGCGTGGTGAAGAACTGGGAGGCGCAAAGTTAAAGAGCGATTATCAGAGACATACCGAGTAGATAATACGGCTGACACTCTGTCCACAGAACGTTGCTTTACTTGAACTGCAATTTTGTATGTTTTACTTTTTGCGTACGTGTCGTATGTGGATTTTTGAGTTTTACAACTGAGGCAGAACTCCTGGCCAAGTCAGTTTATGTGCTCGACTATTATTAATTTTGACCTCCAATTTCGAGTTCCTTACCTAAAAATGTGTATTTAATATTTTTGTGTTCTAGGTGTGCATCAGCGTATAATAATTGACACAGATTCGCTGCTTGAAGGATGGACTTGGCTACGACGGAAGGTCGCTTGGGGCTCTAGTGCGTGTGCCTTTAATTGTAATAAAAACCCAAAAAACTAAAGAAATTAAATTGTGACTGTGGCAAATTGTCGTTTTCTTGTTCTTCCAACTAGAGATGTAGAAATCAAAGTATCGATGACACTATCGATATAATCGAAGAGTTATAATTGTTGCTATAGTAAAACAACATTTCCAAATTACTTATAATTTTGATTATCAGACGAGATTTAACTTTTTGTTTCGTTATTATGCAAGAATTCCTCTTGAGGTATCTAAATTGGAAAGTGCAAAGTGGGGATCAACATATAAATTATTCAATAAATAATGTAATATATATATATTCACAATCACTTAAAAATAAATTAAATGCCCATATTTTCCGTTTTTTCCTCAATCTGATGTTTTTATAGAAGCACTTATTTTATATATTTAAATTGTTTAAAAGTGGTGGAAACTCGGCATCATCAACGATATGAACTGGTTTCAATAAATTTACCAAACGATAGAAAATATCGATGTATCGACTGCGGAGCTTCCACCCCTAATTATTTTGTTTTGGTTTTCGTCGGGATTTTAAACAGCAAAATCAGGCATGGCCGATGATCCTGAGGAACCTAGCAAGGTACGCGTTACAAAGAAAAATGGGGAAAGTCCCAGGGGCGTCCAATTTAAAGAAATATCACTACTTATCTGACCTTTGCAGAGCTTCTTTATCTTTGGCCGCGATGTGTCGCAAATACCGTGCTTTCGTAACAGTTTTCTCTATGGAATCAGCGGAGGAATCGGCATCGGCGTGCTGACATTCCTGGGCACCTCCCGCACCCACCTCTCCACGCATGTTGGCTTTGGGTCTTTCTTCTGCGGAACGATCGTATACTGGATGGCCTGCAGGTAGATGGATTGACACAATATACACCCCTCGACCCGTGCTAATTGTTTTTATCTTACAGGTATCAGTGGTCGGCGAGGAGGTTTGAGCAAACGCAGTTACGGGAGGCTATGCGCCGTCAAGCACAATACGAGGGCACAGAAGTCGAGCGGGATTTAGATCTTAAGTCTGCGTAGCATAAGTTCCTTACATGTCAATGCTAATTGATGTCTATGTTGTTACCCGAGGATTCAGCTATTCAATCCACAATTGTAAAAACAGCTTTGTTACCAAACAGCTTTATAATAGATTCTAAGTGAAATATTACTTTGAAGTTAATCATCGAGAATTTTTATTTTGCCTATATAAGCAAGGGGGATGAAGAAATGTTTGGAAAGACATCTAGGCTTATGCATAGTCTATAAATATGATACAACGGCTATTTGTAGAAGGTTATAAGGCCTTCATAAAGTGATTATTTCCTTAAATTGAAACCTGAAAAGATCATATAATTTTTGCAAATGGAAAGTGCACACAAAAAATTTTGTGTTTTCGAAGTTAGCCTCATTTCTTGACGATTAAGTAGAGCAGTGAAGTAGTAAAAAAATAGGAATCAAGAAACAATACTCACGCATTTATTGATTATTATATGGTTTATAAATTATATAAATTTATAGTTATCCAGAAAAATAAGATTAAAAGACGTTATAAATTTTTCAATTATTTACTTACACTTTTCCTGTTGCCTTTTTAAATGTTTGTACTTAACTTTTGTTGTTCGGTTGAAATTTGTTGTAATATTAACTGCTTAATCACCTAACCTAGAACATTTTTCCAAAAATTTTAGTTAAGAATCTTCTTATCAGAGATTATGGCTTTCCACAGTTGCTTTATTTCTAACACTGATATAATCTGGTTAAAAATCTATAAAAAATATACAAAATACATCTACACTTTCAGGAAAAACACAGCCCGATACCATATTCATTCAAAATCAATGTATAATCCATGTATGAAAACGAGATAAGAATGAAGGCTGGGAATTCAAAGGTACCTAAGGATCCTCCCATATGCACATATGTTCAAGATTTTGAAAAGAATCCCAGAAACCCAGAGGAGGAGATCCTGCTGTCAGTTCAGCGGAGCTGTCAGTGAGGGGTCTTATCTCAAAGTAAGTGCCTTAGTCCGTTTCTCCGACACTGGCACGCTCATTTCGTATTCGTTAACGGCTCGAAGCGGTTGTGTATTTCGGCGGGCGCACTGACTGTCTCGGGACAAATCTGAAAACTTGTTTTTGTATTACATTTATAAGACACTCCCATTCCTACATATATGTACATGTTAGCGACCCGTAATTGCAGGCCCGTACATTTTTATAGTCATTGAAACCGACGCGATTACGACAATGTCTAGCAATCAAGCAACTTCGGTGTTGGTGTTTTTTGTGAATGGAAAAAAGGTACTGAAAGATACTTAGTTAAGTTGCGTGTTGTAGTATCTTAAGAATTTCGGTTAATCGATTTTATCAAGTTTTATGGTCTTAATTGAACAATTGAAGGAAACTGCTTATATATTCTATATAATTGAATGTGTGTCGATTTCGCAGCCCACTTTATTTTTATTTATTGAGGAGCGCTGATAACAATTGACCCCGTAGAAATAGGGGAGCGTTGTTCGCTTGTGGCCCCTTATCATCTTATCAACACATCAAGCAATTTTACATTGCATTGGGATCAGTTTCACAGGGAGCTCTCACTGTCTATTGCGTATTTTTGCTAGATGATAACGAGACACATTCCAAAAATACTATCTGACTTTACAATGTTTACATTGTGACGCGTCTAAAGCCCTACTATCTAGATAATACCAGACACATGGGGCAACTGGTGTTGGCGCACGGCAGCAATTAAAGTTCTTAATTTAACGCCTCATAAGTGGAGTCATAATAAATAACCGGCTGTTTGTCGAGCCGGTATTTTGATAGTACTATATAGAGCACTTTATTGCCACAGGGCTGGGCAGAGACACATGTTCAAGTTTTACAAGTCAAGTACTACGAATCGAAACTGATATTATGGCTTTAAGCGTTACCAACTTACAAATTGAATTGAGTGACTGTTTTATAATTGAAATATGGATTATCGGAGATACTCCGAATAAAATGGTCAACATTAATTTTATTCACGTATTCGTATTCTATTCTTATTGCATGACAACGTACCGAGTGGGGAGATCGTTCTAAATATACTTAAGATACGTATGTACATACATATATGTATATGCATTTGGGTCTTATCTTCAAAACAGTTATGTGACATTTTTAGATAAATAAATAGAATATGGTTTTGTTTTTATAAAAAGTTATATACAGTACAATATAACGATTATTAATCAATTAGACCTCCCTTGTTTTTAATTCCACTTTCCTTCAGTTATAGCACTTAATGGATAATTTTAAACCAAGCCAAGACCGAGTTAACTTTCTTCCTTGTTTCAGGTGATCGAACCTAGTCCGGATCCAGAATGTACGCTGCTCACCTACCTTCGCGACAAGCTCCGGTTGTGTGGCACTAAGTTGGGGTGCGCAGAGGGCGGATGCGGCGCCTGTACCGTAATGGTGTCACGCCTGGAGCGTTCTGATAACAAGATCCGTCACCTGGCGGTCAACGCCTGCCTCACGCCCGTGTGTGCCATGCATGGATGCTCAGTGACGACGGTGGAAGGCATTGGAAGCACCAAGACTCGCCTGCATCCGGTCCAAGAGCGTCTGGCCAAGGCTCACGGTTCGCAGTGTGGTTTCTGCACTCCAGGTATAGTGATGTCCATGTACGCTCTCCTGCGCAATGCAGAGAAACCCTCAATGCGGGATCTGGAGGTGGCATTCCAGGGTAACTTGTGCCGCTGCACTGGCTACCGACCCATACTGGAGGGCTACAAGACCTTTACGAAGGAGTTTGCCTGTGGAATGGGCGACAAGTGCTGCAAGGTTAGTGGCCAGGGATGTGGATCCGATCCTGCCACGGATGACAAGCTCTTTGAGCGCAGCGAGTTCCAGCCCTTGGATCCCAGCCAGGAACCGATCTTTCCACCCGAACTTCAGCTGAGTGAGGCCTACGACTCTGAGAGCTTAGTCTTCAGGTCCCAGAGGGTGACCTGGTTTCGTCCGACCACTCTGGAAGAGCTCCTTCAGATTAAGGCCCAGCATCCTTCAGCCAAAGTGGTAGTGGGAAACACGGAGGTGGGCGTAGAGGTTAAGTTTAAGCACTTCCTCTATCCGTATCTGATCAACCCCACCCAGGTGAAGGAATTGCTTGAGGTGCGAGAGTCCCGAGACGGCATCTACTTTGGAGCCGCTGTCAGTCTGATGGAGATTGATGCTCTCCTCAGAGAGAAGATCCAGCAGCTGCCTGAGGCAAGCACGCGCCTCTTCCAGTGCACCGTCGACATGCTGCACTATTTCGCCGGCAAGCAGATCCGTAATGTCGCCTGTCTGGGGGGCAACATAATGACCGGCAGTCCCATTTCCGACATGAATCCTGTGCTCTCAGCGGCGGGCGCTCGACTTGAGGTTGCGAGCTTTGTGGATGGCGAGCTACGAAGGAGAGTAGTTCACATGGGAGAGGGCTTCTTCACCGGATATCGGCGGAATGTGATAGAACCCCAGGAAGTTCTCCTCGGCATCCATTTCAGAAAACTACTCCGATCAGCATATGGTGGCTTTCAAGCAGGCCAGGCGAAGGGACGACGACATAGCCATCGTTAATGCTGCTGTAAACGTACGTTTCAACGAGAAGTCCAATGTGGTGTCGGAGATTTCGATGGCCTTCGGTGGTATGGCTCCCACAACGGTACTAGCCCCCAAGACCTCTCAGCTGATGGCTGGACAAGAGTGGAACCACCAGTTGGTAGAGCGAGTGGCGGAGAGCCTGTGCACGGAGCTGCCCTTGGCTGCTTCTGCTCCTGGCGGGATGATTGCCTACCGTCGAGCATTGGTAGTAAGCTTGTTCTTCAAGTCCTTCCTGGCCATTAGTCGAAAGTTGATGGATGCTGGGGTCATTTCCTCCTCAGCCTTATCGGAGGAGGAGCAAAGTGGTGCCGATCTATTTCACACTCCTGTCCTCAAGAGTGCCCAGCTTTTCGAACGGGTCTGCAGCGACCAGCCCCTCTGTGATCCCATTGGCAGACCCAAGGTTCATGCTGCAGCTCTGAAACAGGCCACAGGAGAGGCCATCTACACGGACGACATACCCCGCATGGAGGGGGAGCTGTACCTGGGATTTGTTTTAAGCACCAAAGCGAAAGCTAAGATAACCAAGCTCGATCCTAGCGAAGCCCTTGCCTTGGAAGGAGTCCAGCAGTTCTTCTCCTATAAAGATCTAACAGAACACGAGAACGAAGTGGGACCCGTGTTCCACGATGAGCACGTCTTTGCCGCCGGCGAGGTCCACTGCTATGGACAGATTGTAGGCGCCATTGCGGCGGATAACAAGGCTCTAGCCCAGCGAGCTGCTCGAATGGTGAAAGTGGAGTACGAGGAACTGACGCCAGTGATCGTGACCATCGAGCAGGCTATCGAGCACGGATCGTATTATCCGGATTATCCACGTTTCGTCACCAAGGGCAATGTGGAGGAAGCTTTAGCAAGGGCAGAACTAACCTTTGAAGGCAGCTGTCGGATGGGCGGACAGGAGCACTTTTACCTAGAAACCCACGCGGCTGTGGCTATTCCCCGGGACAGTGACGAACTGGAACTCTTCTGTTCCACCCAGCATCCTTCGGAAGTGCAAAAGTTGGTGGCTCACGTAACGTCCCTTCCAGCCAACCGGGTTGTGTGCCGAGCCAAGCGCCTGGGGGGAGGATTCGGTGGCAAGGAGTCGCGGGGTATATCGGTGGCACTTCCGGTGGCTTTGGCCGCCTATCGGATGGGTCGTCCCGTCCGCTGCATGTTGGATCGGGATGAGGATATGCTGATAACAGGCACCAGGCACCCGTTCCTATTTAAATATAAGGTGGGCTTCACCAAGGAGGGTCTGATCACGGCCTGTGACATTGAGTGCTACAACAACGCTGGCTGGTCCATGGACTTGTCCTTTTCGGTGAGTGCTCTTACTAATTCCGGGAGTTCCTCTCTCTGATATCTCTAATTTTTCAGGTCATGGAGCGCGCCATGTACCACTTCGAGAACTGTTACCGAATTCCCAACGTCCGTGTGGGTGGATGGGTGTGCAAGACGAACCTTCCGTCTAATACGGCCTTCCGAGGCTTTGGCGGTCCGCAGGGAATGTACGCCGGGGAGCACATAATCCGGGATGTGGCTCGGATCGTTGGTCGCGATGTGCTAGATGTGATGCGACTTAATTTCTACAAGACTGGAGACTACACGCACTACAACCAGCAGTTGGAGCACTTCCCCATCGAACGTTGTCTGACGGATTGCCTCAAACAGTCGCGGTACACCGAGAGGTGCAAGGAGATAGCCAGCTTTAATGAGAAGAACCGGTGGCGCAAGCGAGGGATAGCGGTGGTACCCACCAAGTACGGCATTGCCTTTGGGGTTATGCACTTGAACCAAGGCGGGTCCCTGATCAACATCTATGGCGATGGATCCGTGTTGCTCTCGCACGGCGGCGTTGAGATTGGCCAAGGTCTAAACACGAAGATGATTCAGTGCGCTGCCAAGGCTCTGGGCATCCCCCTGGAACTTATTCACATAGCCGAGACCGCCACAGATAAAGTACCGAATACCTCGCCCACGGCGGCGAGTGTGGGATCGGATATCAATGGGATGGCGGTGCTGGATGCCTGCGAGAAGCTGAACAAGCGGCTAGCCCCCATCAAGGAGGCACTGCCTGGAGGCACCTGGAAGGAGTGGATCAATAAGGCTTACTTCGACCGGGTTAGTCTCTCGGCCACCGGGTTCTATGCTATGCCGGGGATCGGCTACCATCCCGAAACGAATCCCAGTGCCCGCACCTACAGCTACTACACAAACGGCGTGGGCGTTAGTGTGGTGGAGATCGATTGTCTGACCGGGGACCATCAGGTGCTCAGCACGGACATTGTTATGGACATCGGATCGAGTTTGAATCCGGCCATAGATATTGGGCAGATCGAGGGAGCTTTCATGCAGGGCTATGGACTCTTTACGCTGGAGGAGCTGATGTACTCGCCGCAGGGCATGCTTTACTCGAGAGGCCCGGGCATGTACAAGCTGCCAGGGTTTGCAGATATACCCGGCGAGTTCAATGTTAGCCTGCTGACCGGATCACCCAATCCCAGAGCTGTTTACTCCTCAAAGGTAAGACAACTCTGAAGCTCAAAAGTCACAAGCATTCAATTGAATTATTTTTCTTTAAACAACAGGCCGTGGGGGAACCACCACTCTTCATTGGATCCTCTGTCTTCTTTGCCATCAAGGAGGCCATTGCAGCAGCTCGCAAGGACCAGGGTTTGACTGGAGACTTTTACTTAGAGGCACCCTCTACCTCGGCCCGCATTCGCATGGCTTGTCAGGATAAATTCACCAATTTGGTATGTCCTTAAGCATAAATGCAGGAATATACAAAAGAATAAATTACTAACCATTTACTTTGTATATACAGCTTGATGCTCCCGAGGCAGGAACTTTTACTCCATGGAACATTGTGCCCTAGAACAACGGTTCATTTGTTTTTGACTATTGTTAAATATTGGTAAATATTATCGGAAAATATTAATTAACAGTGAATAGTTAAAACTTCAGCTGTTAATAAACTTGACAAACGATTTTATCCTTTTTAAGAGATTAAATATGCCGCAGTGTGAAAGCATTCCTAGCTAATAAAGTTTACATAAAAAATAAAACTGTCATTTAAATTTTAAAAATTATATACATATATGAACCACAAATTCAACAGATCAACCTCGTGAAGAGTAACGTGTGTACCAAGCTGTAGCTTAAAACACAAGTTTTCGGCGAGCATCTCATCTCTCATTCGCAATCGTACGTCGACGAGGCAAGACGTGAAAGATGAGCTCTCTCCACGGCTGGCTTCTTAAGTATTCAATAGTCTTGACATCGATTATTCATTCTGGGAAATCGCAAAACTATTTATATAATGGATATATTTCACCCTCCTCTTGGACTGGTGTAGCATCATATCCTGCTCAGGTTTCGATTGATGGCTATGGTAATTGCCAGGCCCACGATCGACCCTTATCTGGACGATGCGTAAGGTACAGGGATTGCATAAGTGCCATAAGGTCAGCCCCTCAAGTAACGCCATTACTCTGCCCATCGCCATGGCCTGAGCAATTGGTATGTTGTCCACACGGGGGCTATGTGGTGCAGACGCCCAGACTTCGTAAGAGCGAGGAAGGTGCGTATGGATAGGTTTTTGTGGTCTGGATATAAAGAAATCACGTTCCCATATTTTGGCAGCCTGCTTGAACGCTTACCCAAGGGGGCATCATAAGCGACGTCGTCGTCGTCGCCGTCACAGTAATAATTCTAATCAAGACCAATTAGAGGTGGTTGAGCCAACTATCCAGCGACGCAATCAGAGCGACAATTTCTTGGTCGGTGGTAGACTCACCCTAGCAAATGAGTATCCATATATGGTGAGTATTTCCTACTTGAAAATATCACAGATTGAAAATCTACATCATCTGCAGTGTGCCTTGGGCTGGCCATCCCGCACCGACAGATGGATTCAAGGGCCGAAATTCGCTAGACGCAGGTACACCTTTAATTGTGGCTGCGTCATGATTTCGGCACGGTTCGCTTTAACGGCCGCCCACTGTGCCAACGTCGGCGGGTAAGAAATAACAACAGTTGTTCACAGTCGCTCGAATACCCGAAATGCTAATGACTTTCCTAAAATTAACAGGGAATCCCCTTCTGTGGCATTGATCGGAGGCGGTGACTTGAACAGCTCCCGCGATCAGTTAATCGAAATCAGACATATAACCAAGCACCCGGACTTTGACGACGAGAGTTTAACCAACGACCTGGCTGTGGTCAAACTGGGCAGGAGATATAACAAGAACATAGCCTGTCTATGGAATCACGACTCCTTGCCAGAGAGTCCGTTGGCTGCCCTGGGGTATGGGCAAACCAAGTTCGGTGAGTCTATATTGCTATGAACAAATACATAAATTCAACAGAGAAAAGAATAGTTAAACAATAAATTATAAGAACACAAAAACAAATGACCAGTTCTTATATGTATGAACCATTTCCACAGTGGTTCTTTAATATCATGATTTATTCAACAGCTGGTCCTCACTCCAATGAACTGCTGCAAGTGATGTTGTATCCCTTGGACATTCATCAATGTCAGAGATTTATGGAATCCAATGACAAGCTGAAAAACGGACTAGGACCCGGCATCTCTGTGCTGGAGATTACTCGGGCAACATGGACACTTGTCAGGTGAGTGTATATAAAATTTTTATTATGGAAAATATGCTACTGAGAAACGCATGAATAATAAACTCTATTCATTCTTTAGTCTTTAAAATTCTTCGTATTTGTTTGTATTTTTATACTTAAAAACTCATCCATTTTAGGGTGATTCTGGGGGACCCTTGCTATACCATCAACATTTGCGTCACTATCACCACACACGAATACCTTATGTGGTGGGAATCACTTCCTTTGGAGGAGCCTGCGCCACTGGACAACCCGGGGTTTATGTGCGGATCAAGCACTACCTTCAGTGGATAGAGGAACAGGTGTGGTCATAACCCAGTATTCAGAAACATTTATATTAATAAAGTTCTTATTATTAAGCTTATGCGATTAAGTTGAACATTTCTCCGAACATTAATCATTAAATTAATAAAATGTATTAAAAGTATATAAGCTTGGAGGAAGAGTTATTGAATCTATTTAATTAGTGTTTTAAAATATTGTATTTAATATATATTTTGTTATTAAGGTGTTAATGCTGCTTAAAGGCAATCTTCTCTATCCAATCCAAATAACTGTATATCTTGGTATAAACACCCGGAGCATTTGGGGCGGCACAAAATTTCCCGAACGAGGTGATGCCCACCACGAAGGCCACGCAGTTGTACTCCGGCAGAATGGCATGGATGGGACCACCAGAGTCCCCCTGGCAGGTGTCTCTGCCACCGAGTAGGTATCCTGCGCAGAACTGGCCATCGATAATCCCGCGCGGCAGGCGTCGCTCCTTTTGGTAGATCTGCTTGCAGCGCATCTGGGGGATCACGTCGAGGTTCACCTGTCTCAGGGTATTCGACTTGGTGCCCAGGAACTCCGTCCGTCCCCAGCCGGCGGCCAGCACACTTGGAATCTGTAGCTCCGGCACTTGCCACAGGCAGGCGGGACGCACCTGGTCCGAAAGTTTGGCCCTTCTGGTGAGCTTTAGCAGCGCTATGTCGTGGTAGTAGGCGGAGGAGCGGTACTTGGGGTGCAGGATGATGATGAGGATCTTAATGTCCTGCTGGGCAGCGCTAGTCTCGTTCAACTGCCGCGCCCCCAGGCGAACCATATCCGGCGGCTTGCTGCTGGATCACAGGGATGTCTGTAGTTGTGACCCCTTCGATATACGCACTTACCTACCCGAGGTGGCGCAATGGGCGGCCGTGAGCACATACAGTTCGCTGATCAGGGTTCCGCCACAGCCCCACTTGATGTCGATGTCCTTGGCCTGGCCGATGCCCTGGGTCCATCCCAGGGCGGCCATGTGTGGGAAAAGTCCGTGTCGTGTTGGAACACCTCCGACGATCAGCGGCACACTGGGAACACACTGCTTGCCGGAGAATGTACGACCGGTGTCTGCCAGTTGAAGGCGTCTGGTGGCAGCATTGTACTCCTGGCATTCTAGGACAAACAGTAAACAATTCCCATTACTATTTCCACCCGTTGTGGGGACACTTACTGGTGGCACTGATTCGCTGAGCCAGAACATGCTTGTCAGCCAAAGGGCAGCACACAACGGGCACGTTGTTCCGATGCGTGCAGATGTCGATGCGAGTGCCATGCACACGATACTCCCGGATCACGTGGAGGCACTGATAGGCTAGGATGCAGTAGCCACTCCGTCCATCGAAGCTCCGTCGACAGAAGGCACCCTCACGGTATTCTGCGGAGGCTGGCGTCCTCTCCTCGGTCGACTCATCATCAAACTTTAAATAGCTTCCTGCTAACTCCATGTCTTGACCTTCCACGTCCTCCGCCACGCTAGGCTCCTGCTCCGGCTCTCTCCACATCTCGGGTATTGAGTACTTGGTGGTCTGGTAGTTGGTTATTTCGAAGGCATTAAGAGCTGCATTAATGGAAGTGTTTGTAAAGTGATCTCGGGAAGCAGGCATTAATATCCACTTACCCTCAAGGCGATGAGCCCCTAGGAGCAAGAGCAGGCAGGTCAAATGAAAACTCACGTAAATTACTCTCGTCATAATCCGAACCTTTGGGGGCTGACAATAGATTTTCCTGTGCACATTTTAATGAGAATAATTGCAAGAATGCAATGTGAAATATTTACAAGCTTTTTGTTTGGAGAACACCTTAAGCAGAAGTAAAACCACTGAACTTTAGTATGCTGCTATGGATAACATGCACTGAAGAACTTTGTTCAAGTCGTAGGCTCAAAGCTTAAAATAGAAAAACTTTGAGAGAGCATTTATTTGCTTTGCTTTTAAAAACAAACGGTTTTGCAGATTAAGGTGTTTAATACAGGGGTAGCTTTTTAGCTTTAGAATCTTGTTTTATTTTCAAAGAGATGTTGGACAAAATTGTAAAGAAATCCGATGCCAATATTTACTTAAAGTAATATTTATAATTCAGCTGTAAACTAATTGTATACCCCCCATCGATTGAAGCCAGTTCTTGAAAGTTTCACTTATTTATATAGTCCGAAAACACAGACACACAGATATCCGAATAATTAGACGGATATACGTATCTAGCTAGATCGATTCGGCCTTTGACACTGATCTATATGCGGTCAGAACAAACCCTTGGTCAAAAATATAATACTCAGGCAAAGTATAAGAAAAGTATACAAATTCTCTTTTCGTGAAAGACTTTAACATATTAAGTCTAAGCTTTTGCTCTTTAAGTCTCTTTTCCTCTCTGTCTCTTTATTACCATCGAAGGAATGTCTCTTAAATATATTAATATTTAAATTAATAAATTATATTTGAATAATAACAATTGCAACAAGTTAAAAAAATATCATCTAAAAACCAACTTAACAAATTAAAAATGAAATTGGTCAAAGCGGCATTTTAGCTTGAATAACCTAAAGATATGATCATCTTCTGTGAAACAACAGTACAAAATTGAAGTAAAACGTGAAGACTGGTCCCGCCAGCTTTTTTGCTTCAAAAAACTAATAATTTTTCAAATTAGGTACTTATAATTTTGTGGGTATTTTATTTCCTGGCACAAATATGGAGAAAGAAATGCTTATAAATAAATTAATATCATATTTTTATGAATTTATTAATGACTACTGATTATCAAACTCGCTGAAGTAATTTGGCCACACTATAGACGCAATCCAGTCGATGTAGGACGACACGCGTGTATAAACTCCTACAAGACTCCAGAAACATAATTTAAAATTCTTGATATGTAATAAGAGGACAAACCTGGGAATTCACTGCGACAATAGGCGCCATAAGATGTGATGCCCACCAGGTAATAGCGATAGCGCCTTCGGCTGCGGTGGCGGCGATGTCGACGCTCCAAATTCAGCTGAAGAGGTCCTCCAGAATCGCCCTAATTCAGATGCTCCGTTTAATATTAAGATTTCTTATTAAAATGAATTTAATTGAATTTCTCACCTGACAGGTATCACGATTTTTCTCGTAGTCATGAGCACAAATCTGGCTTGAAAGAATTCCCTGAGGAGAACTCTCGTCGGCGGGAAGACTGCTATTGCACTGATCTGTTGGCACCACCGACAGATCCAATTCCGTGAGGACATTGGTTTGGGGCTGGGCAAATCCTGTCGAGCCGTAGCCCATGGTGTGGAGCTTGCCATATGGAATTTCGTCCCTTGGCCAGAGTCGGACTGGCTTCACAAACCAGGTGTATTCCACGGGTCGGTTTAATTGGATCAGTCCAATGTCATGGTAATTCAGAGTAGAATTGTACAATGGATACAAATAAATCTGCGCCACACGACGCCTTTGTGGGGCAACATCGTTCTCCCACTCCTTCAGTTTGATATCCCCGATCTTCACCACATCGGGAGCGGTGCTGGGTCATGTAAGGGAGGTAGTTTATCATGAATCTTAATAATCTACATAGTTATAAGGTAGTTTATCATGAATCTTAATACACATCAAGTTCTTTGGTATGATACTTAAGATACTAAGGGGGCTTACTTTATTTAAGGTTTTTGTTTTGTTTGCGTTGAAATATAGGAGTCCCATCTGGATCTTAGGAATACTTATAAAATTACTCAAGTTGGTTTTTACCACCTTCCTAAAGAGGTTTGAATTATAAACAAGTATGAAAGTGTAACTTATTATAAGATACCCGGTACCGAAAGCAATGTTGTTAAAACTAAAATGAACATGACTTAAATGAATAATAATGCTAAGAAACATGTTGCAACATCTAAATAAATCAAATGCTTCTAGGGACATGTTGAGCAACACTAATTAGTGTTGCTAACAAAGGTACATGTTGCTGAACTTCACCCCGAATGTATTATTTAAGCGGAGTTACAGTATCTCATGATTTTTGAGGTGGAATACATATAAGAAAATATAAACTTTGTGGGCTTGGCGATGCTTTCGGTACATTCTCGGTTATCACAAAGCTTTAATACCCTTGTACCTTTGTACTATATGATGAAATATTATGTTTAGTCCCCTGAAAACTGAGTGAAAGTGGAAGCTTACCCGTGAGTTGTGAGACAGTGAGCGGCCGTGAGCACAAAATACTCACTGATTAGGCTTCCGCCGCACTTGTAGTCGATCTCGCGGTTCTCATTACGGAATCCCAGAGCGGCCTAAGAGATAAAGTGGTAAGAGAATCCATGAGCATGAGAGAGGCTTGAGTTCGGCTCCAAAACTGTTATCAGATGGCAGGGCTTTGATTTGCCAGTCGACTTTAAGCGTGTTTTGGCGTTTCCCCGATTCCGGTTTTGTGTGATTTTTTGTGTTTATTTATTTATTTTTTCAGTTTATTTAATTTGTTTGGAGTGCATCTCCGTCTACTGACCATGTGTGGGTACTGTCCGGGCGCCACAATCGAACGACCATTGAAATCGTCGTGCAAATCCTCTGCCTCAGCCGTTTTATTGTAGTTGTCCGTGTCCACCTTTTGCTCTGTGCTCAGGAATATGTTTTGAAAGTTCTTATGGTAACCGGGAGGCGGACGATGTGGGTTCCATTGGCGGTGACCTTGGTGTCGTCTCCGAGGCGGGGGTGGACCTCCTGGACAACCGGGCGGCGGACCAGGCGGAGGTGGACCTGGAGGCGGGGGTCCATCTGGGGGCTGACCGCAGGGTGGCGGCGGGGGTCTATAATATCCGTAGTTGTTAAAATAACCCGGCGGCCATTGACTTTCGTAACCGTTGTCATAGTTGTTGTAGTTGCTGTAGTCCCACCTGCTTGGCTCCGGCTCGGGATTGGGGAATACCCACTGTCCGCCGTTCCCGTTCCCGTTGCCATTCGGTCGCTGTCCCTTCGCTTGAACCTCGCACGAGAGCAAAGAAACCGCGACCAAAACAAACAAACAAACACTTTTCAAATCTGCCATCTGTGGGTAGAGGAGGTCTTTCTCGTTTGACCGATTTCATTCGACTGGGATGTTTTCTTCGAAATGAGGGGCATAGCAGGCAAACAGTTTTATTGAAATTCATACGAATTTATAATTGAGCACCCGCATTAATTATTAAAAATCATTAAACAAAAAAATAGCCAGTGAGAGTCGAGGGTGTCTTTGGAAACAGTGGCGAGCCGAAAATTGTTGTCTCATTTAAGGTCATTTAAATAAATTACCAAATTTCACGCAAACAATTTAGAAATGTCAATACAAAAGGAAACTTTGAGGCACAGTTGCCCGCGAGTATTGTTTACTTACATATAAGACTATTAAAATGTAATAAACAAAATGAATAATACATTCTTGTATTAGCTTTTCATGTCTTAATTCGCAATTAAATGAAAAGTGACAGAACCGATCGTCTTGTTGTGTAGAAATCGAAGGCTTCATTGAAATATCCATATGACATAAGGAACATCCTGCTTTAAAGGCAGAGTGATGCCTTTTTCCAAGTAACTTTGGTTCAAATTAAAATATAAGCTATCCATAAATTTGAAAATAATAGACGGTTGGCCTGACAATACTGTTGGTTGCTAGGCGCCGTTTAAAAGAGAAATATATTATTTAATCAATATTGTAAATTGTCTTTAATTTATAATATTTAGTATGGTTGGCAAAAGCAAAAAGAAGCGAAATAGCAAGGACTCTACATCCAGCAATGCTGGAAGTGGCGAGGGTGAGGAGAAGAAGAAGAAAGAGGGTGGCGGTGGCAAGAAGAAAGGTGGCATGGGAAAATCCATAGGTTGCGACATCTTCAATGACGCGGCCATGGAAAATGCGTACTATGTGTGCCACAATGTCCAGGTGAGATGGAAATTTATTTTATTGTTTTTTTTTTATAAAAAAATTGTTTTTAAGGATGTTCTTAAATCAAGAGGATTCGCCTGGCCAGATGGACAGAAAAAGAAAAAGAAAGGAAAACGTTAACATATTTAAATAACATTCGAATAATCGTGGCGATTTATACAAGTATATTCAAAGTATTTTTGTGTAAATTAATATGTTGATTGATAAGAATTTTTTGAATGTACAAGCAATATTCAATCTCGAATTAGAATTCTAAGAAAAGAATTTAAGAAATAAAAAATCTAAAACAAACAAATAAATCTAACCCTAACACTATGACATATTATGTCTTATTCGTAATAAAACAAGCCATATTCGATCGCAATAAACTTTTGATTCCAGAATAACAAATAGTGCTTGGAGTTAAAAGTAGGTGGCAGACAAAGAGTCAAATTTCAAATTTATCTTGTGTAAAGAAAAATCCACTGACAGGGAGAAAAGATCATCAAATTGGCAGCATTCAATTTAGTGGCATGCAAAATTATAAAATAATTTAGAGCCAAAATGGTCAAAATACCTGCTATTGGCATCGATTTGGGGACAACCTATTCCTGTGTGGGCGTGTGGCAGAACAACAAGGTGGAGGTCATTGCCAATGACCAGGGAAATCGGACCACGCCCTCCTATGTGGCGTTCAACGATACGGAGCGCCTTATTGGCGATGCGGCCAAGAATCAAGTGAGGCAGTTTGAACTTGTCTTGCTTTAAAAAAGCAAAATCCTTAAAAACTCCTCCACAGGTCGCCATGAATGCCAAGAATACGGTGTTTGATGCCAAGCGCCTGATTGGTCGCAAATTCGACGACCCAAAGATCCAAGAGGACTTGAAGCACTGGCCCTTCAAGGTGATCAACGACAAGGGCAAGCCCAAAATCGAGGTGGAATACAAGGGGGAACGCAAACGCTTTGCTCCGGAGGAGATTAGTTCGATGGTTCTGACCAAGATGCGCGAGATCGCCGAAATGTATTTGGGCGGAAAGGTAAAGGACGCCGTGATCACGGTGCCGGCTTACTTTAACGATAGCCAACGGCAGGCTACCAAGGATGCGGGCTCCATTGCGGGTCTTAATGTGCTAAGGATCATCAACGAACCCACGGCTGCTGCCTTGGCCTACGGACTCGATAAGAACCTCAAGGGAGAGCGCAACGTACTCATATTCGACTTGGGTGGTGGCACATTCGATGTGTCCGTTCTGACCATCGATGAAGGCTCCCTGTTTGAGGTGAAGGCCACGGCTGGAGATACCCACTTGGGGGGCGAGGACTTCGACAACCGGATGGTCAACCACTTTGCGGCGGAGTTTAAGCGCAAGCATAACGCAGATATCAAGGGCAATGCCAGGGCATTGAGGCGTCTGCGGACAGCCTGTGAAAGGGCTAAGAGGACCTTGTCATCCAGCACAGAGGCATCCCTGGAGATTGATGCTCTACACGATGGCACCGATTTTTATTCAAAGATCTCGCGTGCCCGCTTCGAGGAGCTTAACATGGATCTCTTCAGGTCCACTATGCAGCCGGTGGAGCGAGCCTTGAGCGATGCCAAAATGAACAAGAAGGCCATCCACGATGTAGTGCTAGTGGGAGGCTCCACGCGAATCCCGAAGATACAGAAACTCTTGCAGGATTTCTTTAATGGCAAAACCCTAAATCTTTCCATTAACCCCGATGAAGCGGTGGCCTACGGAGCGGCGGTGCAGTCTGCTATTCTCTCGGGCGTGGGTAGCTCTAAGATCCAGGATCTGCTTTTGGTGGACGTGACTCCCTTATCGCTGGGGATCGAAACTGCCGGCGGTGTGATGACCAATTTGGTGGCCCGCAACGCTAGGATTCCCTGCAAGCATCAGCAGATCTTTACCACATATAGTGATAATCAAGACACGGTGACCATTCAGGTTTACGAGGGCGAGCGAGCGATGACGAATGATAACAATCTCCTGGGCACCTTTAATCTCTCGGGGATTCCCCCGTCCCCCAGGGGAGTGCCGCAGATCGAAGTCGCTTTTGACCTGAACACTGATGGCATCCTGCATGTAACTGCCAAGGATAATAGCACCGGGAAGTCCGAGAAGATCACAATCACTAATGACAAGGGAAGGCTATCCAAGGCGGAGATAGACCGCATGCTATCCGATGCTGAGAAGTACAAGGTGGAGGACGATCGTCACCGGGAAAGAGTTCAGGCCAGGAACAACCTCGAAGGATATATTTACGCCTGTCGCCAGACCGTCGACGAGGCACCAGCCGGAGTCCTTACCGAGGCCGAGCGCTCGAAGGTGCGCGAAAAATGTGCCTCCGAATCATCGTGGCTGGATAAGAACTCTCAGGCAAAGAAGGAGGTGTATGATCAGCATCTGAAGGAGTGCCAGCACGTGTGTAGTCCCATAATGACGAAAATCCATGGCGGCGCAGGACAGAAGCCCAAGAAATCAGGTAGTGGCGTAAGATCACGTCCCACTGCGAATAAGGTGAAGTAGTATCTAGTCACTATTCTAAATTGTTTAGTTTAGTTGTATGTTAAGTATATATTTTCGGTAAGAAAATACAAGTATGATTTTAAAACTTGTTTGTGGCGTAATTTCGAAATTAATTGAGCTTTTAAGAGTAGATCCACCTACTCCTGATCGGCCAGCCATATATCAGATGTGCAATCGCCACCAGGGTAACGCATTTCATGAGGCAGACCGGGACCATAGGGCTCATCCCTAAAGTCCACCAAAAAATCCTCATTCAGGGACATACCTCCATTCACCGTATCCACATCGATCTGGACAATGTGACCGCCCTTTGAGACCATTTCGGGGTAAAACTAAATAAACATTGGTTTAATAACCATTGACAATTGAGAGATTTCCAAAGAACTCACCTGCTTATCCCATGGAGAATATAGGGATGACGAGACATACAAACGCTTGCCGTCCAAAGAGAGCTGCATCATTTGAGGTCCACCCTCTAATCGGCGACCCTTCACATATCGAGCCGGAGGCCTCTCCTTTAGTTCCTTATCCTCCTTTACAATCACATTGGGCAAGTCACTACATATGGCACCTCCAAGGAAGAGCTGCCCCATAAGTTTTGGATTCTCGCGGTCGGTGATATCGTATTGCCTGACATCTCCGTGCCGCCAGCAATTGACGTACAGGAACCTGTCATCCAATGATATGATAATATCCGAGATCATACCGCCCATGTCCTCTGCCTTTCCATTGCCAGTATCCACCAGCTTGCCTGGAATGTCAATCACTTTTTTTGCCTCGAACTCGTCGGAATCCGGCTTCTTTTTGAAGTGGAACACCTTGGCATTTAAAGCACAGCCAACGAATCCCTCCGCCCGTTTTGGATCGTGCAGGAAGCGAATCTCCAGCGGTGTAATGCCATCCGCTCCCAAATCGATGGTCTGGTATAGGGTCTGAGTGGACCATTTGTAGAAGTTAAGCCGACAGCCATACTGGGTCATATCCTCCAGATCGCTGTGCCTCCAGCCACTAAAGAAGGTATATAACTTAATGCTGAGCTTGAATTCATAGCATTTTTTACTCACCGTCGCCATTTATTTGGGGCTCCCCACTCTGAAGACACCATAACATCGAAATACGGCTGATACCAGAAATCATAGCCGCACAATGCCTTCTTGTCGCCCTTGGTCCAGGTGCCAATGCAATTGAAGTCGGAATCAAAGAGGATAAAGTCCCCCTTGGCGTATCCTCCAGCATCGCCCATGACGGATATCATGATATTTCCATTGGCCAAGCAGTGAGTGGTATGTGGACCAGTCACATTGTGGCTCTTCAAAACGTCGCCATCAATGGTCTTAATGATCTCTGGCTTCCGGGGATCTGTGACCACATCGAGTATATAGATGAAGTCCGAGTTTAGAGCAGGCAGCACCAGTCTATCCCTTTTCGGCACTGTCTCAGCCTTCTCGTCAACATGGTAACAACTGGAGCAGGCATTCCAGCCAGAATGATGCAGCTCATCTCCCTTTCGATTGGTAAAGGTACGGTGAACTACCTACACGGAAAAAAACAAATAAAATTTAACATAATAATGTTATACTTTTTTCTGTGGTACATATTTCTATTTCTTTTTAAGAACTATTACACTAACTGTTTTGTCAGAGTTCTACGTAACTTAAACTAAAGCTGACAGCTAATTAATCTTGAAAACAAGTCGGAAACTTTACTATATGTACGAGTTTTTAATTTTTTGTCAAGTTGACTGTTAATTTCGTTACTTTGTCCATAAAAACAATCTTCAGCTACGTGGGGTTCATAGGGGTTTCATGTAGAAAATCTCTCTACAGCTTTTGTTATCTCTAAGCCAAGAGCGTAGTTAAGAATTTATACAAAAGGGGGCATATTTTTGTTTTAGATAATAAACTCCTGTTTTTGCTTATATTTAATAATAACTACAACAAATTCTAAGTTTATATTAAAATAATATAAACAATTTAGTTAGGTATCTATGTGCAGTTTTTGTTAGAGATAGCGCACTTACCTGACAGTAGGTGGGGCTCTCTGGATCCACGTCCACTGTGGATAGATAATCGCCATGGGGCTCTTCCAAGTTGGGTTGAACGGTCACCGTGTAGAGAAGCTTCTCCCGGGGACCATTCTTCATAGCATCCAGAGGGGTTGCGTAACCCGGACCACGGCAGCAGGCTAAGAAATATTTAATTATCAATTAAGCTTGAGAATATCAACTAACCCTAGAGGTGTGTCTACGAATTCACTTACATTTCATCGACATAACTTGGCGGTTGTTGTGGAACGAAGAACAGCAGCGAAATGAGCATCAGCCGATGTTCAGAATGAGCTTTATACTGCCGCTCTCTTGCGGCCTTTAAATAATAATAAAGCCAAAGAGAGCCGGTCACCCGGCACTCTTATCAGGAATACTAAGTAGTTTGGACGGCTACGCGAGTATAAAGTATATACAAACTATATGCCCAATCGTACATATATGTATGTATGAATGTGTGTATATATATTTAGAATAAATTGAACTCTTTTTGTTTTGAACTGCTGCCGATTTAAGTTGACGATAGTTGATACGGCCTGGCACAAAGATCATGCTCTCACTTCGAGCCCAAGTCGATCATAACAACACTAGCCAACAAAATCTTTTTTTTAAGTTCCAGAACTTTGTATTGGTCTTTTGGAACTATTCGGATTTAATATTTTTAAGTGAAATAAAACCCCCATATCAATAAATTTTCCAATCAAGTTTAACACGTTAAAATCTTTTTTACTCTAATGGATACTTTACAGGTTAGTATGTAGGTTTTTAAAAAAGGTAAAAATTACTTATATTTAGAGTGTCATATATAGGTTTTAAAATTAAACCAACATTTCCCCTTTACATTAAATATAAATACTCTCTTATTTACGTGCTGCCTGAAAGGGCACCTAAAGGTTCAGTCAGCACTTAAAGCTCGTCATATATACAAATTTTGACTTTAAGAAGAGGCTTTCTGTATTATGTTTTTATCGGTTACTGACATTGAAATTTGATTTATTTTGGTTTAATGAGCCTGATTAACTTATCACTAGCCAAACGATATTGATAAAGTTTGTGCGTTACCTAGGCGCTATCATATCCAGTTGACCTAGGACAAGAAGCGACTATTCTCCATTCTTTTTTCTTGTCCTATTTGTTATTTTTAATGTTCTTTATTTAGTAATAGATTACAAGAGTTTTAGGGCTACTTCTTGAGAGAAAGGCGCACGGGCACTCCCGCCTTAGGCAACAGGGTCAATCCATGCAATGCGAACTCAATCTCCTGCTTCTCCTTTCTTACTTCCAGGTCGAAATTTGACAGAATCTTGGCTAATGCTAACTTTACATTCAACTTTCCCATCCGGGCTCCTGGAATATAGACAAAATAGGAACGACGTGATAAAAAATTGTAATTATGTCATGAAAATATGTAAATATTTTCTTACCTATGCAGTGGCGGGGTCCGTCGCCAAATCCCATATAGGCAGCCTGATTGTAGTTTCCCTCCAAAAAGCGTTCCGGCTGATAGCTGAGTGGATCGGGGAAATGTTCGGCATCCCTATGCAATCCCATAAGGGAGATCACTATTGGTGTGCCCTTCTTGATCACCAGGTTGCTATCCGGAACTGAAAAGTCTTGGGTGCAAACTCGGTTAAGGATAGGCAGAGCGGGATATTTGCGGGTGGTTTCTGCAAGACAAATTCAATTGTAACATAGCCTAAATGAGTTTCCTTCAAAAACTTACCCATCACACAGGCATCCAAGTACTTCATAGCCGAAAGGGCATCATAGGTCAGACCGCCGTGCTGCTCGATGGCCTGGAGCACATCCTCCTGCGCCTTAGCCAGCGCCTCTGGGTTTTGAGTGAGCTCGTAGAGAGTAAAGGAAATGCCGGAGGCAGTGGTTTCGTGACCAGCACCGTAGAAAACGAAAAGCTGACCAGCAATCAGGTCCTTGGACATCGATTTCACTCCATGTTTGGCGCTCTCCGCCGACCAAACGGAATCATCTGTGCTGGTGTTTCCCTGATTGCGCAACTGAAGCAGAAGTTGCAGCATATCTTTACGAACAATGTTGTTATTTTCCCTGAGATCTACGATCCTGTTGGTCAGTTTTCGCATCATTTCAATGCCCTCCTGTTTCCATCCGATTCGCACGAAGAACTTCTCCATTCTGTAGAGGATTTGTGATCAAATATGGCTTATAAATGGGAATACCTAATATAAACTTACGCTGGATAAAGTACTAGGGCTATGCTGCGAATAATATCTTTTGATGTGTTTCGATTTATCCTTCTGCTGATTTCAATGAATTCGTTTTGGGGATCTGCAAAACTGTCTACATCCAGGCCAAAAATAGTCGAAGCAATAATATCTATGGCATAACTGGGGTGGAAAGAATAAAATCAATACATTTCCAGCGTGCACTGAGAGAAACAAGGCATTCCGCAAACTTACGTTCCCATGACGCTTTTCATATCCACCTCCTTGGTGCCGGACTGCTCTAGCTCCTTCCTCAAGTGGGCTAATAACTTGTCTCCGACAGAATTAGAGGTCTCAAACATGGCCTTCAGCTTGCCAGAGGTGAACGAGGGCGTCATCTTAGCACGCAGGTTCTTCCAGCCGGCACCCTCCATTTGGAATATTCCCGCCGACATGGGGTCATTCTCTTCGTCCACGTAGACTCCGCGATCGTGGAAGCTGGCAAAGTTCTTGACCAGCATGTCGTGGGCCAGGTGTGCATCACGGATCAGGAGGGCGGGCCTCAAGGTGAGATACATGCCGACCACCGGCCCCTTCGTCGAGTTGTACAGATCTTGGATGGCCCTGCCATAGCATTGCTTTTTCTGCCATACGGAGTCTAGAACACCGAAGGGGATGTTAACACCCGCAGAGGGAAACCCCTTACGGTCCCAATAGCTGAAGGTCCACTTAAGATACACATACAGCAGGGTGAAGGCTGTGAACAGGAGCACTACTCCGATCATGGTTCTTATCGTCAGCTTTTTTACCAAGTCAAATCAAAACTAACTAACTAACGGACTCGGACTGCGCTTTTATATTTGCCTAGAAGTTTGCGACGAAAGCGCCGTTTGGCAAACAATTTCGCCATTTCGTTGAATGATTAGGTTATCACTTGACTCCCATATAAACAAAGCCTCACGGGGCTGCGATTCCTAAAGAGGTTGGCTCGGGCTTCCCCAAGGCTCTGCGGTGTGAATGGTTGCCTCCTCAGTATGACATGGCGATTTAGTTGGCAGTTCTCTCTCTTGTGGCGTAAAAAAATGCCGATGAAGCATTATTCGCGAAGAGATAATGTTCCTCTCCGCTCCCTAGACAACACTGAGCCAAGTGTTGTAGCGAATCGCTCTGCTTGATAATGTCCCAGAGCAATAGGCATTAGATCCACACACTCTCTATATTCATTTGGCTGATGTAAAGTCTCTAAGTGACACAACCTTATATGAATCTCAAATAGTCGAAAACTTAAAGTATTTGTCTCTAATATATTTAACTAGCGGCCCGTCTCGGCTTCGCACGGGCATTAAACATTACATTTAGATTTGTCAATTTTAACACATTCATAATAATAATAATATTATGACACATATTCATCCTTTATTTATTTATTTTTTTTTTTTTCAATTATTGAGGTCATAACCCTAAAAGAAAATACATTTATTTTGTTAGTGCTTCTCTGTAAACAATATTTGATGTTCTTTTATTTTGTGGCAGCAAAATAAATTGATTTTCAGGGGCTCCGACTCGCGATAGACCAACATACAGTTGACCATGTGTTAAACATTTATTTCGCAGATCGATCCCTACTAATTCGAAGGTTTGGCCTTCGGACTTGTTAATTGTTAATGCGAAAGATGTTTTTACCGGAAATTGAAGCCGTTTAAATGGGATTGGCAGATCAGTTGGGATCATCGGTATCCTCGGTATATGAGCTAGTTGACCACTTGCTGGGCCAGTGATAATATTTGCTACTATTAAATTGTCCTTTAACTCCTTAATAAGCAGCCTCGTCCCATTACACATGCTCGGAGGGTTTAAATTTCTTAAAAGCATGATTGGGATTCCGATTTTTAACGTCAATTCATGGGGTGGCAGTCCAGAAGGGTTCAACAAATTTAAAAATTCCTGTGGATAATGGACTGCATCTTCAATATTCGTTACAGTGTCGATCGATTTGTATGTTTTTGTTTGGTCGGGGACTTTTTGAACAATCAGATTATTTATTTCATTGACAGTATCATTCTTAGGTGAGAACACAGCCAATGTAAGTCTCTTTCGTGCAAATTCTCGATATCAGGGTATACAGAATCTATTAAATTTTCCAAATTATGGAGTATTTGGCTTAGAGACTCATCCAGAAGAATGTCACAATGACCGCTTAAATTTGGAGTTGGAAAAATTCCTTCCCCAAGTTTTAGCAGTTGCTGTGGTAAATCGCTATCTGTGATTCCATGAAGATGAGCTCTCATATTTGTCCTTAATTTTAATGTTTCAATCGTAGTCCATATGGGAGACGATTTCAAGCATGCCTTGATGATATCTGCTCGCGTGCCTCTGTTAATAACGGGAGAGTCCCAGCCCATGACTGCAGAGGAGTTCCTTAGATCCTGTAAGGTTCTGTTCACGGCCTCTATATGTGCTCTAAGGCTCATCGTGCATTCGTCCCACATAATCAATGAGGCGTCTTTTAGTAATTTACCAATAGGTCCATTTTTGCGTATTGAACATGTAGATTGTTGTTCAAGATTGACGGATAGTGGAAGTTTAAAAGTAGAATGAGCAGTTTTGCCATCCTTCAAAAGAGTGGAGGCATTCATCACAGCATCCCGCAAATGGATATATTCCTCGGACCGAAGTTTCGTCTGATTCAATCTAAGAGGCCTGACAGTATATGCAGACCTGATGCATCCGGCCAATAACGACATTCGATTCGAGCTGTAATCAATAGTTGGATTATATCTGATCTTCTGCAAGCTGTAAACGCGCTTCAGCTACCCTTGCCCTGTCGCGTTCATTATTTTGAGAGTGAATCAAATCGATTGCTGCAGAACGCGACTGTCTAACTCTTAATCGTTTTCTCTCAAGCCTATCTGCTCGTCTTTCTGCTGATTCTTCCTTGTGCATTTGCATTGCTCTCAGCCGCTCAGTCTCTCGGATGGAGGCCCGTTCTTCGTCAGTTATATTCGTAATCTTACGCCTTTTTGCTTCTGTATTACGATTACGACGACCCAAACTCGACTTCTTGGGTGGCATGACTTCGTTTCTTACTGAACCTGAACAAAAAAATAAAATTTTTATCTCCAATTCCTTATTTCAATATGTTTTGAATGTTTGACAGGAAATGCTTTCGCTGCCTGTAGAGGGCGGTAGATGTAAGGTAGTTTTTTGATATTTTTTTAACACCTTGGATTACGTTATCGTAATTTTAGTAAGGATGCCTATTTTTTTTTAAATGAAATATAGCCTATGTCACTCAGGAATGATGTAGCTTTCCAACAGTGAAAGAATTTTTCAAATCTGCCAAGTACTTTCGGAGCCTATTCAATTCATACAAACAAACAAACAAACTCACCTTTCCTCTTTATATAATAGTATAGATAAGTCAGTAACCCAAAAAACTATGCTTTAGCTCCGAAAATGTTCGAAGGGAAACCACGAAAGAAACCACGTTTTAAGCGAAAAAAAACTAACATCAGTAAAGGAACTATAGTTTCAAACATATACCGTACAACGAAATACAACTCTTGAGCTGAAGATTGTTGTACAGAAGATTGTTCAAATGAAGGTGGGAGTGATAGTACTGGGTACCAGTATATCGGTCCAGCAACGAAAATTAAAGTTAATCTTCCAACCAATATGAAAACCGTTTACTATGAAGCACTTGGAGAAGTATTACAACGAACTCAATAGCATTAGGCAAGCTCGTCTAGCCTTTAAAATAAATGTTTAATTCAAGACAAAGTATAACAAACAATAAGAGCTGATCAAAATTCGATAATAAAATATACCCCATTTTCTTTTATTATTGCACTTTTAAAACACTTATATTTGTGTTGGCAGCAGGATGTTCCACAACAGTGTTCTTGCCTTTTCTTGTGCTCAGCCCCATTTTCTTTTTGTGTCGACATTTGCTGCTTGTTTTTGCCTTGTTAAATTTATGCTATTCGTAAATTAGACAGACATCACATACACCAGGTAAATTAACCATGTCCACGTCTATTTCATTTTAAAATATAATGCTCTTTTTAAGTAGGATCTCACAATCAGTCTAACTCGGCGGTAGCTTCCCTTATTTTTTAGCTTTATATTTGCTAAATACGCTGAAGCTGTACGGCGTCTGAATGTTTTTAAAAATACAACAATACAGAGGAATACCTGACGAATAGTTTCTCAACGGCCAAAACTGCATCACACTCAGCCAATTTTTAAGGGGTTACATACAGTTAGAGGGCCAAAAAAAAGTGCATTTTTTAAAATGTGTTTTCTGAAAAAAACTTGTTAACTTATTGATCCCAAACTTTATACACTTATATAGTATCTTTTAACTGTGTTTTAAGAGTTAGAACTAGTAAAAATATGTATGTTGAAAAGAGTTACACCTGTTATCCGGGAGCTCCTCTTAAAAAGACGTTTTGCGGTGACCACTATATGTCGGAACTGGATCATCCGAAATTAAAAAACCAAACACATTTCGTTAGAGTAATGTCAAATCTAGAAATTAATCGAAGGAATAAGCAAAATAATTTTTTTTGACAAATGACAAAATGGCAGTTTCGCAAAAAAAATCGATTTTTCGCCAAAATTTCCGCCTTAAATTGTTTATAAAAAATAAACTATTTATTGGAAAGAAAAAATCTTCGATTAATTTATAAAAAACATATTTAAGAAGGTCGTGTTAAAATTTAAAACTAATCGGGCAAGCCGTTTTCGAGCAATGTTGGTCACCGACTTTGAAAACACCATTTTGAGAAAAACACGTTTAAAGTTTGGAATGCACATATACATATGTTTACATAGAGCACTCTGAAACGACTTTTCAAATTTACTTATAACTTAGGAAATATTTAGCGGAACTAAACGAAACTTTCTGTGTATATTCTTAAATATATTTACATTAAGAAAATAAAATTAAAAAAAATCGATTTATTAAAAATTCTAACTGTATGTAACCTCTTAAGCTAAAACAAGCTAAATATAAAAAAAAATGCTACAAAAAAACAAGCTTTAATCGAGAGTATATACATTTTTATTTAAAATAAAACTTACTTTCTCCTCTCGTAGAGAGCAATCGTTAACACATTGTATTTACATTTAACATTCCCATTGGAAATTTTACACCTTCTATAAACGTGTAAAATTGTTCTGTAAACTTGTAAAATATTAGTTATCAGATAATGCTATACAGAAACTAGCTCTTTTCGCGCGGAAATCTGAAAATTCGCCTAGTGCTTGTTGCAAAATATAAATAATTAATCGTGAAAAAAATGACATAAATTTATAAAAAAATGAAGCACTTACAGAAAATTGAAGGGTTGATAAAAATTGTAAGTTTAATAAGATAGATAGATAGATTTTTTCAAATTAAACAAATTTTAAATGTAAATATATAGCTTTTTTTAATATTCATCTAGCTAGCTAACTAGCTATAAGCTATTTGAGCATTACGATAGCCTGAAAAAAGCTAAACTGGCAACACTGCCCTCATCTGATCATGTAAACACCAAAATGCGTTTTTTAAGAAGTTCTAAAATATTGACCCTCTTCCCAACGCGCAACTCCTCCACACATTCCGGACACCGGCGGGTGGTAATAACAGGAAGTGGTGCAGTGACTCCTTTGGCCAACAACGCAGGGGATTCATGGCGTCGCATCTTGGCCGGGGAATCGGCCATTTCCCAACTGGGACCGGAGTTTAAGGGCTTACCGTGTCAGGTGGCTGCTCAGATAGACAGGGATAAGCTCCAATCAGAGAAGCCTTTAAGTAAAACGGACATGAAGCTTATGAGTCCGGCTACCCAACTGGCTGTCGTGGCGGCAGAGGAGGCTCTGAAGACCGGAAGGCTAAACCCCAAGGATATGAGTGAAGAGCAGCGGGAGCGATTCGGAGTCTGCGTGGGTATGGGCATGTTCGATCTGACGGAGGTCTACGGCGCCTGGCAGCAACTTCAGCGAGGCTATAACCGTGTGAGCCCCTTCTTTGTGCCACGACTGCTGCCCAGCATGGCCTGTGGTCACATAAGCATGCGGCATGGGCTCAGAGGACCCAATCACTCGGTGTCCACAGCTTGCGCCACCGGTGCACATGCCCTGGGTGATGCTATGCGCTTTATTCGAAATGGCGATGCGGATGTGATGCTGGCTGGAAGTGGGGAAGCCTGCATAGATCCCCTCTCTATTGCCGGCTTCTGCAGATTACGGGCTCTGAGTACCGCTTTCAATGATAACCCCGCGGTAGCTTCGCGACCTTTCGACAAAGCCCGCGACGGCTTTGTGATGGGTGAAGGAGCAGCCGTCCTTCTGCTTGAGGAACTGGAACATGCCCGCTCGAGAGGAGCCACAATACTGGCTGAGTTATTGGGGTACGGACTATCCGGCGACGCCTTTCACATAACATCCCCGAGTGAGAATGGCGAGGGAGCTACACTGGCAATGAGAAGGGCCATCCAGGATGCTGCGATTAGGCCGGAAGAGATCACGTACGTGAATGCCCATGCCACATCCACTCCGACTGGTGATCGCATTGAATCGCACGCCATAGGACGCGTCTTTGGAGAGCACACTAGTCAGGTGAGAGTTTCTTCCACGAAAGGAGCACACGGCCACCTGCTCGGATCCTCGGGCAATCTAGAGGCATTATTTGTGGTGCACGCTTGTGCGGACAGCAAAATGCCGCCTTCCATCAACATCGAGCAGCTGGATGTGGATGTAAAGGTAAACGTGGTCAGAGAAGCAGCGGAATGGACGCCAAATCAGGGACGTCGTGTTGCTCTCAAAAACTCGTTTGGATTCGGTGGGACCAATGCATCCCTGTGCATCGCCAGCTATTCCGAATAGGGATCCACAAATTGTTAACTATTTTTAAACCAATCGCCACAGAAAATAAAATATTCAAACGCTGACATGTTCTTAGGAAAAGTGTTTAGTTTTAAAACTTTATTTGGAAAACTTTTCTTCACTGTTGCCGCCTTCGCTGCGTCATTTCGTTCGATTCTGGCTCTGTAAAAATTGTTATGCATACTGTATTTATCCACTGTTACTGTTATATTTGTATATCTGTATATAATATATATATATAGGTATATAATTATGTATACAGCTCTGTTTGATTTGCTTCTGTTGCTTGTCTCTGTTGTGCTTGCTCATCTTCAAGATGCTTAAATAATGGATGTTTGTGTTTGGAAGTAAATGAAAACCAATTAATATGCCTATTAGCTGGGTAATCCCGACATACGCACTCGCGGCGTGTCGCGGATACTTTTGATGTTGACATTAGTTGCAGCAGCTTTCGACTCGCTCCTTCTTTCCTCTCGTCACTTAACTAACAATTTTTAATTTGAAGTGATTTATTATTTTACAAAAATTGCTTAGGTCGTAAGTTAAAAGTATGTTGTTGGCTTACAATCAAATCTTCGTCATAATCATTTAATTTTAGTGGATCTCCTTCTCTATGCTCTCCTGGGGTTCGCTCGCCCTGCCCTGCTCTACCTCTTAGTCATTAGTTTTTACGATCCTTCGTGTGTGTTATTGATACATTTTTATTAAATGTAAATTGCGGCTTAGATTCTTATTAAATTTATATGCGTCAATAATATATGCTGGATGCGGTTGGTTGTGTGGTTGTGTGTGGGATGAGTATGATAGCTCTTTAGATTACTGAACATTCGTTTGTCTGTGTTTACATAAATTATGAAAATACATTTTATTCGAATTTTTAACTTTTTACTTCTTTACTGTACAATTTTTGCTTTAGTGTAGTTTCCCATTAGTAAGTAGTTACAGCGTAAAATTTGTAATCACCTTTTCTAAAACTTTGCACGTGTCACACATTTATTAACAATTTTAAATTTCTTTTCCTTTCCAATCTTCTCAAAGCATTTAAAAATAACTCCCAATATCTGTAATGTGCGTTTAATTCAATTCTGGACTGCCAAACATTAAAATGAAACGTACGAGAGAGGCCTTTTAATTTCATAATTACGTATCTGGTTCTTAGCTAGGATTAAGCTTAGGAAATTAAACGGAGAAAAACTTTAAAGCGACGGAAAACACATATATGTATATCGAGAACTAGCATGCATAAATTAAAAAAATAAATCAATGCAAAAGTCCACATTTTGTAAGTAAAAGTGTATTCAGTGTATAGAGTGTATGTGTGTTGAGTGTAATATAAAAAATTATATAAATTAATTATAAATATTTTGTGGTTCTTGCTCGCATGCCTAACACTTTTATCTTACTATTTTTGCTTTGTTTAAAAAAGATACCTATTTAAGCGCTATTAAAGTGGATTTGTGTTTGCTTGTATTTCCTACATGTCGTCGTACAGTGAGGCTGTAACTACACTGATCCTAAGTTAATGCCTGTTCTGTCGGTTGTCTGTCTGTCTGTACTGTGGGAGATGTGGGAGTGTTTATGCTTCGGGGTATGTACATGGCAAGCCCGTTTAAGCCAGAGAATGCGCTAGTTAAGCAGTGCATCCATGGTATATGGAAATGGAGGGTGTTGCTGCTGGTCGAATCTGTTTGCTGAAGACGATAACAACAACTTGGTTGCCGATGCCGATGCCCCTGATGCACCGGATTTTGCCATTTTGCTTGCCGTCGACGGTCAGTCCAGTATGACAATTTGTGATTCAATGGGCCTGCTACTCGGCTCTGGCGCCGCAGGCTTTATAGGCAGTATGCGCCAAGGTTTGCGCGCCGCTCGACGCAAGTCCACGGCAGAGAGTATTTTTCTCGTTTTTCTGCAGCACAAAGAGGAAATAAATATTTATGTCAAACCCATTATATTTTATTACTCACTTGTGGTTATCGTTAGCCCTAAAGTAAACATCGTCCGGTGCATCCATCCAACTGATGACCTGTTTGCGTCCGTTGCCCCCCCGGGCCATTTGTGCAATCTTTTGCTTGCCATTGAGCTAAATGAAAAACCAAAATACATAGCTAGTTAATATTAAATTAAATAACAACCAGTGAGTTACTCACATGATGCCGAGAGAGCGGCTGTCCAGATGCAGCCATCATCGCCGCAAACTGTTCTGGACTGGGACAATGGGAGGGCATGGGATCCTTATTGGGACGCTTGGCCGGCGGTCCGCTGGGAACTATAGTAACTGTAATATATGTAGGAGAAGTAAAACTATTTATTTTCATTCATCTTTTTTATTGTCTTCTTGAAACCATTCAAAACTTGACAGTAATTCTGATTAGGGATAGAGAAATATATTGATATCTCGATATCTAACTGAAATTGATTTCAATTCGCAGTCGTATTTGGTAAAGATTTCCCCTAAGATACTTTGCTATCTTATACCTAATATATGTGACTCGCCACTTACCCTCAGTGCCATTGAGCTGCTGCTGGTCGTCGTGGGCGCGCTTCCGTATCGTCGAAGTGGCTTGCGTTGGAATTATGGTTAGCTCCTTGTCGGCCGAGACAGCGACAATATCGGGTGATTTGTTGGGCACTCGTTCGTACACTAAACTGCCGTCGGCAGCTTTCGGGGGTTTGGGAAATGAGACAAAGAGTGGCAGGGGCATCTTGTCCTTGGGTGTTAATATGAGCCACTCGTGCGGACCACTACCCGGTGCCCCAAGACGATTGGCGATCTTGGTGACACTTCCCCGATCCTTCGGCTTCAACAAGAGTAGTTTTTTGATCTCAGCTTGCGACTTTCCACTAATACGATTCGTAACTGAGAAGAGAAAAAAAAACCTGGATAGCTTGAATTTGCTTTTCATAAAACCTATTAAAACACTTACACTCTTGCTTAACCAGCAGGGCGTTGATGGCGTACGCACTCTGCCGCGCTGCCTTTTTCGGTTTAACGATGCTGCGGCAGATTGCGCGCGCTACTCGAGTCATGGGATTGGTGTGCAAGTAAAAGGCAGTGCGCGTCTTCATGATGGGCCGCGGTGACCCGGAGCTAATGGCGATGCCATGCGCTTGGGCATAGTGGCGTGCCAGGTGGGTCTTCAGCTTGAACTCCTTGCCACAATTAACAATGGAACATCTAAGACAAAAAAAAAACACACGTTACATTAGGGCATAATTAAAATTTAAAAGATATTTTATCAGAAAGCTCGTTCTCTTACCTGTGCAGCTGACGATTGGATAGATCACTGATTTTGTCATCGTCATTTAGGTCAACCACTGCAGTGGGGGCTGCACCCGATATCGCTGACGTCGCTGAAGCCGTCGTTAAGGCCGACGAAGCCTTCTTCTTAGCATCGCTATTGTCGCCGCCGCCGTCACCCTTAGTCGCAGACTTCATACTGCCATACTTCCGCCAATATTCCCAGCAGCTCTGGCACAGGCGACACGTACTGTGCCCGGTACTGATCGAGTTCCACTATGGTGTGTAGATTGCAAGTGAATATATGAATATCTATAAATTCATTTAAGGCTATACCTGTGATGATTTGGTAGCTCCGCACGATTCGCAAGGTTTGCCATTGTTGGAGAGATCGGTGCTCCCGTTGGTGGTGGTGCCGTTATATACACCCGTCGCCTTTACAGAGGATCCGTTTCCCTTGCTGCCATTGTTGTTGTTATATTGCGGTATGTAGACCTGCTTAAGCTTCAGTTCCGCCTCCACGGCCTTCACACGCTTCTGCTGCACATAGCGATCGGTGGTTTTCCACATGTAGTAATACTCGATGATTTGTTTCAGCGTCTTCCAAGGTAGCTGGTGTTGATTATTATTATTATATTGAGCAAATTATTAATTTAGATTAATGTTGGAATAATTAATACAAATAAAACTTACGAAATCTTGTCGAATGTCATTGAAGTCTTTTCCATATTTGTCCAGAGCCTCTTCAAAGAGATTCGCCTCCGAGGCGCTCCAATCCTCGATTTCATCACGACAGAGCACAGGCCCAGTGGAAGGAACTAATGAGGACATGGCCTCCTCGATCGAGTACTCATGCTTGTGCAGAATGTTCATAGCGTGAAACTGGAAGGAGACTAAGCTTAATACCCAAAATATGTAAGGAATACCTTCAACTAACCAGGGTGATGTCCCTGCTGGCTGCTGCGGCGGACATGTGTAGTGAGGGCTGCTTCACCGAACTGCTACAGTCCAGGGCACGGGCGAAGGTGCCTATGGAACGAGAGACCACGAGAAACTGGTCGATTTTGCGATCGGTCAAACTGTGCTCGGGCGTCCACACCAACGATTCCAACTCCTCCAGTTTGCGCTCATCCAAGGCGGTGTCCTTGAGCTTCGCGGGTATATCACACTGATAGCGACTGCCGACTCGGATCTCACCCTTATCGGCGAGCAGAGTCTTTTGATTTGGATCGAACACCAGACAGTAGAAAAATGTGTCCTAAAGAATTCAAGATAAATAGAGGAATGATACTTTTAAAATCCCATTTTATCCAAAGCTTCCAAGGATGCAAACTTATTTGTTATTGGAAGAAATAAAAGGAGCATCGGAGCTTCACAAGTTTTTAATTTAGTTTTAACGCCGATTTGCATCCTGATGTACACATATAAAAAGGTTTCGACTGCGACCAGATAAACTACTACCAACTCACGTCTTTATTGAGATAGCTCTGCAGGGATTCCGTCTCATTAAGCAGCGTCACCGAGCATTTGCCTCGGATCTGTGTGGCGGGTATCGACTCAACTTGGCGTGAGAGGAACAGCTCGCGATGCTTGATCTGGTAGCGTTGCTTGCTGGTTAGCGCCTCGCCCTTCTCCGCTACGCCGCCTGCCCCTCCGCCGCCGCTGGTAGTGCTATTGTTGCTGTTGGTGGTGCCAGAATTGGCGGTCACTGAGCCAGCACCGCCCGACGATTGCGTCGGACTGGTACGCTCCTCATCCAGGGCGGCTGTAATGACAAAAAGTCAGCAATGAGTAAATATTGTCTTGGTTTATTTTCTTAAAATTTAAACTTTACGGATATTAAATAGTAATGTAAATACGCTAGAAGTATTAAAGTAGTATTTAGAAAATTCAGTAAGAAATGAGTGGTATTAATAGAAAAGATTAAATAATATAACAACAATCAAATGTATGATATAAAGAAATAGATTATAAAATACAGGAGCCAACGGCTTATTTCGTGCACCCATAGACTCTATAGATTCTTTCTTACAAAATGTAGGACTTCTACAAATCGGTTCTACAATAGTTCGTTTCTTGTTAAATCAATCATTTTGGTAATTTTGCCATTTCGTGCATTACAATTCAATGAATATAGATAGAGAATTAAGTAATTCTTAATTTTTTTTTTACGAAAAATAGGAGCAAGCAGTTCCAAATAAAATATAATATAGTATAATAATATATATAACTTAAAAAATTAGTACTCATTAGGTGAACCGTTAAAAGTCCAGCGTAAACTGTTTAACTACACTACAGAAACTATTAAGATCTACTGAAAAGTTTTTAGTAAAGAAGATTTAGGAAAGTACAAGAAAGATCTACATATACAGATGTGCATTCGAAAGCTAGCGTGATTTCTTTAGTTGGAGGAGGTACCTATTGAGGGATCAAGCACAGCCTGCGCCGCCTGCTCCTCGCCCACGGGTGTGCGGAGCCAGGTCTTCTTCAACTTTGTCGCCAGCGGTGAGTCCTCAGCGGTGGCCACTGATTCGTTGCGTATATTTTGGTTGTTTTTAAAGAGTTTCATACATTCAGTTTGGTTTAGTGCAATGTTGGTGAAATATGTTTATTTACAAGTTTCATAGTTTACAAAATATAATATCAATGTTAAATTATAAGAAATGTAGCAAAAAACTGTAAGGTTTAATGAGAAAATTAATTCACAAGTAGTCTCTGTCGTTGGCAATAAGTAATCAAAGGAATTGTTCTTTACCAAGGGTAAATATTAAATTAATTAATGAAAGGTGTCAACTCTTTTATTTAATAATCAAACCCCAGTTAACTAATATTTATGGGTTTAAATACATCCTTTTTTATCCCAACCAATTATTTTAGGTACCGTTTGAGAAGATGATTTTGTTTAGTTTCTGGATTTAAGCTACGGCTACACTTGTGCCGCTAATTATCAATAGCTAATTAGCAACTGGCCAGTAAACACACGACGCACGCGGCTAAAACTCGTCGACAGAAAAAAAGATATATAACATATAATAATGAGGGGGGAGGTAGGGGTTCGATGAATTTAAGGCCAAAAGGGATTGCGTTAATGGGCATTGTTGGCGCATGTCATGGGGGTCATGGAGTCCTCCAGCTTCATGGAAAACGCATTTTCCGTTGGGTCACGTATCAAATTTGAGTGGGTGGTTAAAGCCAAAAACTCAACCCAGTTGTATTTCTTTTTTGAGAGGCGTCGAAATGGGCTGGAAGTCGTCGGTCGAAGCCGAAAGGTGGTAAGGGGTGAAGGCGTTGTGTGTATGTATACACGAATGCAAAGCGCGCCTCGCTGCGTGTGCCACATTGCTATAGCTCCATCCATACTCCTCCACTACAATCCACTCCCCGGCTATCCCCTCCAGATCCCCAACCTCTACCTCTTGGTTGCAAATTTTCGAGCACACACACAGCACACAGTATCCGTGGGTACGGATGGATATATATGTTTGGCCCAGGTTTTCAGATGTAGACAGCAAGTCTACCTTCAGTCGAGCGCCGAGAGTATCACATTCACATTGACGCCGGCGCCGCCTAGCAGCCACCCGAAAACAGCAAAAACTCCAGCAACCACAACATCAAGGGTACAGTGCAGCTCAGCTCATTATCTTTAAAAAGGAATCTGTGCAGGTTCCGTATGACATGACTGAATCTCGGAATTTAATAAAAATAATGAGTTTAAGGGAGGCTTAGGTGCGATTTAAGGACCTTAAAAATACAGATATTTTACAAAATTAAATAAAAGGGACCCGTTTTTGGTATAAAAAAAAAACCAAGCCCAGACAACTATACATATATTATTGTGATTAAATAAGTAATACTTTTTTCTATATGAACCTCTAGATAATAAATTGCTTTAAAATTACAAGATACCCAAATTGATTATCTTCCAGAAAAGATACAATAATATGTTTTCTGAATTTGTATTTGATGAGTTTGAAACATTCAGTGCCTATTTATGTGGATACTCATAATGGAAGCTGGAAAAAATACGCTTTTTGCACCGATTTTACATTTGTTGTAATTGCTGTTCTTGGCGTTCGGGGATGCTTCATCTCGGTTCTGGGGTTTTGTTTGGGTTAGGGGGTTTCTGTGGTTCTATTATAGGTGAGGAGTGGTGGGTGAGTGACACATTGCACACAATGCCGCATTCTATGTTTTTGGGGTCTGCCCTGCGGTGGACATGTTCTTCTTAGCCGGTTTAATCTTTTAACTAGTTAAAAGGCCACGACAACGACTCTGATGCGATACATAACCTCACTTAGTCACAAAAAAGTATATGTACTTATAGATACAAATATCGAAAGCGGCCGGAGGATGCGGGAAATACTTACGTTGATGTTTGTCGGCCAGTTGTACGAGCGGATTGGGCAGATCCCGGCGCCGGTAAAAGCACATAACCTTTGCCTCCACATTGCCGGTTTGGTTTTTATTCAGCTCCTCGATTCGCCGTATTAAGTAGGGACTATTCAGCGTTGTCTCAACGTAGACGTAGTCTGCAAAACGAACATTAAAAAAAAATTTTACGGCATAAAAAAAGGGGTGGGGGGTGGGGGGCGAAAGAGGGAAATGGAGGAGGAAGAGTAGAAACCCCATTCATACGTCACAGGTAAACGCACACGCACAAAGCACTTAATTACGGCTGGTCACCTATACAAAGAAGAGCACAATTAAACACAAGCGTATTTCAACTTAGGTTGACCATTAAAATAAAAATTCAACAGCAAAAAATATATAAAAAAAAAAACAATCATAACGAGTGCATTTGTAAGATGCAGAAATTAACATCGAAATATAGATACGAGATGAAAAAGAAAGTATAGAGCTAGCGAGAAAGCACAGTTAAAGATATGTACATATATACAGTGGATCGCAGCTTATTTCGTGCAGTCGCAAACTAAAAGTTTAAACCTCCACTGCTCCTAAACCATCAAAGATATTTCAAAAATTTAAACGCAATTTTTTAACTTATAGTAATAACAAATTTAATAAACTAAAACAAACTTCATATTTATCAAACTTACAGAATAAAAGAAGAAAAACAAAAATATAGACATTTTTTACGCCGCAGCTTATTTCGTGCACTTCAAGATTTTTTATCTCTACATTCTAAAAATTAACTTAATATTTTGTGTGGCCTCCCCTCTGCTTTACGACAGCATTCAGACGGTTTTCCATTGAGGCCACCAATTTTTTGGTCGTTTCGATGGGAATTTTTTGCCATTCTTCAACCAAAGCAGATTTTAGATCGTTTTTGTTCGAAATCTGTCGTTTTCGAATAGCGGAGTCCAAAATTTGCCATAGATTTTCTATTACATTTAAGTCTGGTGATTGTGCTGGTGTTCGCACAACGTGTGGACATTTCCAGATGAGCCAGGTCTTCACAATTCCAGACGTATGCTTCGGGTCGTTGTCCTGGTAGAAGCGAAAACGATCGCGTATGCCCAGTTTCTTGGCACTTTGGAGAAGGTTTTCCTTCAATATTGACAGATATTGATTGGCGTCCATTATGCTGTCAATAAAAACCAGGTTTCCGACTCCAGAGGCCGACATACAGGCCCAAACCATAACGTGACCCCCGCCATGCTTAATCGTTGGTTTTAGGTGTTTGGGGTCTAGCTCGGTATTTGGTGTCCGCCAAACATAATGACGCCCATCCGAACCAAAAATGTTAAATTTTGATTCATCTGCAAAGATGACGTCGTCCCAAAAGGAAATCGGATGGAGTAGATGTTCCTTAGCGAATTTGAAGCGGTAGTCCCGATTATTCTGGTTTATAAATGGTTTTTTTCGAGCTACTCGACCATTGAAGTTGTTTTCGTGGAGGATCCGGCGCACTGTATCCGGGCTACACTTCTTGCCCATTTCGTTCTCTATCTCCACAGCCAATTTTGGAGCCGATAGCTTCGGATTTTGTTTAATTTTTCTTACTATGCGACGCTCCTCCTTCTCGCTAAAAATTTTATTTGGTGCATTTCGACCTTTATTTTCCACCCGATTTTCATGAACAAAGCGTTGAATTATATATTGTACAGTGCTAGAGCTTAGTTTAACCTTCTCCGCAATAGCACGCTGGCTGTTCCCATCTTTAAAATGTTTGAGAACTAATTCTCGTTGTTGAATAGTTGTTCGAGGTGCCATGTTTTGTAATTCCCCGAAATTTTCGTATTTCCATGTGACCAAGACAAAATTCTCATTAGATATTTTAATATAAATACCAAAAATACCAAAACTGGCGTTAAAATGTAATATTCTAGTCAAAAAGTTAGAATTTCGTCTGTATAAAATGACTGCACGAAATAAGCTGCGGCACAAAAAAAGCTCAAAAAGTTTTTTTTTTATCTCAATGTTTTACTTTTGTAATTAAGAAAATGTTTCTTATTAATTTCAAATCTACAAATTCTGCTGTACCAACCTTCATTTAAATTTTTGAAATATCTTTGATAGTTTAGATGCAGTGGAGGTTTAAACTTTTAGTTTGCGACTGCACGAAATAAGCTGCGATCCACTGTATATACATATGTATATATATGTGTGCTATTAAAAATGGCAAACAAAAAGCACTAATTATTTTCCAGCTTTTGACATGGATAATTTCTCAAAAGCACACACTCTAAATAACCCGCACATGCATCTTGTTATTTATTTTGGTTCTTTTAATTAAACGTTTGCGTTTTTAGGCATATTTGCATTTTGAAAGAGCTCACGCACACAAGCACACAGGCACCCATGAAAAGCAGGTGAAGAAACAGAATAACGTCATCACATAAGAGCGAGCGGGATAGAGTATAACCGGAGTTTAGTAGAATGAGAAGGGGTAATTTAACGGTGGGGGAAAGGGAAAGATGCTCAAAAAGAAGCTCATTAGCATAAGAAAACACAATAAAGTGGGTGGCACTCTCAAGCATTGGATACACTTTTGTTAACGCACAAACACACACACACACACAAACAGCACACGTTTGTAGATCACAATTTGGCAAATGCAATTCCATTTCCCAGCCCTAGAACACACAGGCACACATACAATACTAATGCTTATCGGTTAGAAGACTTCTTTGGAAACACTTGCTGCAGTAGCGACACCTATCAAAATCCCCTCGCCCGCGAAAAAAAATTGTGTTATTCTCCGCCAGAATTTAATATGATAACACACACTTGCGAGCCTGGGGATTTGGGCTGTTTTATATGCACTTCCATAATTTTCGGAGCCTCCGCAGACACAACACACACACACATACACACAGGCCACGCACACCGTGGGACGGCGGCGCCGATAACGAAAGATGATAGAAAAGCGAGTAGGGGAAAATTTTTTCTCACCTCCGACTCGATACATATTTGTGGCCATTTTCACTACGCTTCCGCACCAAAACTTTCACATGTAAAACACTCGGCGCACGCTAAGCTCTGTTTTTCACTAGTTCTGCTTCAAATTAGCGCACATTTATTAGCAAAAAAGACGAGTTGTTATGATTGCATTTTTCACATAAGACGCGTTTTTTTCGTCGCCATCTTAGAAACAACTCAACTCTAAAAAATACACACACACACAACGCCAAGTAAACAGCTGCCCCAGGGCTGCATTCGACCGGGCGATAGCTAAACGATTGTTATTAAATATCGCATTGAGTCAAGGATTGAAAAACTAGGAAAATAAATTTAAAAATAAATAAGAACGGTGAGTTGAATCCAAAGCGCATAACACGTGATTATTTTTGGTTTCCCACAAATTACATATCAAGAGAAACAAAACATAAAGTTTCAAATTCATTTGTTTATTAACTATTTATTATTTTATTTTATATTACATTAATAGATACTATTTAATTGCCACTGTATAATGTTGCATTTAAATAGTTATTAAGCGATTGCTTTATTTAATATTTATTAAAATTTTTAATCGTATTGATAACCGTTTCACCAATCGATAGTATCGTTAAAAACTATCTTCACTGACCTGCAACGTTTACAATCAAAATTCATTTATACATTGGGCTTGATTTTGACCTTTCTTTATAGATTTATATAAATTAAAGTGTGAAGTTGTTATTTGTTGAACAGGAGGACAATTTGTTTGTTTTCGTATTGTTTTGCGTGAGTAGACTGGCCGTCGCGAGCACGAAACAGTGTCACGACCAGCTGTCAAATTCGTGACGTGGCCTGCCGACCGATTTTTCCCAATTGGTAGCGGAGTTCAATTTGATTATCCCGTCTGAATAGTATATTTAAGTGTTGTTAAGGCGATGACCACCTACGAGGAGTTCATCCAGCAGAACGAGGACCGTGACGGGGTGCGGCTGACGTGGAATGTGTGGCCTTCAAGCCGCATCGATGCGAGTCGCCTGGTGGTCCCCCTTGCTTGTCTCTATCAGCCATTGAAGGAGCGCCCTGATCTGCCTCCGATCCAATATGAGCCTGTACTGTGCACCAGGAGCAACTGCAGGGCTATCCTCAATCCGCTGTGCCAAGTGGATTATCGGGCCAAGTTGTGGGTTTGCAACTTCTGCTTTCAGCGGAATCCGGTGAGTAATCAAGCCAGCGATTTTCTTAATGTAAACTTTAACCCCCGTGTTCTTTCAGTTCCCCCTCAATATGCAGCCATATCCGAGCAGCACCAGCCCGCGGAGTTGATTCCAGGCTTCAGTACCATTGAGTACACCATTACCCGGGCTCCCACCATGCCGCCCGTTTTTGTGTTTCTGGTAGACACCTGTATGGATGAGGAAGAGTTGGACGCACTTAAAGACTCGTTGCAAATGTCCCTGAGTCTACTGCCGCCAAATGCCCTGGTTGGCTTGATTACCTTTGGCAAGATGATCCAGGTGCACGAACTAGGCGCCGAGGGATGCTCCAAGAGCTATGTGTTCCGCGGGACCAAGGATCTGACCGCCAAGCAGGTGCAGGATATGCTCGGTATCGGGCGCGGAGCGGCTCCGGGGCCGCAACAGCAGCAGCAGATACCTGGCCAGCCGGCTGGTGCTGCGGTCCATGTGCCGCCCGCGCACCGCTTTCTGCAGCCGATCGGCCAGTGCGACGCAGCACTGGGCGATCTGCTCAGCGAGCTGCAACGCGATCCCTGGCCGGTGCCCCAGGGCAAACGCTACCTGCGCTCCACTGGCGCCGCTTTGTCCATTGCAGTGGGTCTGCTAGAGTGCACCTACCCGAATACGGGAGGACGCATCATGACCTTTGTGGGTGGACCTTGCTCCCAGGGCCCCGGTCAGGTGGTCGACGATGAGCTCAAGCACCCGATTCGATCGCATCACGACATCCATAAGGACAACGTCCGATTCATGAAGAAGGCCATCAAGCATTTCGATGCCTTAGCTTTGAGAGCCGCCACCAATGGACACAGTGTTGATATATACTCTTGTGCCCTGGATCAAACCGGACTGTTGGAAATGAAGCAACTGTGCAACTCCACTGGTGGACACATGGTGATGGGCGATTCGTTTAACTCGTCGCTCTTCAAGCAAACATTCCAGCGTGTGTTTGCACGCGATGGTCGCAACGATCTGAAGATGGCATTCAATGCCACGCTGGAGGTGAAGTGCTCGCGCGAGCTGAAGATCTCCGGTGGGATCGGCTCGTGTGTGTCGCTGAATGTGAAAAGCCCGTCGGTGTCGGATGTGGAGATCGGCATGGGCAATACGGTCCAGTGGAAGCTGTGCACCCTGAACCCCAGCTCCACGGTGGCCTACTTCTTTGAGGTGGTTAACCAGCATGCCGCGCCCATTCCGCAGGGCGGACGCGGCTGCATACAGTTCATAACGCAGTATCAGCATCCTAGTGGTCAGCGGCGCATCAGAGTCACCACCCTGGCCAGAAAGTAAGTGATATTAGAAAGTACTCTAAGCTCCTTAACTAAAGGTCTATTTTTTTTATCTACAGTTGGGCGGATGCCACTTCCAACGTACACCATATCAGCGCCGGGTTTGACCAGGAGGCTGCTGCTGTGCTAATGGCCCGCATGGTTGTCTATCGTGCGGAGACGGACGAGGGGCCTGATATTCTGCGCTGGGTTGATCGTCAGCTCATCCGTTTGGTAAGTGAAATTCATGATTAAGCTTAATAATTTGTAATTATCTTATATACTATTAAACCTTTCTTTTTTCTCTTCATTAGTGCCAAAAGTTCGGCGAGTACTCGAAGGATGATCCCAATAGCTTCCGCCTGTCGCAGAACTTCAGCCTGTTCCCGCAGTTCATGTACCATTTGCGCCGTTCGCAGTTCCTGCAGGTCTTCAACAACTCGCCCGACGAGACCACATTCTACCGACACATGCTGATGCGCGAGGATCTCACCCAGTCGCTAATCATGATACAACCGATACTCTACAGCTACTCGTTCAACGGCCCACCAGAGCCCGTTCTTCTCGACACAGCCTCAATCCAGGCTGACCGGATCCTTTTGATGGACACATTTTTCCAGATCCTGATTTATCATGGCGAGACTATCGCCCAATGGCGTGCTCTCAAGTACCAGGACATGCCAGAGTATGAGAACTTTAAGCAGTTGCTTCAAGCGCCGGTCGACGATGCCCAGGAGATTCTGCAGACGCGCTTCCCAATGCCCCGGTACATTGATACCGAGCACGGCGGATCCCAGGCGCGCTTCTTGCTGTCTAAGGTCAATCCCTCACAAACGCACAACAACATGTACGCCTATGGACAGGTGAGTTTCATGGCAACAGCCGTCGGCTGGCTATTTTTGATTGATCTTTGCAGAGCGCTCATAAGTGCCATCGAATTCTCTACTGAAATCTTATTTTCAATCTCGTTTTATGTTGATTTTGTTTTCCTCATTGTGTAATCTGTACCCGCCAACCGCTCCCCCTATCATGTGCAGCCGTCCGTTGGTCATGTCACGGTAGTACATTTTTGTTCAACGTTATCCATTTAAGTTGGGATAGGTTTACAAATCACTTAGGACATTTATCACTAATAATTTGACTAATTTAAGCATATAAAATTAGGAACTCTACGGTCAAAGAAGGAAGTAAAGTGATGCACTTTTTTTAAATCCACATAACTAGAATCATCTACATGTTTTTATCAGTTTAACAATTTTTCTGGTAGCAAATCATTACTCTTTTATGCATTTTACATAAATCTTCCGTAGATTTATTGTTTTTACACTCTGCTCTTAAGTATCCCAAAATACACTGTTCTGAGATACTTACAGATATTTGTATTGCTCTGGTGTTGGTCATTTCTTGGTGTTGGTTCCGCTCGCTCATTTCCCTCAAAACCCACAAACCTAATCCCCGCCCCCATCCATCGTTTGATTAATGATTTTGACCTTGTTTCGACAGGATGGCGGCGCTCCCGTGCTTACGGATGACGTGTCGCTGCAGTTGTTCATGGAGCACCTCAAGAAGCTGGCCGTGTCCACTACAACATAAAAATAATACAGGACAGGATCTGGGCGGCCATCCGCGAACTCCTGGAATTCTCGGCAATGCAATTAGATACAAAATATACCCCTCTTATTCCACTTGATCGCCTGAAAACAATAAACTATTCAATATATGTTCACTTAAGTTCAACTCGGCCTTTATTTAAACAGAAAATGTCATTAGGATCTACACGTTGAGCGGAATGAGCTTTCCGTAGGCAAAAAACAAGGTAACAAATGGAAAAGTAGGTCTGTTTTTCCAATAACAACTAAAAATACAAGTTGATCCGGCGGATTATGCAACCAAAAATATTATAAATTAAAGAACTATAAAACGTGTTATTTATTTATTTTTTACACTTTGTGACGTTTTAAATTGTGTTTTTAATTGTAAACTTTTGAAATTCACTTATTCATTATTACGCTTTATGAGCACCTAGAGATATAGAGTGCTCCAAAACAAAATAGAGGTTTCAGTTACACACCGGAATGCCTCACTACTGACTCTCGACCTAAACTATTTGGTACACACTGACTAAAAAACTCGCTCCTTCCCCGTGACTCCGGAAACCCAACTCAGTTGAGAAACCGAATAGACATTTTCTGATCCACATCGGTGCGGTCCAGCGCCTTGCAGAAGTCCTCAAACGAGATCTTTCCCTGGCAGCACAAGTCCGCTTCCAGAATCGTCCTCTCCGCAATGCTCACCAACTGATCCTGGCTAATGTTCGCCCCCACCATCATGTGCAAGATGGACAGGAGCTCATCGCGGCTGATCACACCATCGTCATCCAGGTCGTACATTTTAAACGCAAACTTCAGCTTCTCCTCCCGACTATTCAGCTTGCTCTGCTTGTTGTCCCTTAGCGGTCGGAAGTGGGCGAGCACGTTCATGAACTGCCTAAAGTTTACTCGGTCATCGTTGCTCTCAGCGAAAAAGGAGTGCACAATCCGCTCGCATAGCGGATTAATGGCCAGCTCGGGGATGCGCATCAGATCCTCCCGAGAAAGCGTTCCGCAATCGTTCCGGTCCAGCGACGTGAAGCGCGAGTACAGCCGCTCAATTTGGTTGGGGTGACTGACCACAGAAAGAAAATAACAAAGATTTGAATATTTGAAACTAGTTATATTTCTTGAATTGAATAATGCAAATTCGGCGATGTTAAGTTAGGCTCGTATGGTAGGTAACCATCATTTAAAGATTGCTATAAAACAAAAACTCTTATAAATTTAGATATTTATATTCATTTTAGGTCGATAGAGTGTAACTACGAGAAAACCTGAACAAATTTTTCCCTGTGTGCGCCGACTCTTTGAAGACCGCGCAAGTTTCCATTTAGTTGGTTATAAATTCGTGCTGATAAGGACGGGGGCCTCTTATCAATTAAGCTGATAATAGCTGGTCGAACATTGGATACAAGTTCCAAATGCGGGGACAATTTCAATTGTTAGCTTATCGCGCCCAGAATATTGAAATTACACAGTCTCGGACACTAGATAATTGCCAGCAAAGCCAATTTCATTGATAGGACGTGACTTTTGCCCCCGTCTACTCATAAATCGGTTATACTATAAATGTAGATTACGTCACGCTGGAAGTGCAGGTGCAACTGCAATGCAAATTGGCTTTTCCTAGAATATGTCTGTGCATATTCAGAGGTTCGGAGGCATATATTAAACTAGCAGAATGTTCAGAAACAGTTCTGAATAATGTTCTTAAAAGCCATTAGAATAACCTTAACAATCGGTTTCTTTAATGGTTTCCGAAATCGTTGAAATAACACTGGAATTTTTTTAAGACCAAAAGCTTTTAGCACTCCAGTGCGATGTTATTGTTTGCTCTTGGAATATTTATTTATATCTAAATGCGTATTTGTTGTGGAAAACCTGGCGGCGGGCGAAATCTATACGGTCTGTCCCACTTTCAAAATTCGAACTCACAGCCAGTTTCCTCCTGAATCTGGGCGATCTCCTCGTTCCGCAGAAACAACGACGATTTATTGCCCATGATGACGTTGTTTTTGAGCGCTTATTCAATTCTTTTAACTTTTCCCACAAGTCTCGCGAATGGCATTGGTATTTAGAGTTGTTGTTTTCAGACTGATTGCAGCCGAAATAGCGGGAAAATATCGACAAATTGATTGCGAAAAAATACCAACATGTTGAATTAGAGGTGGACCAATTCCTGCCTTGAAAAATAATGTAATACTATTAGTTCCATTTATTAAACTATTGCAAAAATGTATTTATAACGCCACCTATTAAAAATAATGTATACGGGCTTCCTAATATGTTAGTAAGCATTTAAAAAGTTTAATACATTATTCCGAAATGATGAAATTGGAAAAATACAAAAAAATACTACATTTATCGATGTTTCGCTTTCAGTTTCAGCCCATCTTTTGTTGTTGTCAAAGAAAATAGCAATCTTTTATTCGGCGGATTAAACCCGCTTTGCTATTATGGACAAGTTAAATTCCACTTTAACGGCGGTTAAGAATCTGCGATCAAATGTAAAGCAGTGCTTCGAGCATTTGGCCGATGGAACCGATGGGGAGGGCGGAGAGGAGAGTAGGAATAAATTCGTGCACGACTTCCAGGAGAGATTCGGAGCCATCAACTCGCAGTTGCGGTCTGTAAATCTATGAAAAACTGTTGCGAAACCAATATAATTAAGCCTGTTTCCCAACAGTGAAGTGGAGCAGCTAATAAATGGATTGCAAGTCCCCCCACAGCATATTCCCTGGGAAATACGGCTTACCTCGCTCAGGAGACATCTCAGGACCGCCAGGCGTTGTACCCGCAACTGGTCAACAGCTACAAGTGGATAGATAAGGTGCACGACCACAGCTTCCTGGCTTTCAACAATCTCAACCAGAATACGCTGAGGCGGTCCTATAATTACTGCTCCCAGAAACGCCAGCGTCTGCCATTTTCCTCGTTTAACAATGATCCAGAGTGAGTGTAAGCTCAGTAATATTACAATTTAATCTGTTTTATATTGCCCCAGCCACATAGACAAGCTGCTAAGCGAAATCAACACGGGGCCTCACACCTCGTACCGGATATTCCGGCCATTTGGTACCAATGCCGTGGCCATTGTTACCATCAGTAATGTGATGAAGGCGGCAATTGTGTTCAAGGGTGTACTAATCGAATGGGTGACCATAAAGGGTTTCGATGAGCCACTGGAACACGACGATCTGTGGGCGGAGTCGCGATATGAAGTGTTCCGCAAGGTTCAGGAGCACGCGCACTCCGCCATGCTGCACTTCTTTTCACCCACATTGCCAGACTTGGCTGTGAAAAGCTATGTGACCTGGCTGAACAGCCATATTAAACTGTTCCTGGAGCCCTGTAAGCGATGTGGGAAATTTGTGGCCAATGGGTTGCCACCGACTTGGCGGGACCTGCGCACCCTTGAGCCCTTCCACGAGGAGTGCCGTAACTGCTGAAAGTCCCATGTGTCCGATTTTTAAGACTAACTGATAGTTCTAACTTGTATACTTCATTTATTTCAAAAACAAAAAATAATATATATTCTGAATCCACGCGCGCGTGTTGATTTTTAGAAATCGCTGTCGCTCGGCTGAATAACTACAACGGTTTAATGCGTTTTGTTTATATGGCCAGCAGGAACTGCGGCAGGAGCAGGCATCTTTGAAGTCTTGGTCTTCAGCGGCAACTGCACGCCGCGCCTCAGGCACAGGCTCTCGAAGTTGGCGCGCAACGTAGCGCGTAGCTGCTCCCGCTGACGCTGCACCTGCTCGCTGTGGCACTTGAAGGCCAGCACCACCTCCTGTGGAATGTAATAGGTCTCATCCTCGTCCTCCTCTTCCTCATTGTCGTCGTAATCATCGAAGTCGTCCTACAAACGAAAGTGAAGTTAAAAAGTTAGTCACAAGATTTAAATTAATCATAATAAAAATATATGAACAATTGGTTTCAAACCCAGACTTGCTCTCTGGAAGGTTCTACAAAAATCGTTCGCTTGACTCACCCACATCTGCAGCAATGAAAACTTGTGCTCAAACTGCGACTGATGGCCGTAGAGCAGAATGTCGGAGACGTAGCTATTGCGAGCCGTCGTCAATCCGAACATGCCTTGCTGATGCTGATCCTCATCGTGGGGCCCGTCGTGGTTGCACAACCCATCGGAACAGGATACCTCCGAGCCCTCCGGCGACGAGACCACGCTAGATGTACGTGAGTCGGCATGCGAGGTGGGATCGCTGCCGTAGCCAGAGTCGCGAACATCCTGCTCGCAGGGGCAGTTGGGAATGGGAGCCAAACAATCCTCGCACTTGTCCCCGCCATTTAACTTTGCTACGACGCTCGACGAGATGCAGCTGGACACGTCCAGGTGATCGTGATCGTCATCCATGCGCTGCTGGGTGCTGCTAGCCAACGGCTGATGTTCCTGCTTCCGTCCTTCGGTCTTTTTCGATCCCGCTGGCTGCTTTTGCTTCTTTTTCTTCGATTGCTTCTTCGGTTTCGGTTTCGTTGGTTTGGACGTGGGTAGCGTTATTTCTGGTTCCTCGTGAGAAGCCTCCAAAACAATACCATCGTCCGCCCCCGGATCGCTTTTCCCGACTTGCTCCTCATCCATTTCCTCCTCCTGTTCGAGCTCCACTATCTCCAGCTCTATCGATTCGTCCTCCTCCTGTTCCTCTGCGTCCTCGTCGGACTCGTTGGCCTCAGCGTCTTCACACTGCCGGTGCAGCAAGTTCTTCTTCTCATCCTTCTTCTTCTTCTTCTTGAGCTTCTTTTGCTCGCGCTTAAGTTGCTTGGCCCGCTCCGCACGACTAATCTCCTGGTAGAGTAGCTCCAGGTTGCTGATGCCCTGCTTTTGCTCCACGAACGTGTCAAAGCTGCGGCAGAGGGCGTGGACGCCAACAGCGGCCAGCACTTGGCATGCTCGCTCCTCCTCACGCAGATTTACGTAAATTCGACGCAGCCGTTCGTACATGATCATTCCCACGCAGGTCAAAACTTCCTCCTGGGCAATCTCTAGCGTCTTGGCGTGACGCTCGCGCAGCTTCGAATAGCTGCCGTTAACCTCTGGCTCGGCGCGCTTGATCAGCGCGTCCAGGAACTCTATCTTGTTGGTGTTCACGTGGATATGCTGGTCGGGCACACATTTGCGGATGTGGGCGTACAACTGAGCCGCGTAGCCTTTCTCCTTAGCCGATATCTCGCCAATGAGTATTTTATAGGCACGCTCAATCTACCAAAAGATCGGAAAAAAGTATTTATTAGGTAAAAAACGGATTAAGAAATAGAAGAATAGATAGAATAGAAGATCGAGCATATGCTTTCTTTTTCCAGTTACATATGCAAAGATACATGATACTGCTTGCTTGCTTTTACAATTTTGTAAGATCCCTTGATAAACTGAGTCTGGACTTACCTTAGTCCGGCAGCCGGAACAGAACTTGTGCTTCTTCAGGTAGTTTTCGAGCACGTCGTGCAACTCCTTGGTTTCGATGATGGTGAGCTCGTTGCGACAGTTGCTCTTCATGGCGGACCACACCTCTCGCCATGTCTCAGAAAAGGGCTTGGCACGGAAGGCATCGAGGGAGTGGAGAACGCATCGCGTCTTGTTGCGCAGTTTGTTATCCAGCAGGTTGTTGAGCACCTCGTGATGCCGATAAAGCAGCGTGCCCAGGGCCTGCGGCGTCTTCAGCTTCTCCTCAACGATACCTAGCGTGTTTGTGGGTCGCAGTTCCAGCGGATCCAGCGTGCGATGACCAGACTCCGTCAGCTGGTGGAACAGCCGCTCCACACGTCTTCGGCAGCCGACACACTGAACGCACTGGTTCAGAATGGCCATAAAGCTGGCGCAGTCAATCTCAAGTGATTGCCGCCGTTCAGCCTCTGTAAGCAGTTTGAATTTGCGCGAGAACTCCTCCAGATCCCGACCTCGGATCATCGGACTGTCGATCACCAGTCCTTTGCTGTTCAGGTCCATTAGCATCTGCGGAGACATGGGAAAAGAGAGGATGAGTTAGAAACAGCAAGAAGAATTAACACGAAGAGCGAGAGAGTTGCGGACGGACTGCATACAAACAGGTTCTTCCGGCTGCGCCTCGTTGTTGTTATTGCACACTTCTCGAAGAACAACATGGCGACGGCGGCGGTAGGTAAAAGGGAGAGTTGTGGGTGGCAAGAACCATGGCTCAAGTTCCCCCGTTGATACAACAACAAGATATCATCACTTATGTACATATAACCCATCATGTTATGAAAGTTTTTGGACCAAGTGCACACGCATACACGCACATATGTAGGCGTGCATGTGTGGGTTTTTTGGATGGCCTTAGCCTTACATATAGCCAGAAGTTGGTGCGGGTGGAAAGTAATATTGCTCACCATTAATTTATCGCCAGCCACCAGTGGCAAATTCCTGCGGCCAACGTAACCGGAGTCATCATCGTCCGTGTTGTAGACCTTTGTGAGTCTCGCCATGATTGCAAGGCAACGGCAAGGCAAGGCAATGGAACAGGCACTTTACTCAGACACAGACACTTTTCTCCAGAGCTCCGGGGCGGTTGTGGGAAGGAAATGGGGGGATGAACGGGTATGCGACAGCAGCACACGGATCAACAAATAGTGTTGACAACTATCTCCAGTTCAATTTAAGTAAGTTCGGTTCTCTCGAGATCGGTAGAAGTATTTCTTTTTATTTCAAACACGTAGTAGTCGGTCGGTCCGGTCGCCATTAAAGAGTGCAGGGTTGCTAGCGATAAAATATACCGCCGAGCATATTTCCACTAGTCAGTATTTTCTCATTTCGCTTATGAAATGCATTTTGTTTCCACTAGAGTTGTAGCAAACTATCGCAAGGCTCTTGACAGGATTTTTTAAGTTTTAGAAAAATCAACGATTCTTGCGAAAATAGATTTCAATTCAAAAATCATGAAATTAGTAATATAATGCAACAAGTATATATACTCATGAAAATGTACATATTATTTTTTTTATTAAGTTAAAGCCAATCCGTTATGTTTTAAATTCGATGTCTTCTATGCTTTCCGACATTAAATTCCCCCGGAGTAGGTGCAGTACATTTGACTTTGTGAGAAATCACGCCAAATTCCAGGCAATTCACAATGAGTCGCACACATAACGAACATTCGTCATTCACTTCATAATGGATGCAACTGTTTGATTCTTGAAAAATTACAAAATTATTTCTTTACCAAAATAAATAGATTTCAAACTATCCGCTGGCGGATTGCCAGGGTTTTTTTACATACTTCGTTTTTACAAAGTTAGCTCTCTTTCTTGTTATTTATTATATTACTTTGAGAGAATTTTTATGTTAATTACAAAGACATTAAAATAAACAATAAATAAGTAAAATTGAAAAAGTTTAAAAAGAAAAATTAGTTATTTAATTACTTCCAAATAGGAAGGTATATTTTTTAAGAGCCGGGTGGTATATTTCATCGACACTTCTGTGGTCACACTGGCGGCGTCTGTTCAATGAATTTTTTTTTAGCGCGTTGTCGGTCAGAACTGTGAAAATCCATCGAAATACGTGGAATTACACTAAATATCTCGAATTAAGGGCAAAAGGAACATGTCGCATCACTACGTGGTGACGGCACAGAAGCCAACTGCGGTTGTTGCTTGCTTGACCGGTAAGGAAAAAGCGCTGCAGGAGGGAATGCCTTTAGATTGGTCGGCAAACAGAAAACAAGCATGTTTGCCGGCCGCCAGGTTACACAAGTTGCAATTTTACAGTATGTTTAAAATGTCTTACCCCAAAAGGAAACTTTACTTCGCCCACGGACCTCAATCTGATAATTGCGCGGAACAATCAGGTGGAAATCGACCTCGTCACGCCGGAGGGCCTGCGCCCGCTCAAGGAGATCAACATAAATGGCACCGTTGCGGTAATGCGCCACTTCCGTCCCCCGGACGGCAACAAAGATCTGCTCTTCATCCTGACGCGCCGCTACAATGTCATGATCCTAGAGGCGCGCATGGTCAATGACGTTATCACCGTCGTCACTAAGGCCAATGGCAATGTGTCCGACCCTGTGGGTATTCCGTCAGAGGGTGGCGTTATTGCCGCAATCGATCCAAAAGCGCGGGTCATAGGAATGTGCCTCTACCAAGGACTATTCACCATTATACCAATGGACAAGGAGGCAAGCGAGCTAAAGGCCACCAATTTGCGGTAAAGTATTTATTTATTTGGCATCTTTCAACACTTATACTACCATGATCGCCATCACCAACTTGCAGCATGGACGAGTTGAGTGTTTACGACGTGGATTTTCTCCACGGCTGCCTTAATCCTACCGTCATTGTCATCCACAAGGACAACGATGGCAGGCATGTAAAGTCACACGAGATTAACTTGCGCGAGAAGGAGTTCATGAAGATCGCCTGGAAGCAGGATAATGTGGAAACGGAGGCAACAATGCTAATCCCGGTGCCATCACCCATCGGTGGGGTGATCGTTATTGGAAGGGAGTCGATCGTTTATCACGACGGAAGCAACTACCATGCGGTAGCTCCTCTCACATTCCGTCAGAGC